CGTAACGTCAAAAAGCGCCGCGCGCCCTAGGAGAGTCGCCCCCGTTTGCCGGCGCTCCACATCCGGGAGGGGGCCGCGCCCACTCGGCGTCGCTGACTGCTTCCGGTCCGCGCCGTCACGGCAGTAGTCGAGGGCGTCCCTCTGCTACCTCGGGGCCTGGCTCTCTTGTCTGTGCCCAGGCTCGGCGTGAGTCTTCTGGCGCGGTGCAGGGGTCCCGTGTTGCTGTGGGGAGAGGGGCTGGAAGGGTCGGGGTGGGCCCGGGGCGTGGAGGCCACAGGCCGGCGCTGAGGCTGGCGGGGCTTCGGTCGCCGCCGGAGCGCTCGGTCTTGTCTCCGCGGGAAGTGTACCGGAGTTTACTTGTGCACTTCCCCGAAAGATGCACACTTACTTGAAAAAAGTGCCCACCTGGGACAAGTGCACTTGAACTGTAGCGATTATGAAACTTTGGAGAGCCTGGCAATTTCTGCCGAGGTAATCTCACTGAAAGTCGCGGTAAGTGCTGTTACAGCTACTGTGAGACAGCAGTGTTACGATGCTGTTTAGTTTTGGTTTTGGGGAGGTGACTCCATTGCTGCTCTTCCTGATATTTACAAGTCAAAGACTAGAACGAATGCGTTACTTTTGCAACTTAGTCTTGAATTCTGATGCGCGGTTTTGTTACTGATGAGTTATATCCATAAACTGCTTTTGTGTCCTGTGTGTGTTGCTGAGACTGCCTCGGCTGCTTAGAGAGGAATGAGGTGTGTTAATCGTCGTTATGTCGCCTGTCTGTACTAGAAACGGAGAAGTTTAGACTGTACATAAATATAACACAGGTTAAATGTAATTGTCAGGTCGCTTTCTTGTCATGAAATTTAAGTTTTGTTTCTTCAGTAGAATTGAAAGTAGACATCCCCAAAATAAGTCATTAACACGTGTTTCCCTTCCCCACCCCCCAAAAAAAGAGTAAACAACTGTGAGAGCATTAGTCTTGACGGCTTTTTCTTTGGCCTAGTATGGCAGTGTCCATGTAGGTAGTACCAGGTTTTCACTAGTGTGGGTTGTCATCACAGGAAATAAGGAACAAAGTCAAACATTAGCAGATAAACTCCTAGGCGTTTATTTGCCATGTTCTGTACAGTCTGAGCTGTCTGAGGAGGTTAAGACATGACAACAGGCCATAATGGTAAGTGAAAGAAGACTTCTAAACTATGGTAACAGTGAGACCTTACAGTAGAGTTAAGAATAACTGATTTTATTTCAGTGTATGAGAATGCCTATGTGTATTTATTTTCCATTTTTTTAGTTTGGTAACTGAGAGAATGTTAAAGTGGTATACTTTAATTTTATTCCAAATTTAGACTACTGTGTGGTGACAGGATTTCAATGCTAGGCCGTGGACCTATTTGCGCTTCTCCCAATTGTATTACTGTAGCATTGGGTTGATAAAAAGGTCTTTGGGTAATAATTAGGGAAATACTGTCATTGCTCTTATGACTTCTAAATGTTCCAGTTAAAAATTGTTTTAAAAAACTTGTTCATCTTGTAATTGGATAAATATTCATATGCAGAGTATTAAGATTAATCATATACATCTGTGTTTGTCAGAGACACATCTTTGTTTGCAGGGGTTTTATTTAAGATTGAAGTAAAAAACCATTGAAGAAACTTGAAAATAATGTCAGGTTTTCACTGCAGATAAGAAATATGCACAGTACTGACAACTGGCTTTAAAAATCTTTGGATATGGTTTTTCCAATGTAAAATATGAGGTTTTATTGTTTCCATCATTTAAGTTGAGCTTAGGGTACTGATGATTTTCAAAATAGATGCAATACAGTTTAACCTATTATAGGGGCACAGATTTTCTTTTTCATCCAGCCCTTCTGTGTGCAAGATAAAACACCAGTCAGGTGTGCCAGAATCAATTTTAAATTTAAAAGATAGTAAGCCTACATTTTTCTATCACAGAATCCACTCAGTAAGTACAAACATAAAATAACACTATGTATATGATATTCTTAAAGCATGAGTAGGTTACTTTCCAATTGCTGTCATCATTTGGCTGCTTCTTTGCTTATTATGTTGTGAAAGAAAAAATAATTTTACTTATAGCTCATGATCAGCTGCATCTTCACGTTCTTATGATGCAGTATCATGGTTTAAGCTCAGTGGTAGCCAAACACCATGCAGATGTTTGCTCACCCTCTCCTGCCCAGAGGATGGGGGGGAAAAAGGAAAGGATTGGAGGGGTGAAGGGAGACTTGTAGGTTGAGATAAAAGCAGTTGCATAATTGAAATAAAACAATAGCAGTAATAGAAGGTAAGAACGGGTAATGCACAATGTGATTGCTCACTACCTGCTGACTGATACCCAGCCCATTCCCAGCTAGTGATCCCCAAATACCAAGATCCCACAGTTGCAGTCCTGGAAGCGAGAGGCAACCACCTCCTTCCCAACCGACCTTCCTTCGTATACTGAGCATGACATTACATGATATAGAATATGTCACTGACTGATTTGGGTCTGGGACTCTGGGTCTGCTCCCTCCCAGCTTCTTGTACACCTGAGTACCATGCAGGACATGGGGAATTGGAGAGTCCTTTATCTCTTAACAACTACTGAAAACAACAGTTTATTATCAAGATTCTTCTCATACCAAATCTCCTACTGCATCCAAAGCACAGCACTGTTCTAGTTACAAAGAAGAAAAGATATCTAAGAAGAAAAACTATCCCAGGTGAAACCAGAACATGTAGTCAAATTCTTTCCATGTATTGTGAACCTCATTGTGGAATGTTTGAATTAAGAAGCATATTCCACTCTTATGTCTTGTGTCATGTTTTCTTCTAAAGTTAAAGTGGAGGGGATTAAATAAAAATTCACTTTTAAACATCAGTAAAGTAAGTAGTAATTGTGAAATTTATATAGTAATTTTGTTTCTTGTCCTAAAAGGACATAAAACGAGCCCAGAATCACAATTCTTTTCAGCAATTTCTGGAAATACCTTCTAGATTATTTGATTAATTTTTTTTAAACCAGGAGTTTAAAAGGTATCATTTCTTGTTGCCTATTTTTTTTTTAATGTAGGAAAAGGATACATGTTCACTTCAAATAGAAAGTATCATGTTCCGAAATTCCTCCAATTTGGGTTGTCCACCCTTCCATCAAAAACATCAACAACGGAGTGATTTCTTCAATAAGCTTCCTCTAAATATACCACCTACTCTTCTCTCTCGCCAGCGAATTGCTGATGCTGAGTTTAATTTTCAGAATGCAGGGTAAGTACAGTAAGATTTGATAGTGGGAATTGGGTTGAAAAAGAGAGTTAATAATCTTTTGAAAGAAATATTTCTGTTTATGGAGGATATTTTTCAGGTTTTAACAATTAACATTAACAAATAATGGAAGATGTCATGTGTAAAACAGAGCTGTATCATTTCTGTTCACAACCTTTAAGTTTTAATGTTCTCCTACATTGTGTGTAATGCATGAGATGCCATTGCACTGATAGAGTTAATAATCCACAGTTCAGTTTTAAAGGTCTTCAACTGTATTTGTTTACTGGGGAAAGAGAGGAGAAGCTGAGAACGGGAAGAAACATTTATTCTTGGGGCTAGATTTGAAGACACTATAGTGTTCTTTAGACTCTTGAATTTGACAATACCTTGTTAATTTGTTTGCTAACTTATTGCATATGTGCTGTGAAGAAAGACCATCTTCTGGGTTTTTTTGATGAAAGAGAGATACTGAAATATATCTTCATTTTGAATAGAAAAGACACATGTATTGCTTCTAAGAAAAAAAAAATACAGTACTTTCTGAGTTCAATATTTACTTAACAAAAACTACCAAACCATAAAAACCATCTTAGTTATAATTTGAATAAAATTTATGGACTATAATCTTTTCAGGGCTCTCTTGAATGGGAACCTTGCAACTATTCCAGCTGTTACACCGCAGCCAATGACTTATGGAAATTGCAGTCCAGTAAATATGTCTGAGGCCTCCATGTCATTCCGAAGAAGAAAGTAAGTTCTTTGTGTGTGTGATTTAATTCTGTTTGTTAATATCAGTTTCTTGTGCAGCTTGAATTTTGTTAGAAATTGCAGTACTGAATAAAATGGGTTTTGATGAAACAGGCCATGTTGTGGCTCTTTAAACTGTTCAGGTACCTGCTTTTGAGAATTTAATATTCAAAATGGCTTAGTATGTGTAGTTTTTCTATTCCAACAGCTGTAGCCTTACAGAACTGTGATCTCCATATTTTATTTTAATACTATGAGATCATAGTCTGTGTGTGCTTGACTATAAAAGGGTTTGTGCCAATAAATTGTTTCTTTTCCTGTTAATTTGTCAAGAGTAAGGCTGCACCCACAGTGTTTATAGGAATTGTGATGTTTTTCTGCTGAAATGCTAGATGTTTCTCCTGATTTTCTTAATTATATGATGTTTTATTTTTCACATGAAGTGCTAAACTCAAGCATACGTAGGTTGATTTTTTTTTAAGAGGAATTTTATGGAAACATACTTCTTAAAAAAATAAATTAAATTGAATTTACATAACTTCCTGTGTTATTTTAGTTGCAACAGAAAGGAGTTTCAGGTGAAAGTGTGGGTTTGTTTTCTTTTAACATTCTAGAAAGAAATCACTTCTTATTAGCTCAGAAGTAGTAGATGATATGTGTCTTGTAATAATCTGTGAATCAGCTGATAGGGAGAAAGATTATTTATTCAAAATTATTTCCTGTATGTGTCCTGGTTCAGATAGGATAGAGTTAAGTTTCCCCAGCAGAGAAGGGGGAAGGGATCTCCAGCTGGGTTATTTGTACCATGCTGATGTCAGGTCCGGGCACAGGAGCATGGGAATTTTCTTCCTTTGTGGCTTTGGTAGCGGGGAGCACACAAGCAAGCTGTCTGTAACCATTTGTGGTATTTCTCTGTATATCTTCTGTCTTGTTTACTATTATTACTGTTTATTGTTATCATTGCTACTGTTGTTGTTCAGATTGTCTATCACACTGTTGTATTAAATTTCTTCTTATTTTAACCTGGGGTTTGTGCCTCACTGCCAGCCTGACCAGCTGAGGGTGGAGGAGGGGCAAGGGCAATGTGGTCTCTGGTCCCAGCAGGGCTTAAACCACCACAGTATGCTATTTCTCTTCCATATTTAACGGATTAGAAAATAATTACAAATGGTATTAAGTTATAGTTGAGTATATAACTATCATATGAACTAAAGATGTTCCTGGTTTCATGCAGCATGCATGTTTGCCTTTTCACCAGTCTGGTTTATGGAAAACTATGCTATGTTAGGAGATTTACAGTCAACTAGTTAATCATTAGATCTTGAGTCAACTCTTCTTAAGGTGTTTTTGCTGGTCATGAGTTTGTGCAAGTTCTCCTCAGTAAAAAGAGGCTGAAGCAGCATTGTTTTGGTGTAAAGTTACATTATGAGTTCCTTTAAGATTGAGGGTAGGTAGTGTTATCAGAACTTCTCTGAATTGAAAACTGAAATCATAGAATCATCTAGGTTGGAAAGGACCCTGGAGATCATCTAGTCCAACCGTTCGCCTAGCACAGTTCCCACCTACAGCATATCCTTAAGCTCTAAGTAGACCCTACTCTTGAACACCTCCAGGGATGGGGACTCTACCACCTCCCTGGGCAGCCCATTCCAATGCCTAACAACCCCTTCTGGAAAGAAATGTTTCTTAAGAAATTATGACTTAAGGTCTCTTCAGTTAAGTTTTTATTATTAATAATACTATCTGTCCAGGTCCCCAGATAACTTTGGGGCCAACTTTTCTAACTACAAGCAATGACTGTAGCTTTATTAATAGTTAATTCATTAATACATGTGAACATTTGATTTCATGCTTTTTAATTTTAAAAAATGTGTAAGTACCCCCCCACTGGTTAATGTTATGCAGTGCTTGCTGTATAAACAAACATTAAAGTCCTCTTATTCTTTACTGTGGGTGGACCACAGTATTCAACCACTGGTCAGCTTTTAGTACAACTTTTTTCTCAATAAAGAGTTCAGATGCCAAGAGGCTGTCTATAAGATCAGTGTATCTCTTCAGATGTATTTAAATTCCTGTGACAGATGACTTAATGAGGAGATACAGACTACTGTTTGAAAATGAGACATTACGTTTATGACCAGTGTAGCTTAATATAATCATTAGTTCCATTTGTCAAATGAATAGTGGGTTTTTTGCCCAGATTAGTTTACTGTGTGTACAATCTAAGATGCAGACAAATGCTACATTTTGAATGGCTATTGTGGTCAGTTTATTCTTCTCCAGTCCCCACCTCTGAATTTATTTTATTCATCACTGGGTGTTCAGAACTCGCAAAACTTCTTACTGCACTTACATTGATTTAAAAGAAAAGTATCCTTACATAATTGGTACGTATCTTTTGAAAAATACGTGTGTTGTCACCAGGCTAGTTCAACCAGCTTTCAAAGTTGCCCTGCTTAATTGAACTTGCCATTTAGGTTTCAGATGGTTAAGACAGTCACTTTTGTAAAGCAGATGTATCAGTTCATTTCAGGGGTGGCTGCACTTTTGCAGTTAGGAGTTCTCTTTTCCCAGTCCAGGTTTATTTAACCTGGTATCTGGCATGGGCTTATCTTTTGTTCTCTAGAACACTTGCTTTTAGTGAAATAGTCACGTAATTAAGCATTGTATTTGCACTTTGTAGCTGTTGTCTTTTAGCCATAGGTTGGAGCTTGCAAACTGGAGGATTTACTGTCTCTTTCTCTTCCCCCTGCCAGGAGACCAAGTGAAGAAAGTGTTTCATATGATATCAAACGGCCACGGTTTCATTCACGTCATTCTGAAACAACTGTAGTTGACCAAGCAGTGCCTTTAGTAGAAGATGGTAGATGCTCCTTCCCAGGAACAATTCAATCTCCACTGTTCTGTGCACCGTACAGACCAGGATGTGTCCCTCCATTGCAAGATATCCCTGTAGAAACCATACTCCCTGTGGCCAAAGATAAGGTAATATCTTTCTGTGCCTTCTGAGTAGGCAGGGTCCAGTGGTGCTGTGGGAGACTGCAGACATTTTTGCAAGGTTCTTTGACAGTGTTATGGAGTCTGCATCGCTAGGCTATCTTTAGAAGAAAGAGCAATAAATGTAGCTGCCAGTATGGCCCTGTATAGCCTCCATGTTTGTCTCAAGCATTTTTGGGAAGTAGGGGTGTTCTCTTGTGGTGTTTGGTTTCCATACTAATGTCAGGAAACCTGTGTGTCTGCTCCAGGAAGTAGAAATTGGAGGGATGATCTGTTTGTCACATGATTGGGGAGGGAGAGAATCCTGATGAAAAAGGAAAACATCCTGGTAATGTGAGAGAAGCCCATTCTGACTAAATACAGTATTTGGCCTATAAAGATGTTCTTTGCCTCTCTTCAGAAGAAGATAAAAGTTATTGTCCTAGCTGTTCTGGAATATAGAAGAGGATGTCTTTAGGTGGGCAGTAGCATTGGAACTGTGGTTTTTGTTCTTTTTTAATTAAAAAAAGCATGTGGCTAATCAGTCTTACTTTATCTATACCAACATGACAGAAGATATTTTTTTAGTGTAAATATGCCTGTTGATTATAGCATATAACAGTGTTGTGAGAGAAAAACAGTTAATACCTCATTCCACCAAAGATATGACTACTTCTTTAATAGTTTGTGTGGGATAAAGAAAGAAAGCTAACTTAAATCAGTTTTAATATTTTTTTTCTCTATTGTTGGTAGGCAAACTGTTGATGCTAAAGTCAGCAGAAGATTTCTCTGGTTTTTCACTGCTTTTTCCCTGAAAGGCTGCAGATACTGATGAGGCAAAAATTATTTTCTGTGGACAGACATTTTATAACATTGCACAAATTTAAATTTAAAAACTTTGAAGAACTATCTTCAGGGAGGAGTTCAATATGAATTCAGGAGTGGTAAAACTAAATGGAATAGGTTGTGCAAAATTAAGCTAGATTTTTTTAATGCTGTCTTCTGTGTTTCATGTAATTGCATCTCTGGCAGGAAGGAATGTTCACTTCTCTGTATCTTTAATTTTTGAATGTGTGTGTCAAGTTAAGTCATCAGATTTTGGAGTTGTTTCAAGCATGTCAGCAACAGACCTGTGATTTGAAGAGAAAAGAGCTCTGCAGAACTCAGCTCCAGAGAGAAATTCAGCATATTTTTCCACGTATGTTTTGAATTTGATTACTTAATATCAGTTTGAATGTTCTTCAGGTTTGCAGTTCTTCCTTCCTTTTAAACTATGATATGTCACATCAGTTTTTATTCTGTGATTCTTCTGTTAACAGAGAGCAGACTCTTTTTGGTTGGGTCCTCATTGAATGGCTTTGGCACTCGTAGCAGTGATGGTGACTTGTGCCTGTTGGTTAAAGAAGAACCAGTAAGTAATTTAAAACATACGTAGTTAAAACAAAATCTGTTTTTAAAGTGAATGTGCTTTTATAAGGCTGGATTCCAAAATGAGAAAGGAATGGTCAAATCCTTTTGATTTAATAACATTTTTTTTCACTTGTAATAGCTATGAACTGTGGGCCCAGTAATGTTGCAAATATGAATGTAACCCTATAAGCTCTTTAGCTGAAGAAAACATTCAAAAAATAAGCGTTACCTTCACTCCATAAGTGAAAAAAACACAGCAAAACAGAAGCAAATTGTCTAGAATCCTGAAGAGAATTGTTTAGAGAATTTTAACTTGTTTTAGATGCAGGAACAACTTTTAGTAACTACAATTTTAAAATTTCATTTCGTTTTATCGCGATTAATTTAGTGAGCAGGCATAAGAAGGAGTTTCATATGCAAAATATCTTAAGTATTTTTGGTGAGAGAAAATGTTCAAGTAGAATTTAGGTTGAGAGACAACGTAACAAAAAATCTACATAGAGCATAATTTTGAGAGAACTGAAGCATCATTGAAAAGGAAGGAAAGGACAAATTTGTTTAAGTGGGGTTAGGTTTTCATCAAGTTCTATGATTTGTGAATGTCTGATAGTTACTCTGCATTTTGAATGTGAATTGTTCTTTCTGGCTTTTGCTGCTTGAAATATGTAGGCTGTGGAATGTGACAAACATGTTCATATTCTGAGAGTTAATTTTATTTGAAAAGTAAAGCAAGCTTACTTAGATCATCTAAATGAAAGATACCAACTTCTGTCTTTAATGTCATATTTCAGGTAAATCAGAAGACTGAAGCAAGGCATATACTCAGCTTAGTCCAAAAACTCTTCAGTACTAAACTTTGTAAGTTTCCTGCTTCAGTGAGGTAGTAAGATTATTGGCAATACTGGAAGAAGTATTGATGCACAGTTGTAACTAATTTGTGTAATTACATCTTGTCTAACTTATAATCATGGTACTGTTTGGAGAAAAGCTATAAATATTTAGTAATGTTACTTATCTTGGTGCTGATGGATAATTAGTAGAAAAACGTAACAGTTATGTTGCAAACTAGTGGACTTCAAGAATAGATAGCATCTAAAATGACTTTTGAATTGAGGACCACAACTGTGGGGGAGGGGGGAAAGTAGATTTCCATTTAGGAAACCTCTGTTACTGAACTATTCTTACTCTTCTAGTTTTCAGTGCCTTCGTGGGGACAGTACTCCTAAGAATTTGTAAAATAAGATGTCACTCTTAGTAGACTGTGTGGAATTGATGGGGAGGGAGGCAGGGGGCTTAATACCAGTGAATTAATCAGGTGCCTAGTGAAGAAAATACTAAATGTTGACAGTAGCAGTACATATAGGAGAAACGGCTTAATTTATAGTTCTTACAAGTTGTTTAGACTTTCTTCAGATGAAGTAATTCACATGGGCGGTTCTTGACTTAAATGTGAAAGCTTCCTACTTCAAAGAGGCTTTTGTGCCATCCTTTGAATTATGAAAGACCCTGTCATTTATTGATATCAATAATTGTGTCCTGCTACTTCTCACATTTGTGATAATTCTTCGATACCCTTCCTTATATTGCTGTTCTGAACACTCCTGCAGCTGTAAAAGGAACAAAGCATAAATTGAAAGGCAGACTTCAAAATTTCTTCATTGGCAAGTGTGCAGATTTCAACAGCTCACTTGATGAGAGACATGATAGATCATTCACAGAATAGGCATCTGATATTTAATGCCTTACTACTATTGTATATTGATGTTTGCATAAGGAGTCCAGAACTTAGTCTGAGTTTGCCTAGGATACAAGTCATTCCAGTGCTTCCTGAAAAGAACAGTGATGACAGTTGTGTTTTCAGGGATCAGAAAGCATCAAAATAAACTATCACCTTCTTTTTTTTTCCAAATGGTTGTGTTCTGTGACAAAGCTTTAGACAAAATCAGGTTTGTTTGCCAGGGAATACGAGTATCAGAAAGACATGATAGTCATGTGGGGGTGATTCTTGAAGGTTTTTGTTTGTACCATTGCTCATTTTCGATGGTTTCCTAGTTTTCTGTTATCTTGCAAGAGCCTTTGGTCAGCTTCATTTAATCAAAATGTACTTTGAAATGTGAGGCAGGACAAAACACTGCAGATATTACCACTCCTGTCAGACTCTCTTAGTTGTGGTATGTAAATCTCTTAGATCATCTCTTCATAATCTTAACATCACTATGGGCATGAATTACTATAACCATCTGTGCTTGTGTCTATGTATGGATGTTCTGCGGATAGAACTGATAGACAAAAGTTGTTTGAAAATGTTCACCTGATTCAAAATGAAAAAGGCTTTGCCATATGGGTCTTCACATTTGGATTTAATTCATTTACAAACTGTAGCTCAACTATGTTAACATTTCATACTTCTGAAATGACGGGTTGCCAGTTATTTTGATTAAAGCTTATTTAGGCAAATATAATTGCTGTGATCCATAATTTCAAAATATCTTGTGAGTTGGTTTTGGCTCGGGGCAGGGAGGGAGTTCCCCCAGGCTAAACTTCAGAAGCTCATAGATTCATATGCTTTTTCTTCACCCCTGGGGAAATGATCTTAGCAGTATGTGCTTCAGTGGTGTCCTGTTGGCACTCCTTCGGCTTTGTGGAGTCAGGTTTACATGTTTATAAATGGCTGTTCGCTATGCTTCAGAACGGCTATGTTTTTTTTAATGAACTGCAATTATTTCTTACTGTCTGCTGTATTCGGAAATCAGCTGCTGCTTAATCGTCAAGGAGGGGATCTACAAGTATGTACATTTAAAAAAAGCATAGAGAAATTGTAATTCTTTTGAGACGTTACTTGAAACAGTTCTAGATTTGCAACTTTTAAAGGGCTAGCAGTGCATGTATGCTGCTGCTGTATACAATCAAGTGTAAGATTTGTCTGTACCAAGCTTCTTTAAGAATTGCGATTTCATTTCAACAGAATTCTGTATTTCACTGCATGTGCTTGTTAACAACCTGAAAGGTATGAAACTTCTTCTGATCATTATTTCTAAGTTTTGCACTGTCCAGTTAATACATATGTTGCTATCCTGTAATCTTAAGGTAATCCTTCTTTAGTGATACTAGTTAAGTATTTCCTTCTGTCTTTTTTTCTGTAGAAGGAAGATGGCAGCATGTTCTCAACAAGTGTGTGAGCTGTCATTAAACTTAATCCTTGCTTCACATAAGAGAATGGAACTAAACATAGTTGGGGCCAAACATGAAACCTAACAAAGTATATGCCAAGATATAAGAGACAAGAAGGGGGAGGAAAGATAATGTTATTTAAAATTTTCTTGGGCTGGTTTTGTGAAAGAGTTAAAGGACAAAAATAAGGAGAAGATTTATGGCATAGGTAATGTTCTAGAGCTTTTTTTAACTGTTTTCCTGATCATCTCAAATAAGAAACTTGGGAGAAGTTTTCCCTAGCTGTGCCTCTCATAACATCTTGTTTGTGATGTCCTGGTACATTACAAAATAAGAGCGGTAAGAACCCTGTGATTCTCATCATATTTCATCTTAATTCCATGATTGATTGATAAATTAGGAAGCATTCTAAGTGCAGATTAGATGAGTCTCTCACAATTTGTCTTTCTTTTAGGTAAATCATCTGCAGAACTTCAAAAGCCATCTCTTTTATCTTTTATATACAGTTAACTGGCATGGTAGTCAGATTAGTGTTTCATTCTAGGACATCTGGGAAGTGGATTCAAAATTTATCTAAACTCCAGCTTATTTCAGTTTCAAGCTTGCAAAAGGTACTAAGTGTGAGCAAGGAGTTTGAGTCATTCTACATCCAGAATAATGACTGAAATGAAGATCTGTTCTCAAGTAGTCACAGAATCATAGAATACCTGTTTGGAAGGGACCTCAGGGATCATCTGGTCCAACCTTTCTTGGCAAAAGCACTGTCTAGACAAGATGACCCACCACCCTGTCCAGCTGAATCTTAAAAGTGTAAAATTATTTTTTTTTTAAATCTACCTTTTAACCGTTTTTGAAGTGGAAAACTGGACCATCTTATCTAGACTGGTTTTTATGGGACTTGTTAGTCTTAAAGCTATGTATTGTGTTTTTTCTAGAGTAGAGAGACATAAGGATAGCAGTCATATACTGTATCAGAGACTAGCAGAGTATGCACAACTTTTTGATTTGTTTATTCAGATACCTGCACATACCTGTTTTTTCCAGTATTGGCTAATGTTCCCAGAACTGTATACACAAGCTGTTGTTTTTTAGAAATGTGAAATGCAAAACATGAATTTGGGGTGATAACTGTTATGACATATTGAAGAGAGTATAATTCAAACCACTGATATTAAATGTCAGACTGTTTACTCTCTTCAGATTTGTCTAGGCAGAATTAATTTAAAAAAAACTTAGTACTGCATTGAGTGGTTACTATATGAATAAATAACAAAGAGCACATTTTCTCTTAGTTACACACAGAGGTGCAGTAGTGTTCACACTAGGTTATTGGAGTGGAATCCACCTAACAGCTGTCTAGTGGGGAACATGCGCAGCTAGGACAAGCAAGGGAACTTTAATTCAAATGATATTGAAGGACTATGCAGGTGGATGAGTGAATTCCAAACAACAGTTACTTCATCCTGTGCTGGGTTGTACCCACCTAGATTCTTCATGACTCTGGATTCAGACTCCTCTGTTGCCTGATTTATCTTTCTGTAGTATAACCCTATCAGTGAGAGCAGGTCTTTTTGGCATATGTTTGGGATTAGTATTTTGTACAATTGCTTAGTCTTTTATTCTGTAAAAGAAGAGAGACTTAAGACGTTTAATCTGAAATTCTGCATATGTCATTTATGAAACAGTGCTTAGTTTTCTTTGAAGTGTTTATATTCTTTTTCACTACAGCTGAAGTGCCATTTGTGACTTTTTCACAGCCCTGCCCAAAACTGTGGAGCAGCTATGTTGAATTCTTGACAAGTATTTTGGTCTAGGCTCTGGTCGTAGCTTCAGGGTCAGATAGTCAGTTTACTAAGGCACTTAATCAACCTTTATGTATTTCAGAATTCCACATCCTGTGTTTGACTGTTTCTTCCCTTGTATGTATGACAAACTAATATACAGTAGAGATTCTGCTAACAGTGTCATTGGTGTGAGGCAAAGAGGGTACCAGCAGCAAGCTACTACCTTCTAACATCCTCTTTGCTTTGTTTCACCCTGGGAAAGACTGGGATTATGTTCTGGGATTTTTTTTTTTCTTAGCCAGTTAATTTGGTATAAGCATCCATCAAGTGTTGGGAGGCGTTTGCAGACAAGGATGTATTTGGAACTGGATTGCCACTAGAATGTTAAGTTAAATTCTTCAAGGCTCTGGAGAAAGGTCATAGTGAGGAAGGTTGAATTTCTGTGGCATGGAGATATATACCCGCTGTTGTCTACAGTGTGCTAATGAGTTGGGCATCTTTGTCTTAAATTTAATAGTGAAAGAAAAGGAGTCAGAGAGCTCCACACCCTTTACAGCTTTGCTTTAAGAGTGTTCTGGGATCTTGGAGGAGGGATGCTTGAAAGTGTCTGCAGGTGCAACTAGAAGGAGGGGACACTTGTGTAAGTTGTGAGATTCTTCCTTTAAAATTAGTAAATTAATAAGATTATGGTTTTTTTGAGTGCTACTCAATGTGTTGCTTACGGTCATAGAATGCATTCAAATCCACATAAAAGACAGGTACAATCTGTCTAAACATGCATGTCCATAAAACACTTCCAGAAAGTCTCAAAACAAAAGTAGAATTTATTTTAATTGAATAGTGCACAGTAGGATTTTATCAGACCTGAGGTGGTCACCTCAGTGCAACAGAGATGACACTTTTATCATGGTTGCTATCCAAACTGATAGAAATATCTCTTCTTTTTTTTTTTTTCTTTAAAAAGTGAAGATCAGCTTTTATTTAAGGTTATTTTCAGTCTGCATTAGTTCTAGCTTTTTCATACTTAGTTATGCTAATATGACATTGATTTATAGAAGCAAGGGGAAACTGTATGATGTTAGATATGGAAAAATTGAAGTGGTCCTAGATTTTGCAGCAGCAGAAATTACTAAAATGATGCCTTTTGCTTGAATTTGTATCATATAACTTACAGACTCTGCTTTTCATTGTCTCTTCCATTACTTTCTTGGGTGCATTTCTCATTCAGGATTATGGCCAACTACTAAATATAGCCTGACATACTGTCAAGAATAGGGAAACTGGAGATATGACTGACACAACAGTTTGGGGGACCCAAGTGCGAAGGTGCATTTGATGGCACTGTATGATAGTATATTTGGGTTTGGATGGTCTGGCCTTACCACAGGAAAATCTTCCAGTAATGTTTTTCTTTAATGTTTAGTGCATTTTTTTCATACACTTCACTATATTATATTTTTGCTGCAGTTGCTAATTGTTACTTAGTTTAGCACAACCCTTCTGAGAATATTTTTGCTAAATTTAATAAGCTACTATTTGCTATAAATCCATCAATGTGACTCCACTTTCAGATTTTTCTTTAAGATCAGCATCTTACATGAAACTTAATGGCATATTTTTCTCCCTTTCAGCAAGCTACATTGAGCGACCTCAGCTGATTCGAGCAAAAGTGCCAATCGTGAAGTTCAGGGATAAAGTCAGGTAAGTATTCTGTTCTACATAATTTTTCACTTTGACACAGTAAAATATTCTATGTACAGTCCATATAAGTAGTCCCACTGAAGTCATGCTTTGTTTATTTGTACTATAGTTGTATTGCAAATTTGTAAGCTAGCATGCAGTGGCAGTCACCATACCTCCTTGGTGGCCTGAAACACCTCTTGTGTTGAGATGTTTAGTTTGTTATGTGAATTAGTAGCAATACAGCACAGATTCCTATGGGCTATTTGTACAGAGTGGACTCCAGCTGACAAATAGTTCATGACAGAAACAACACTGGGAAGAAAAATGTTGTAAAAGATAATTTTGTGTGCTTTGCAAACAACTGCTGAGCTACTTAAAGACTAATTCACAGAGTTTACACTACACAACAGTAAAACAAACAGAATATGTGATGACATATTCTTGATTTAAAAAATTTTGTTCATTTTATAGAGTATATTTTGCTGTCTTCCTGGTACAAATATTCAGTAAATCGTAGGGTCATAGCAAGAATACTTGTTTCCAATTTGAAATCAGAAAATAAACTTAAAGAAAACTGATATATGGAAGTGATTATGTCAGAAGATTGAAGTCTTTTTGTAGGCATTTATAGTCCATACTACAGTCACTTGCAAAAAAAAAAAAGGTAACAGTTATGATATTTGTGTACCAGAGAGAATTTAAAGAATTCTTTATTTTCTACTGTATCAAAGTATAGTTGTCTTAGACTAGAAGCTGCCCATTACATTTTTGAGACAAAACCCAGTACTGTTCATCTGGTTTCCTGTGATGTTTTTTTGGAATAGAGGAGATAGGAAATTACATGACTTTGGATTGTTGTGATTTTGGGGCTTTTTTCTCTTTCCTTTCTTTTTCTCTTTTCCTTTCATCTTTCTCTTACATAACCCGTCGCCTTCACCCCTTTTTTGTCTTTCTTAAGCATCTGTCTCTTTTCAGTCTCTTACTGGCTTCTTTCTTTTCATAGGTTCATATATATAAATACAACGGGGCTCATTCTTTTTTCACAGAAGCCTTGAAAAATTCATTGGATAATCTGTACCCAGGACAGTAAGCTTGTTTTAACTAAAACCAGAAGCTAAACATGACAAGCTTCCTGTGAACGCCCATTTTCTTGATGCCAAGCTGCTGGAAGGAGATGGTAGAATTCAGTAGGCAGTGTCTCTGCATCTGCATTCTAATGTGTTGCCAGTGGTTCATACATACTTGAAAATTTCCATTTTGCACTTTGATTTGGTGAATGAGAAAGCATTCAGTTTGTGTTCTCCTTTTTCACCTTAAATGTTTGGGGTTTTTTAGAGCCATAACAGCAAATGAAGATCTATTGAACATGAAGACTCACTATCTAATATTGTGTAGTCTTTCTCAGGAAATAATTCCAGTGCTGGCTCTGCTACCAGGCAACCCATTGATTAATAAGACTACTGTACTACAGAGGATGCAAAAGGTTCCTCTTCTGTTGCATTTGATCTGCAGTTTGATCTCTTCCTCTCCTTTACTGCTCTTAGCAGAACTTGAGTCCCAACAGTACAAAACCTCGTTCACTTGCCATAATTGCAACATCTATTAAATGTGCATATTAAAGTACAAAATAACTGCAATAGAACTTGCTTAATCAGCATCTGGTAAATAGTAATCTTGTCAATTGTGGTTAATTGGAATTACACATGCAGCCTGTCATATTTCTTTATTATATCTGCACATACAACTACTATTCTTAATTGTGTTTGTGTTTATTTTTCAACAGTTAAGCAGTAGTTCAAATTTATTTCCTGTACCGTTATGTACTGTGCTCTTAAAGTACAGAATTATAGAATGGTTTGGGTTGAAAGGGACCTTAACAATTACTTAATGATCAGTTTGCTCAAAGCCCCATCCAGCCTGGACTTGAACACTTCCAGGGCAGAGGCATCTACAGATTCTCTGGGCAACCTGATCAAGTGTCTCACCACCCTCACAGTATGGAATTTCTTCCTGTATCTAATCTAAATCTATCCTCTTTCAGTTTTAAACTGTTACCTCTTTTCCTATCCTACACTCCCTGATAAAGAGTCCCTCCCCATCTTTTCTGTAGTCCCTTTAAGTACTGGAAGGCTGCTATAAGGTCTCCCCCAAAGCCTTCTCTTTTCCAGGCTGAACAACCCCAATTCTCTCTCAGCCTGTCTTCACAGGGGAGCTGCTTGAGCCCCTTGATGACCTCTGTGTCCTTAGGTTGGGGGCTGTACTGAACAGAGGACTCCAGGTGGGGTCTCACAAGAGCAGAATAGAGGGGCAGAATTCCCTCCCTTGACCTGCTGACCACACTTCTCTTGATGCAGCCAAAGATACAGTTGACTTTCTGGTCTGGGAGTGCACATTGTTGGCTCATAGTCAGTTTTTCATCCAGTAGTACCCTCAAATACTTCTCAGAAGGGCTGCTCTCAGTCTACTCATTGCCCAGCCTGTATTTGTACTTGGGATTGCCTTGACCCATGTGCAGGACCTTGCACTTGGCCTTGTTGAACTTCATGAGGTTTGCACAGGCCCACTTTTCAAGCCTGTCCAGGCCCCTCTGGATGCCATCCTTCCCTCCAGTGTGTCAACTGCACAACACAGCTTGGTGTCACTGGCAAACTTCCTGAGGGTGCCCTTGATCCCACTGTCCCTGTTGCCAGCCAAGACATTAAACAATGCCAGTCCCAACACAAACCCCTGAGGAACACTACTTGTCACTGCTCTCCACTTGGACATTGAGCCATTGACTGCAACTCAATTTGAGTGTGACCATGCAGCCAATTCCTTATCCACTGTTTGTTCCATCCATCAAATCCATGTCTCTCCAATTTAGAGACAAAGGCTATCATGCAGGACAGTGTCAAAAGCTTTGGACAAGTTCAGGTAGGTGATGTCAGTTGCTCTTCCCTTATGCACCAACACTTTAACCCTGTTGGAGAAGGCCATCAAATTTGTCAGGCACAGTTAGCCCTCAGTGAAGCTATGTTGGCTGTCACCAATCACCTCCTTATTCCCCATGTGCTCTAGCATAGTTTCCAGGAGGATCTGCTCCATGGTCTTTCCAGGCACAGAGGTGAGACTGACCTATAGTTCCTTGGGTCTTCCTTTTTTCCTTTTCTAACATTGGGGCTCATGTTTTCCCTTTTCCAGTCAGCAGGAACTTCACCAGACTCCCATGACTTTTCAAATATGATGGATAGTGACTTAGCCACTTCATCTGACAGTTCCTCCAGACCCATGGATGCATCTCCTGGAGTCCCATGTGTTTGTGCACCTTCAGGTTCCTTAGATGATCTCAAACCTGATCTTCTACAGTTGGTGGTTCTTCATCCTCCCAGTTCCCACCTTTGCCTTCTGTGTCTTGCACAGTGTGGCTGGAGCACTTGCCAGTGAAGACCAAGGCAAAAAAGTTGCTGAGTACCACAGCCTTCTCCATATTCAGGGTATCCAGGTCTCCTGTTTCCTTGTAGAGAGGACCCACAGTTTCCCTAATCTTACTTTTATCACTGATGTTCCTATGGAAGCTTTTCTTGTTGCCTTTGATATCCCTGGCCAGATTTAATTCTATCAGGGCTTTGGTCTTCCTAACCTGATCCCTGCCTGCTTGGACAGTTCTATTACTCCAAGACTACCCTGTCTTTGCTTCCACCCTCTGTATGCTTCTGTTTGACATGTGAGCTTATTCAGGAGCTCCTTGTTCATCCAGGCAGGTAGTATGGCATTCTTACCTGACTACATATAAGAAGTCATGCTTGATATTAATTCAGGTGCAGATAATGTAGATGGCTACTTCTTCATCAAGAATAGGTTTTTCTTATTGCAGATTACAGTGTCACTATTGCTTACTGCCTGTGAATTTAATATCAATTAAATTCAGTAATTAACTACTGTGAGTAGTTAAGCTCTGTAGTGTGAAATTAAAAGCATGGGGCTGAGTGCAATATAAAGCAAGCAGGTAGTGCTTGTTTGCCTTGTTTTTATTTGCTGTTAACAGCATGAAACAGTTATTGAAACTCTTACCACAAAACATGCAATGTTTGCTAATACATGGTTTTTATTTCAAAGTGATTGCTGATCATATCTGACCATTGTTGCAGAACATAGATTATTACCTTTGACCTCTTCCAATTCTCTTTTTCATTTCACCAGCATGATTTCCTAAACTGATACTTAAAAGAATCCTTCCTGGCATCAAAAGTTGTCCATAGTAAATCATATAGTGCAAGTCTAATTGGGAGAAAGATTTGATAAAAAAATTTTTTAAATGATAAATTAAATTGTCCTAAGGTCCAGGTTTTGATCTACATGTATTCTCTATTTAAAATAATTACATTTTTATAACAATAGAATTCAAGTCTTCTAGAAATTCAAGTAAGAAATCACAACATCAAAACTCTTGTTTAAAGATAATTTCTAGAGCATTATCCTGGTTACATCTCTCCACCTCTGTCATGTAAGTAGGCAATAAATATTCTAAAATTAAATACTGTGATGTGTGATTCTTTTTTTTTTTTTCTGCTCCCCAATAGCTGTGTGGAGTTTGACTTGAATGTAAACAATGTTGTAGGAATAAGAAATACATTCCTTCTGAGAACCTACGCATACAGTAAGTTTTTAATGTATTTTCTAATTTCTATAAACTTTACTTTTTGAATTATATTTTCCTATTGATAAACTACTATAATTCATATATAATATAATGTATTAGATAGCTTTAAAATAAGCTTATGTTATTGACTCTAAATATATGGAGAAAATTGATATATCAGCTAAGTATGTTTTTAACTCTTTGAGTGTGACCATCCAGCTATTTCCTTATCTGAGTGGTCCATCCATCAAATCCATATGTCTCCAATTTAGAGACAAGGATGTCGTACAAGACAGTGTAAAGCGCTTTGCACAAGTCCAGGTAGATGTCTAATGTTGATACAGTACCTAGCTTCTGCCACAGATTTCCTTTATTCCTGTCAGCAAATTACTGTAGAGCAGACAAGAGTCTAGATGTGAAAAGAACAGTGGAAGAGGTCCTAGTATTCCACCTTTTGTTCTGTTTTTCCTTGTTGCCAAGGAAGCAAAATTAACTCTGTCTCCTGATGAAGGATAAATACTGTTATTTTCTTGAGGTCAAGGACTGAGTTAGTAGCTAAGGGAGACTTTTGATTGAAACTGTTATCTTCTCAATGTGCTAGACCTTCCTAAATAGGCAAACTGTATTAAGCATAGTCTGTTTCGTATTCTTTGGACCAGAAAACTCTCAGATAACGTAAGGCAAACAAAAGTAAATGGAAACTTTCCTTAATTGGTTTTCTTACATACTTTCATAAGTCATATCAACCAGCATGATAGCATTAGAAGTACTGGCCTGCTCACTTAAATTTGTGACTGAAGTGCTTCACGCTGCATGGGAGGAAAAAAATTACCTCTCATGTAGAAGATGTATGGGACTCTTTGTTCTGTTACCACAAATTAGATGCTAAGACAAACAAGGGCCTAGTTATCTTAGTGAGCATGATTTTAAAAAAACCCCAAAACTCATAAATATTTCTGGGGATGCTTTTCTATCTTTTTTGAGATCAGTGATTTTACATTGGTGCATAGGTGCTGTAGAAAACATCAAAGATTGTATGACAGAGTGAAGCAGAATGTCCACAGAAAATGTAGGCAAACTAAACAGAGCTAGAAACTGAAGTCTGTGCTGTTATGTTATTACTTGTTTGCCTAATGAGGCATATCTGCAATTAAATCAGATATTGAATGTAAGTATTTTTCAGTTCATGGAAGCTGAACCTTTTAGTTTTGAGCAAATGACAGTACTGTGCATTTTCTTGAGGAGGTAGCTTGTTGCCTGATGAAAGGGTATCGGGAAAAGTTTACTGGCCATGTTGCACACTGACTTTGTTATATACTGATTAAAGGCCCTAGCAGATAGAAAATCTTATCTCAGGATAAGCTCAACTAAAATAAGATCTTCTGTACTGTGACATACACATTCAAAACTTCTGTTTGGAATTTGAGCTTATTTTCATTTTCTTCTCATGGAAAAATCCTATTTCAGTTAATGCATGTTCATATATGTATCTGTACAGTAATTCTTCTGCATCTCACTGTTAGTGTACTATTAGTCTTTTTTTTTTTTGTGGTTTAACTACTGGTAAATCATGTCAGGAATGAGGTGACTGGTGGTAAGGAGTTTTGTTGTTTCTAAGAGGTCTTCCAGATCTAGGACGTTCATTCTGACAAGACTACCACTTACAGGCTGTGAGAAAATCATTTGCTTGATAGGATTTTCAGAATAACAGGGAGTACCCCAACTGGTGCTGTTGCAGGATGTCTCTTGTTCTGGATTCAGTGATTACCTATTGATAATCTTCCTGTCCTGATGTGCAGAACTCAAAACTTTGCACAAAGCTGTCAGGTTAGAAAAGATACTCCCAAACATATAAGGCATTGTAAGACCATTGATTGACCTGATGATCTGCTTCTACATATCAGCAAATAATAAATTAAGTAGTCTGCAAGGTCCTTAAGAGGTGTTGCTTAGTGACATCTCCCTAACAACAGATTACTACCTTAATTAGAAGGCTGTCTGTGTTCCCCAGCAGTTGTATTTGTCTTTCCTCATGAAAAGCATATGTCTTGATTTAATGAGTTACTGTATCTAACACCTCATCTACATAAAAAGTTATTGAGGACAAGGCAAAATTAAAATTAATGTTTGTGTGCAAGGTTTACTGCTTTTATGGATCCTGAGGAAAACTTATGAGCTCTGTGTCCTTCAGACAAGAGAATTCTTTTCCCTACCCTTAAAGTTTGTATAACCTAAATAAGAAAATAAAAATTTTTAAAAAATAGATGTAGTCTCTCCTGGCAGCAAGTTATTTCAGTTAGTACAATGAACTGGAGAGAACTTAAAAGTAGAATATGACACTGCTACATTGACTGATGCATACAGTTTTGTCTTACCTGCAAGTTACCTGGAATGCCCCTTGTAATGTGTCTGTGGATCTTACTACTCAAAAGACAGTTTTCAAATGCAGATTTTTTTTTTTTCTGATTTTTATAAGATGGATAGTACTTGCAGAATAATTAAATTCTATAAAGTGGTTACAAAAGGTAACCTTAGAATACAAGAGTATCATGTTGATCAAGTAGGAAAAAATGTTGGTTGATTGCTGTCTAGTTGAATGTGCTTTTTTTAAAGATGTATTTATTTTACTTGCAGATGAGAGTCGGGTTCGTCCATTGGTGCTTGCTGTTAAGAAGTGGGCAAGTTTTCGTGATATAAATGATGCCAGTCGTGGTACTTTAAGCAGCTATAGTCTTGTTTTGATGGTTTTGCACTATTTACAGAGTAAGTATTCTTTTAATATGTCGAAACTCTATCTTTTAAGTTTATATTTGTGTAGTTTTCCTCTTTAATAACATTTAGCACTGGCAGGATTCATCTTCCACACAGAAAAATCTGAAAATAAAATGGTTTCGTTCACTTCCATAGCACTGCATTTTTCTTGTAACAAGTAGACCTTGTCTCTGGAGGTAGAGTTACCAGCTTCAAAAAGATTTTTTTAAAAAAGAATGTACCTATATAACTATAAAATAAACTCAAGTGCTAATTAAAAAAATCTGCTTTTTAACAAGAGAAAATAAAGCTCTAGTTAAGAAATGTCTGCCTTTTAACAAAGGGAAAACCCAAAACGTAACAATATCAGTGTGGGGTTTTTTGTTTTCTGTTTTTTTAATTTGGGAACTTCCAAGAAAATTCAAAGGGACAATAAATGCTGTGGGGTCATTTTTGTATCTTCTGATGAGTGAAGGACTGAACATGAGGGATATGTATATGCAAGTATGCGCTACCATGTGGTTAGATTTTTCCACTGTTGACTGTCTCTGTAAGGTGACAGATGTCAAAGACTGTTAGAAGCTGGGATATTTGACTGCCAGTGGCAGTATCTTTCCTTGTGACTTCAATATATTGAAACATTGAATATCTGTATGGATGTTGAGAGCTTTAGCTGAGAAACTAAGGATCCGTGTTGAGAATTCAAGAAACTCATGCAGTCCAGAAATGTTTTCAAGGAATAGATAGCTTGAAATGAGCTTAGCCCCCTATTTCTTTCTTTCATTAGAGGAAGCCCACACTTGTGATTTTTGTAGTTGGCAATTCTTGCTTAAGACTTAAGGAATCATTTAAGAAATCATTTAGCTCAGTATGAGTTTCTTTTTGTTTATTAGGAGATAAGTTTATTCAGAAGAACACAAGGAGCTGCTGAAATCTACATCTTAGAGTTATATGCTTGTAGGAGGAGTTTCTTAATTCATGTCAGTTCATATGTAGACTTTGTGTTTTGCTGCTTGTATTTATGCTAAATCTTTGTTTTAATTTTTTTGTAACATTTTAGACTTTTCCTCTTTGTCTGTTTGTGTAGGTTTTAATTTCTTTTTTAATCAGGTAGAAACCATGTTTTGCTCCTCTGACAGCTTGTTTGACCTGGAATGAACATACTTGCTGTTGAGCAGATAGCCAACTATATTAATTTCAAGATTGTGCTACACCCACTCTGTAGTAGGGTGGAAAGCTCTTTATGGTAGTTGACTCAAGCTGGTGGCTTGCTTTCAGCTGAACAGCATGTGTAATAGAGGACCTAGGAGGGCATTTTGTGTATTTGGGATCCAGTTGGCTGGGTTACTTATTTTCTTGATGCCCATACTATGTACTTGTTGTTAATGTGCCAGTCAAGAGGAGATTAGGACATAAACTAGTCTATCCAGTGACTGGGTTTTTTTCTGCTGTGGTAGATTTCTTTGTTGCTGTGGAAAGAAAAGAGTATGTGTCTAAGTCTTGTCACAGCTCTGAAACCATACTGGAGGTGACTGAGTACTTCATTGTAGATCCTTAATACACACCAGAAGAAAAAAAAATCAAACAAAAAATGTGGATTTGAAGGAGATGAAATGACAGTTAACTTAAAAATGCTGAAGTGGTTATTAGATAGAACATTGAAAATGTTGGGAACTACAGGATATGAAGATGGCTATGCAAAGGTGAAGTACAAGCAGGGGAGGGTAAAAAGTATCTTTACATGGTCTAGCAATTAGAGACCTCCTTAACAGTGACTTTATAAGCATGATAACTAGTGTTACACTTTTAATGGAACAGGCCTTTTCACTTGAAAATTCTTCAAATATATTCTCATTGTATCACAGTCACTGTAGAGACTTGTATTGGGTGCTGTGTGCAGTCATAGCCAACTATTAAGCTTTGCATAAAAGTAATTCACAAGAGGGAAGGGAGTAGGAGTTACAAGTAAATATAAATATGTAGGCTTACCAGAATGTAACAACTCTGCAAAGCAGGAGAGTATTTACTGTAGTCATCTGTGGCACAGCTGTCTAGAGAAGGGTAAAAAAAAGTTCAAATAAGTATTTTAATGAAAAACTGATCAGTCTGCTGCCTAAGAAGGATCAGCAGTCCACAGACAGAAAAGGAGCCTTTTGCCTGTGCTGCATCAGCCTTTTCTGCTAAAAAAGTCTGAAGTGTGGTTCTGGGCACATATCTAGCACCAGCTGTTTAGATTCTGATGTTTTATTAATGCAAATTTGAACTTTTTTCCATTTCTGCCAGATGCATGTGATGCTACTGAAAGTAGCTTGTCTTAGTCATAGAATTTCCAGTAGAGGTTTTGTTTATGTTACTGGGGAGGGAAAAAAATTTAAAGTTTTCTTTTGCAGTAAATAGTGTCCCTGTCTTCACTGGATAAATTTCTTTACTACTTAATACGTTTCCATGTACTTATGTAGATGCCTTTGGACCTAAGGTTAGTGTGGCTTGAGTTTATTTTGTAGGTACATCAGTGTCTTGTACATGAACTTTCCTACAGGTGACAGGTCCAACTATCTTGTATAGTTAAAAAAAGGTAAAGTCATGTGGCAAATGCTGGTGGTAAGTGATAACTTTTCCCCTTAGCTCCATCCTCTTAGTGTAGCATACAGACCCATATAAAATACCTTGATTGCTTGTATTGCTCAGGTTTTGTTGCCTTTTATTTTACTGTGGCAGAGAACTGGAAATTATCCAAGATGTTACAGAAATAAGATGCTCTTGCATATTTCTAAACACCCACAAACAAAATAAAAGTATTGTTAGAGCAGCTGTGATCATATTCTTAGCAGTCCTGCTAGTTAATACAGCATACTCTTTGAAGATACCTCAAGCATGTTCTGAGAATTCTGCTGTTCTGATTCTTAGTCTCTGTGGAAAAAGGATTCTGTAACAAGCCTTCCCCTGTGAGACCTTGTCTGAAGTGTGAATTAAGTCCCAGCTCAGAGTCCTTTGTGGTCAACTTAATGATCACTCTCCCTAGAGAATGATGCAGACCAATTGTTTAAAAAAAAACCAACCATGCTGAAGACGTGATATTAAAGCCTTAGTATGAGGAATGCTTTAACAGTTCTGTAGCTGCTCTAAGGCTTGAGTGAGATGTGAATACTTTAGGATTTTTTCTATCTGTAGGACTACCTAACCTCATAAGTTTTTCCCCTATTTGTATTGTGCAATAGATGCTCTTCCCATCAGAGACTTCCATAAAAGTTTTAATTGTTTAGTGCTTTTTGTGTGTTAATGTCTATAATCTTTATAATCTGTTTTTTAGTAGATTAGCTAACAGCATTAGGCTGTGTTTATGTATTTTATGGGGATTTTGCTAGCAATGCCTATAAATGTGTTGGCCACTTTAAGTTACTTTTGGTTACTTACTCAGTATGTAACACTTTGCAGCTGAAGAATTTGTACTCTTGCAGTATCTTGAGACTTCCCATGCTGTGATAGAATCATTATTTTAGATGTAGGAAAAAAAAGAGTGAAGCTCTGATTTTTCCTTTAGGGAATCTAGATGTGTTTCTTATAGCCATAATTAACATGACTTTGTAAAGTGAAGTTGTACCCAGCTGCTGTAGAATTTTTCATGTCTTCTACAAGTAGTACTTAGTAACAGCTTCCCTTAGCTGAATTAACTCCTTATACTGCTATATACAAAATGCAGTAATAGAAAGATTTGCTGAATAACTTTTTTTACATAATAGATGCAAGTGAAGTTCTTGATGAGTGTTTTTAAAATGAAATTTCAGTCCAACATTTTGGTGTAGTTGATATGATGTTGTTTCCTGTGAATTACATGAATCACAGCAACTTTAAACTTTTTTTTTATAGCCCTACCTGAACCCATCCTTCCATCACTTCAAAAATATTACCCAGTAAGTGTTTCTTATTTATTACATCATATATGTGTATGAAGCTACTTATCTAAAATACATGAATTCTTAAATAATCTTTAATGGATTAAGTTAAACACAGTCTGTAAGACTTGTTGTTGATACACTAAACATAAGCATGAAAAATGTTATTTGTTGCTTTTGATCATTTTAGTGGAAATAGTCTGTTATATATGAAATTTCACACAGCTGGAAAAGAGCACTAATGAGAACTGCTGACTTAAATCTCTTTATGCTGGCCTAAAAATATCCCTGTCATCTGTGACTTTATGATTCTTATCTCTTAATATGTTAAGTAGTGTTTTTTTCTATCCAACTGTACTGTTTCAGAATTTTGTACCTTCCCACAGATGTTGAGTTGCCTGGTATTTCTGGGTGCAGAGGGTGAATGATACATGTTAACTATGGAGACTTCTGAGACCTCATAAAATTGGATTTCAGTCCAACAAGAAAACATCTTTTGGGGACTTAGCTGTTATCTGTTGTCCAGATCATACTGCCGATTTCCAGAGAACTCTTTTGATTCTCAGCAGCATTAGGACTGTAATTAGTGATACTTAATCAAAGGAAGATTACCTAGAAGTAAGAGCTGCCCTCCTAAATACTCATCTGGGGACAAAAGAGCTGTGGCTAAATAGTTCTACAGTATAACTTGTTTACAGAAACTCCTCAATTCCCTCCTTCTTACCTTCCTCTCATGTGTCACTTTTAAAATTTCTCATTATTCATAGTTGCCACAGTTTGGTGTCCCTATCTAGGGTTTTGGTGTTTTTTTTAGTGTTACTGATAATTGTGCTGAGGTGGTATCAGAAAACCACTTATTCTTTTGCATTTTTTTCCCATAATGTTGGAAGGGGAATATTTGATGGTACTGCCAATCAGGGAGAAAATACTGTGGTGTTAGCCATTTTGACTCATTAGAATAATCAAGATGCAGAAGAATAGCTTTGAGCTATAGTACGCTGCAGTTCTATTGCTGTTTTGTAAACATGCTTAGGGATACCTGTGCTAAATTTGTATGGTCTGTATTTTTTACTCTTATTTTTTACTGTACAGCATACCTTCTAATTTCTTCGAAGTCCTTCAGATTTCTTCAAATATCTGTCTATTCAAGTTAGTGCTCAAAAGCATCCGAAGCTGTTTTTCATTTATTGTACGATTAGCTTTATCTGATGGATTTTTTGAATTCCTAAATTTGCTAGTTATGTTTGTTTTAAAGCTCACATGCTGTAGTATTTTAAGTTTTGAGTAGCATGTAATTTAAAGAAAACAGCTGTAAGAACTGGTAACTTTTGACTCCTTTGAATAATGATGCAAACATTTATATTGTAGTGTTCAAACTGTGTAAAGGCCTTCAGAGCGTTACACACATACTAATGGCTTAAATGATTGAAGAAAAAGTGTACAATATAGTAAGCTGAAAAACCTAATGAATTTGTACTAAATACAAAGTTACCTTTTGTTGTATGAAAGTGGTAAATCACTTGCAGGTTCCTGTGTTTCTAGAATACTGCTGTAGGAATGTCATTTTTTTTAGCCTGTTTCAGTGTAATTGTTTTTCTATGGTGTTGTTAGTTAGCTTGCCTTTGGAGGATGGACTAAATATTCTTGGATTGCTAATAAAACAAAAATAATACTTTATACATGCTTACTGTAAAACCAAATCAAAACTATGGGTTAAGATTTTAAAATACACTAAATTTGCAAATATATTTTGGTCTACTGTCTCCATTAGGAATGTAAATAACTTTTTTAAAAATTGTGAAACTTATAGTTTCTGAATACTGAAATTGCAAAGAAATTTAAAACGGAAATGAGCAATACACCAAAACAATTCTGGTCTTGTAGCTTGCAGCAATAATTATGAAGCATGGGCAGATGCCAGTATTGAAAGAAACAGTGTTTTTCTTGTGGCTGTAGCTGGTCAGAGCTGTGTCTCCATCCTAATACTACACATAAATACTGCTTCTCCCCTTCTGAAACAAACCACCCTACCTACAATTTTTCAAAATCAAATCTGCACCTCTTTCTGCAGCCCAAAAATATTTTTATGCTTTGATGGAAACTGCTTGTTTTAAATTGTACATGCCATGTAAAGGAGACATGCATATGTTGAGTGAGGAATAAAAGACAGATTCTGTGACTCAGTATATCTTTACTGCAGATGTGAAGGGTGAGAAGTCCTGGAAATCCACCATATCTGCCGACCTGTGCATTCTGTTGCCATGGTGGAGTCTCCAGCTGGCACCAAGCTGATGTGGTTTGCAAATGCTAGTTTAGAGGGAGTACTAGACCTTACAAGATGTCAGGTTGGATTCTGGGGCTTCCTGCCCACCCCCCAGCTCTGAGCCAGATGGGGTGAGTGAGAGTAGCCCACAAAATATGTTGATTGATTTTTGAAGTTTATGTAGAACTTGCCTCGAAGTCAGGACTTTTACAGATGAGCTCTGGAGAACCTGTGGTGGCTGAGGCCGTTATGGCTTCTGTTTGTTTTGCCTGTGTGTTTGCCAGAGGTGAAGATTGCTGCAACTGGGATTCAGAAGGGTACATGTGCCTGCATCTCCAATGTTCTAGAGCAGCCTGGCATATTAGCTTAAATCCAGATGGGCGCGGGTCTCCACATAGTTCTCCAGATTGTGGACTTCGTGGACTCTAGCATGAGCTTGTTTTTGTTTCTGCTACCTCAGCTTCACAAGCAGTCATAGCTTGCAAAGGGTGGTGCAGAAGGTGGGATAGTGCTTACTGTAGCTTCTTCATGCACAGGAGTCAGTCCTTGGACAGACACAATTTACTTCACTTCTTGAGTTGCACTTTTTAGAAGTATAAACATTAGTTAAATGTTCAGTTGTAAGACTGCCAAAGGGTATTTTATGTGTGTGAATATAGATACGTATCCAAAATGGCAAGATACTATGATGTTACCACTGTAAACTTTTTTGAAGGAAGGATCTTGTACAATCAGAGTTAAACTCGTTATGCATCAAGATATTAAAATGTAAAGAGTTTTCTGAGGTATGTTTGTGTTCTTTTCCAGTGTGTAATATGTAATGAAAATATGGGTAAGCATTATGTAGCTTTAACATGAAGCATGTTGCTGAATACTAGTGTTTCCTTGAGAAATCAACCAAAGCAAAGATTAGTGATCTAGTAAAAAAAGGAAAAAAATACTTTAGGGTCCCCTTTTCTGGGGTATTTTGAAATAATGGATGGCTCATTTATATTTGTGGCTCAATCAGATCCTGAATTTCTTTTCCATTTTTTAAGATGGCATAAGGTAAAGACAGAGCAAGCAAATTAGGGACTAGTTTTAAAAGAAGCTGCATTTTTTTGCCTTCTAAAGCAAGTTTAAAAAGAAAAAGCTTACAGGGAAAGCCTACTTGTAATTAAGCTAGTTTGAAGGATGCTTTGTAACTGTGTTTTATTACCAACCTCCCTTATGTGCAGAATCTATAAACTGTACCATGTTCTGTTTATCTACTTCCTCACTGAGTCCCTCTGGCAGGAAGAAGGGTACTGTTACCCTTGTTTTACAGTAGGTGGATGGAGTCAGATTGAGGGTCAAGGATTTTCATAGGCTGTGTGTGGCAAAGCAGAAAAATGAGCCAATGTATCCTATGGCTCGTCTGATGTCTTGTTCACTGGACACTGAGTGATTGCTCTGTTAAAAACTGACTTTAGGGAAATGACATTGTTGGTTATTGGTATGTTGGATATTGGTATATCTTCACAGAAGTTTTAAATCTTTCCCATACCCAGTTTTAAATAATAATCACTTTGGTTTTACATGTAAAACTTTCTAATCTGGTAATAGTAATTTCTTCCATAAATTTTCTGTGTTTCAGAAAGATTTAACACTTTCTTCTACCTTCTGCATGTGCTGATCAGCAGCTTGCAGTGATTGACAGTTTGCTTTATTAGTGTAAAAAAAAAAAAAAAAATCTTCCAGAAAAGTAGTTTCAGTCATGCTTTCTATTTTGTAATACTTAATTGTCTTTTTAAGAGTCATTTTTGTAGTGGTATAACCACTAAAGCAAGTGGAGACACAAATTATTTATATGTGTGTCTCAAGCTAGGTGGTTGGGGTTTTTAATTATTAGCTGCTATAGATCGCATTTGTAATACAGCACTTGAATAATACGCATTTATTTTTTGAAGGCAAATGCCTTTCTGAGTAAGGAAAACTTTAAATTGCCTGGCCTTTGCAGGGCAGGTGTACTTAATATACATGATAAATCTTGGGCTGCAAGTTTCATGAAATTCAACTTGCTTTTGGAAAAAAAAAAATCATCATTTTAGATTGCAGAATTGAAGGGTTCTGATTTTAGTTACTAGATGAAGATTTCAAAAATTGCGTTCTAATGCAAGTTAGGAACTCTATCTCTTCTGCCATGGGTGGGAACCTCTAGAATGTGGTACGTATCCTGCTCCTCAAATGAGGAGTCTTTCAATTTTATCACTGTTGCTGAAGAAACAGACAAACTAAATATCCTGAAAAATACTTTCATCTGGATTATGCTTATATCATAATCAACCTTTTCAAAATACAGATTTGTGATTTTAAAACTGTTCAAGGGTTTGTAACAATATTTTATTAACTGCTAACAAATCTCACTGAAAAAATATCTTTGGATAAAGTTGTATGTGATACCCTTTTGCTCTTTTGTTTTTTCTGGATGTATGCATACGTACACAGGCACACATGTATCTTCCTTTTGTGCCATAAGTTTTATTTACAACTATATTTGATATATTGTCTTTTGCTATTAGGATAACTGTTGGTTTATTTTTTCTTGTTCAAATTATGTACAAACACTAACAAAATTAATTAATTGTGATCAATATATAAAATGTAAATAAATTACTTAAGGTCAAGATTGATAAGAAGCAGCAATGTCTCTACACTTGTAGTAGTGCTAACAAAAATAGATTGGGATATTATTTTTCGGAATAGTAAATAAAGTTAACTTTTTAACTGCACAGGATGCCAACCTCACTGTAATGGCAGATTTATTTTTTTTTTTGCAGTTGAGAAGTTCTTAGGCATTTGAACATTCAAGGCATTAAAAAAAATTATCTTGTTCTCCTTTCCAAAACTGTCTACTGCCTCCAAACATTTACTTACTAGTTTTAAGACATCTGTTGTTGTAATTTCATTGCATTTCTGTTTTGTATTGTTTGGAGGTCAGCAGCCTTTGTTCTCATTCCTTTTTTCCTTCTGTGTCCATTTCCTTATGAGCTGTTATACTACTAATACTAAATTCATTTGTTGTGATTCTTCCACAACTTTGGAATGGGCAAAGAGTGACTTCAACTGTAGTACCTGTTTGATTAACTTTAGGCTCAAAACTGTCTCTACTGTATAACATAGGAACAACTGTTTTCCTTTATATGCTCCATATCTGCTTTTTATGTCGGTGTGTTTCCATGTTTCTGTTGTGTTCTTTTGGATTGTAAACTGTTAAATTCTGAGCTCTACTAATATTTTATATGCCAAGTTACATCATGTGAGAACAAGACTTGAAATTTTCATAGTTGGAGGAATGGTCTTTTTTCCCCAGAAGGTGTTGGTGAGGGCTCCAAGAAGTTTTGCTGTAAGTGGCAACAGAGAATGGGAGTCCCAAACTTTTCAGTCCTCTGGTTTGATTGCTAACCGTATTTTTCTCAGAGGAAGCACTGCCAGCTGTGAACGTGGAAGCAGTATTACAGTGTATGGTGCTTTCAGTAATATTCTAGTACTATAAAGTTTGAGTCATGCCTGATACTAGTGTTTAAAATAACAAAGGAGTGGAAGGGAAGATACAGTTATGTCTTAATAGGTCCCTAAATTTACATAGATGTATTTCTTCCTGTGAATGTAAAGCTTGCTCTTGTGTATCTTGGGTTCGTTTTCCTTAAAATACGTAACACTGCTGTAAAATATAGTATCCTGGTATTACAGGGTTTTAAACTGTTTCTCTAGGTAGAGAAGATACATTCTTCATGTACCCCAGTCTCTGAAAAGAACCTAAAGGATGCAGTGGACACACAAACAGTATAGCAGATCTAAAACCATGTTAATTTAGTCTTGTGTAGATTCCTTTTTAAGCTGGCAGTAGTGACTGACTTTTTCTATACCCCCACATCCCACACACCCCACCCCAAAAAGCATACTTCAACTTAAATGCTGTGTTTTATGTGTTCAGGTTTTTATATAATTTTTTGGTTTTAATTCTTTCATAGAGGTTAGATAGAGGCAATGCTGCTGCAGTCTTTGAACTCATTATGTGGGAGGATGCAGGTTCATCTTAGAGCCAGTGGGTTTCAGATGCAGTTTTAATTTTTGTGTTGTGGCAAAAATAATTCAGGCCGCCTTTTTGGTTTGTTTCTGCACCACAGTTATGGGAACATGGTGATGAATGCATTAGCTTGACCTGCCCTGTCTCAGGTCAACTACAGCCAGCTCAGTGAAGGCTACCTTACTCAGCTTCTGCTCATGTGGTTTCACTAGCATGTACATGCAAGTCCAGTTCAGAGATTCTTCCATGTTGAAATTCTGTCGCAAAGAGAAGGCAAGGGATGGTCTCAGACACTCCTTCCTGTGCAAGATGATTCTACGTGAATTCAGGAGGAGTAACTAGTATCCAACAGAGGAGCACAAGAGAAATAGTTTTTTGCTTGTAAGTTGTCCTTGAAGTTCTAATAAACAAATGGTAGGCAGCTTTTTTATTATGGAAAGATATATGCACCTAGGTTAAGGCACTGTGTGTGTGTGTGTGTATATATAGATATATATAGATATATATATATATATATACTCTCTGATTTTATTTTGACAGGAATATTTTGATCCTACTTTGCAGTTGCATCTTGTTCATCAAGCTGTATGTACCATTCCTCCTCACTTCTCAAAAAATGGATCAAGCCTTGGAGATTTACTAATAGGCTTCTTCAAATATTATGCCACAGAATTTGAGTAAGTAAAAAACTCACATCTTATTGTTTTAGAATATGCAAAACTTTGATTCCTTCTCTTCAATATAGCAACATGTTATAATCCTTGAAGAGAAAGATTGGCATTAATGCAGGAGTGGTAACTGACAGAGAGGAAATGAGTGAAAAGACGAAAGGACAGCAGGAATGCTCATGAAGAGCATTTGACATATTTTGCTTAGCTAGGCATCCTATTGTGTAAAGTAACTGCCAGATATCAGAGAGCTTTGTCTTTTAAAAGTCATTTAAAAATACATGGGGTTTGTTATATTACTATTTTAAATCTGCCTATCTATGTGTGAGAAAGATCTGTAATTCTTAGTTGTTGTTTAAGGTATTGATTGTGATAAGAATTACTTGGACCTTAATAGGTCTGCTTGTCTTCTGTCTCCCTGAGTCAGTGGAGGTAACTGACCAGGTAGCACCTTACTTTGACTATAATATAGATCAATATAGGCCACACCTAGGGAAGAATTCTCCCATATATAGTTGGTTCACTAGCCTTGTTGGTTTGCTAGAATGAGAGTTTAAATTCGGCATCTTGTACTTTCTTGTAGAAGAGAGGAGGAATTAAAGTTGTGAGGGCATCTGAGAAAGCTGTAGGTTGCCAACATTTTGCCAAATTATCACCTGAATTTCTTAAAAAAATTTGAGTGTCCATATAAATATCAAATGGTTGTATTTCACTCAGCTTAAAGATCTAAAGAAGTTGTTTCTGAGGCAGTTGGTTCATACGTGTTGCTGTCCTATGTATGTGCATGATACTCATTTCCTAGAAAGAGCACTGTTGTTCTGGTTTGAGCTGGGATAGAGCTTTTTCTCTGTGGCTAGAATAGTGCTATGTTTTGGTTTCAGCAGGGATTTGGTAGGAGAAGAATGTTGATAATACACTGAAGTTTTTAGTTGTTGCTAAGAGATCAAGGACTTTTCAACTCCCAGTGCCCAGCTAGTGTGCAGGTGCACAAGAAGCTGGGAGGGAGCAGAGCTGGAGCACCAGACCCAAACTGAGCAAAGGAATACTCCATATCATACAATGTCCTGCTCAGTGTATAGATGAGAGGTGGCAGGGAAGCTCACTCTCCCAAGATTGCAGTTGCAGGGTTTTTTCCTCTTCTCTGGGACTGCTAGTCAGGAAAGATCTGGGCATTGGTAGGTAAGTTGTAAGCAATTGCACTGTGTGTCACTCATTTGTATATTCTATTATTATTGTAATTATTTTAGTTTTATTTGAATTAATAAACTGTTTTTATCTCAACTTGTTACCTTTACCCCTCCAATTGTTTCCCCCACCCCTTGGACAGGGGAGGGTGAGTGAACAGCTGCATGATGTTTGGCTGCTGGCCAGGTTTAAACCAGGACAAAAATTTACAAAGTGCCTAATTTTTGAAGTGTTCATATTTACTTCAATATAAGAAGTGAACAATCATGAAATCTGTAAAAGAAAACATCACAGGGGTGTGCACCAGATGTAAAACCATAAGCTAAGTCCATATGGTCTGTGCAATTCATGAACTAATTGCACTTTGGGCATGCTTAAGCCTGATTCTGAGAGATTTTCTCATAAGGGTTTTTCCTTCAATGATCTGTGCAGATAGGGGGATGGTCTTTTGTCCTAAAAATTTCTCCTGAGTGCCTGTCTTTTCAGCTGACAAAGTGCTGTTTGCTAAACAAGTAAATTAGAAACCACTGATAGAGAATATCCTCAAGTTCCAAATTTATGTGGAACACTAGATGCATCCTTTACTACTTGTCTGTATCACGAACTGCGAATCTTCTCATATATGAAAGTAAATATCTTTTTCACTACGAAAGAAGTTTCTGGTTTGCCTGTGCAAACTAGCAGAGATGATCTTGTCCAAGTGCAGGAAAAATACCTAATTTGACTTTACTGGTTTAGGTGCTTGTCAGCATAGTCAAGAGCAGATTTGTGTCAGTAGCTGGTCCAGGAATACACTTTTTTGTTTGCTCTTAGACATGCAGGATATACTAAGAAGTATGAAGACTAAAAATGCTGCGATATCAGTACTGAAATTGATGATAATCTCTGAATATTATTTTTCATGATAACAAATGAGGAAAAAATGTTAATCATAGAAGCATAGGGGAGCTTCTGGTTAAAACAGCTTGAAAAGTGAACAATGAAAATAGGATAGTTGCTGAGGTCAAGGGAAGAAAAGATTTAATTTTTTTTTTAAATCAACCAAACAAAGAATATCAAGCTTGTTTTTTTCCATGTTGAGTACCTGTTAAGTATTTAAACATTTGACTGGCAATATTCTGTTTAAAACAAAACAAAAACCTGTAAAAAAATAGCAGTTAGAATTCCTGTGTTGAAAATGTTTCATAGCTGAGAAGTTGTATTAGGAAATGACATGCCTAATGCAGCAGCCTACATTGTTTTTAACTCTTTCTGCTAGGGAAATAAAACTTAGTCTGGTGTATTGTTTACTTAACCATCTATGTATCCCTGACAACTGTAAATCCTGTTTGAAATGAGCAGGGTGTGTCTCAAAGATACTAAAATTCCCTATAGTTTCATAAAACTTGGTAACTGGCTGGAGAAGAGAAACCCAAATTAATGTCCGTGTCCGAGAAAAGTCAGGCAGAACATCGTGTTTAAACATTTTGTGTGTGTGTGATAGCCAGCCAGTGAGAACAAGTACAGTGTCATGCTACTGATGTTATCTGTTAACTTATCTTTGAGGTTGCTGATGGAAACAATGTTTTAGGTGGAAATGACGGTAAGAGTTAAATACATACAACGCAGGGCTCTGTTATGTCTGCCTTTCATGGAAGAACTGAATGTGTTGAATATTTTCATTGCTGTAATTGGTATTTTTTTTCAGTGTTTGCTTTCCCTCTAAAATATTTACTAGTGGTTTTATGCCCAGAAACTTTAAGATTGTATTTCAGATACTGTGACTATTAAGTTAGGTAACATTTAAATGACCAGTGAGCTTTCACTGTTGAACTGTGACATGTTTGATGAAAAGATTACTATAGAGAACACTACTTCAGCTTTCATAGAAGTGACTTTTGTAGATCACTGTCTGTGGAGTAGGACACAATATTCCCAGGCTTAATATACAGGATCTGTTTTACTGAAAGAACAGCATGCAGTCAAGAATGATCAGATCATGTATGAAGATAATCATTTTGGACAGAATGAGTCATTGATTCCACCTGCTGTAATTCCTAACTGATCAACTGGTTTACATGCATTGGTCAGGAAGATGAAGGGAAGATGGATATACATCGTTTTAAACTTCACCCTCAGTCTAGCGAAGGCCAGGTGGCATTTCAGTTAAAATCTATATTTTATTTCACTTGATGTAGTTTAAGGGCATGAGGGGCCCAAAGAGTAGGGCAGAGAGGAAGAAACAGGAGCCTTGCATGCTGTGCAGCCATTAATGTTCATCAGCTTGTGCTGTGGTTTTTTTCCCCCTTATGCTTTTAATCTGCTTCGTTTATTTAGAAAAAGCGGTTTCAGAAAACTGCTGATTACCATGTATTTATACAGAGCCCATTCCATAGTCCTGCTCTAGGGTTTTTGGTGCGTCCATAAGAAGTAATTTTTCTTCTTCATAATTTACCAGAAATGTGATTTGGAAACTGCTGCATATATTGAACATACACACTACGTATGGCAAAGCTTGATTTGCTGACATGGTTATATAATTAGCTTGCCATAAAGGTTGAAGTCTGCATAATGTCTTTCATGATACAGCTGGCTAAAAGTATGCTGAAACTCCATTTTAAGTATTTCAAACTATCAAAGGTCAGCTGATCACGCAGCGAGTATGACCAAGTAAAAAATGTATGGAGGTGTTCTTAAAAGAAAGTATTTGGAAACTGGTCCATGTTTATCAGGCCCTCTGACGAGAGTGTCTGATTTCATTTCTGCAGCTGTGAGTGAAGGCAGCAGGTTTTCACTTGGCTAGCTGTTTACAAAGGCCTTGCTCCTCTGAAGTTACTGCTAGGGAACCTAGAGATTGTCCTTCGTGGCTGTACTTCTCTTAAATTTAGTGTTTCAAGTTATGGAGCAGTTGGTGGACATGATAAAAGATTGGTTACATTATTGTGACAAAAAATAAAATACAGTTGCTCACAGCTCTCTTCAGGGTAGAACTGGTCAGCTAATAAAGGGATCATTTTTTAATAATATCTTGAATTAAATATGCTTACAGTTTGTACCCGTCTTCATGTGTTTATGCAAGTGGCTTTGGCTTACAAGAACAGTCTGGAAAACATGCTTTTAAATCTATTTGTAGTGTATTTATACACACTTACACATGGTCTTTTTCTTTCAAACCTTCTCCATGAGCAGCACATACCTAATGTGGTCAGTGACACCAGAAGTAACTGATAACTGAAGTAACTGTTTAAATGATTGTTGTTAACTTATGAACTGAAAGTGTGTATGCAGAGAGTATTTGCTTTGTGTTGGTAATAATGATGTTCTTGTGTGCAAGCCAAAATTGTTAAAATTGATACATGAATAATTTGCTGTTGCTAATTCATTTCTATTTCAGGCTGATTTTGGTGCCAAGGCAGGGTTAGTGAAGGTTTAATGAGACTATTAGATAAAGTAGTTGTTATCAAGTTTAAATAAAAAGATTTTAAAATAGCTATAAATGTCACTTTTTTGTTGCTTTTTTGGTAAATCAGTATATTATAAATGCATTTATTTTTTTGTTGAGGAATCAAGCCAAGTATAACCTAGAGAAAAAGTCAAGAGAAGAATTATATGTTTGAAGTGAAACAATGCAGCCTGGTTTAACCAAACACAGATCAAATACTTTATTGCCTGACTTGCCACTTCTCCCCCATCTTAGACCTCTGATTTTTAAATAAACTTTTAGAAAAGCAGAAGAATTAAACTGTCAGCTTCTGCTTATGACCAATATTCTGGAGCTGCAGTTTCAACTTCTTTGATGCTCTAGTCAGATGCTTTTTCTCTTTTGTCTTTTTTTGTGTTTGGGGTTTTTTAATGAGCAATTAATCTGAATTTCTTGTTAAGCTTGTGTTGATGGTAGTTTGTTAAAAAGACATGATAGGAAGGTATTTGATGCTTCATAATATCTGCAATTGTTGTAGTAGTAATCTATTGTGGGAATTAAGGAGAGGGAGAGTGATGGGTTAGAACAAAAGCTTTAGTTTGCATAGAATGCTAGAAATTATCACCTGTACTATTTTTCTAAAGAATATATCAAGAGAAATGGTGCAGTGGGTGAATAAGTAATCTGAGGTATCCTAAACTATGCTTTATATGCTGTGTCATGCACCTTTTTGAAACAGGCCCTATTCATACTCTTAAATAGAAGAATAATGTACATGTTCTGTGGAAGTACAGTTATTCAGACAGCTGACTTTCATAAGTGATTTTAATCATGATTGTTGTATCCAAGATAATTTGAGGAATTACAGGCATGGATTTTTAGCTGGTCTGAACTGTTTTATCTCTAACAACTTAATGGAGTTATGACAGTTGACCTGTGACCTAGAGAGTACAGAGTTCTTCCAGATTTAACTGATGAATTTGACTGTATTTTGATTTACAGTTGATATTTACAGATTTACTGCACGTGGTTGTTGCACCCAGCCAAGCTCCTCTCTCTGTGTTATGTCAAAAGATTGATTCAGTAAGGAGATAACGTCAGGTGTACATAACACCAGTACATCTAGCAGCATGCTACCCAGCTATCTCTAAGCCCCATTTTGTCAGAGCATATGGTGATGCATTGTTGGTGATCCAGGTGTTTCACTGATAAGGTAGTTTATTGTTTAGTTTAGTTAAGAGCAGCTGAAAACTGGCTGGATAGATAAGAAAATAAAACTGCAAGTGATTGCTTTGGCTTCCATTACACTTGGCATATTGTTGTGTCAAGCATCATAAAGATGCTTGGCCCATCATAAAGATTGTCCTGTAAACCGCCTGCTGTTCCTCTTTCAGTGTGATCATTTCCTATGGCTTTGTTGTAAAAATGTGCAAAAAGCAGTAGAATATCTTCAGATGTGTACTTAAATTGTTGCTCTGTTGTTGCACCTGTATGGGATCTAAAATTCATCATACACAGTGTTAGTGCTTTCTAAGAATACTTTTCTTGCATCAGGAAAGCTGGCCTGTAAGCAAGCTATCTTTATATATCTTTATACTGTTGAGTTCTTTTTTTATGGGATGCAGTATGTAACTTCATGTGCACCTAAACTCCTTATGTTCCTTTTCTCCCCTCAGAACATTCTGAAAGATAGATTTGAAGCTATAATTTCTTTTGAACCTAGAAGTGTCTGTATTCAATTTGACATTGTTTTATGAAAAAAATTATTGTCATGTATATGTTACTCATGGATGTCTGTGCTTTGTGGATGTTTTTGTAAATAAACTTCTGTTTATGGGAAATTGTTTTTGTTTTCTACCCATCATTCCTTATTCTTATATGGTGAATTATGAATTTCGGACTGTTGCACTAAATTATTGATAAAGTACTGTGTTATTCAGGCTTATGACATAGCAATGTAAACTGGTATTACTAATTTAGAGTCAAGAGTTAAAAGTTCTCTGAATTGTTTTCTTTTTCCCTAGTTGGAGCCATAAAATGATTTCTGTTCGTGAGGCCAAAGCTGTTCCAAGACCTGATAGTATTGAGTGGAGAAACAAATTCATTTGTATAGAAGGTAAAATGTAAAGCTGCATTGTCATTTTTACCTGTTAAGACACTACATAAATCTATCAGTTAGACTTTACCTTGTTTGTGTTTTAATAACGCACACATGTAATATATTTATGTAGTAAATTAAGTTTAACTAATATAAATAGTTTTGGAAACAGTCCCACCATAAACATTTGAGAAGGAAGCTTTAAGTTCTGTAGTGTTTAAAAATAGTTCTCCTGACCTTTTCTTCAAGAGCATTCATTGCCCTGTTACTTTTGGAACAGGGATTAGGGCATTGTCAAGGAATGGCCTTTATGACAGTAGTGTGTGTTTTTCTGCTTTGCAAAAATACTCATTAGTTTTATCAAGATTGAACTTCTGAAAAAACACAACAGGCACGTATTCAGATTACTCTCTAAGAATATTCTTTGTTATTGAAGTGCAGGACCTAGCAGTGACTAGGTTATGTTATGTTGATCCCCTTGTGCCTACTATTTTTGTCTGGCTTCTGAATGTAAAGTTTCTGCAGATACTATGAAGCCCTCCAGCACTGGAGGGTAAACACAGGCTACCTTTTGGATTTGCAGGTCTCGGCCTTCTTAGAGCAGGCTGAACTGGGTAATAGCACTATACAGGGAACTTGCTTCATGTGCTCTTGATGCCTTCCAACTGCTGTGGGGCATCTCCATGGAGAAGATAAACAGTTAGCATGAATAGGAGATGAAACTTGCACTGGGTAAAGAGAAGTTAATAGACCAAGAGAAGGACTGAGATGTTAGGAGAATGCAGAGAAAAGCAGGAAAAGGACTGAGAGGTACTGCATAACTGGAAACAGTTAACACATAGAGATAAGATGGGAGTAAGAATCAGGTAAAGGGGAACTGGTTGGACAAGGGACTGTGGATTAGCAACCAAGGTGCAATGGGACCAGAATTAGAAGTAGGTGGTTTGGAACACTGGGATGAAGAGGGAAGGTTTGAAATACCAGAGGTGACCTGAGCCCTGGCTGTAAATAAATGTAGGCTATTAGGATCAGGATATCAAGGGTTGAAGTTTCAAGATAAAAGCAAATAGAACTTGGACAGAAGTGAAAGGGTATGGAAAGGGTTGTTAAAGACTAGAAAAATTTTGTTAGGGGAGGAAGGGGATAAAGCAGAAGTTCTGTGGCTAGACAGGCGTTCCTCAGGACTGCTGCGGGTGGAAGTGCACCCATGTCTGTATACACACAGTCTCCTGCATTTGTGTTCCTCTGTGCAGAGAATAATTACCTGCTGGTGAAGTTTGTTACTCTGTGGCCCAGAGTTTACCAGCTTGGCTGTAATTAAACGGGTGGCAGTGTGAAGCCACATGAGGGGATTCCTCTCATTTGACTTCTGGTGGGAAAAAATCAACTACGAGTCATACAGAAAAAAACACTGAAAGACGACTGCACGCTTGACTCTGCAGCCTCAGAGTTGAGAAATGTGAGAATTAGAGTATCTGCACGGCTGAAATGATTCGGCATAGTGTATTGCCAGCATTGCCAAGGCTCTGGTCTGAATGTGGGAGGCGGGAATGCTGGGCAGCTGTGTCTGCTGCTGTCACATGATGCTGATCTGTGTTGTGGGGGGACTGTGTGTTTCAAGCTCTCAATATTTTTGACATGAGAAAGTGGTTGAATAATTGGGGTTTTTTTCAGGTTGGAAAACAGAATATCCAAGTACAAAATAGACACTTCAGAATTTGTTTTAAATGGGCTTGATTTCATTACATACAACTTTTCCTTAAGAGTGCATTTTGCATTTGAACTATTAAGCAAAATTATCTGTAGGTGGCACATCTGATTCTTTCCTGTCACTACGTGCTTCAAGATTTTATTAAGAATGGGGTTTAGCTTCACATACCAAGTTTTTCCATCTGAATTGGAAGGGAAAAATTAAATTTCCTATTTCAACTCAAAGTAGGCTTTATGTTTATTATAACCGCTGTTAAGCCAAACTAGTTTAAAAAAGTACGTAAGTTTTTAAATGTTACATAAAGATGTCAACATATTTTGGTTTCTAACTCTTTGTCAGATTTTTCAGTTAGCAGGCTAAAATTTCAGTACTTGGTTTTACTGAGTCTGTTTTTTTAGTATTTAAAATATGTTTGTTGATTACATGTCTGTGCCTGCAAGTTGCCACAATTCTGCATGTAGCACTGTATTTAGACTCATACAAAGAAAAAAATGTGTTCTGTTTTTGTTGGTCTTAAGACTTTCACTTGTAATTCCACTGTTAGAGTAACAAATATAGTAGAGATGCTCTTTTCAGACACTTTAAAATCTGTCAGTTTAAAATCTGTCAAGCTTTTACCATTATGGGGGTACAGAGAAACTGCTTTTATCTAGTGTTAGTGAACATTCCCTGTCAGAAACTCTGTATTTCTACTGACCATTCTGGTTTCAGTTTAAATCTTGTCAGTATCAGATAATATCACACTGTCTCCTGTTGAAAAAGACATAGTCTGAAAAAGCTAGAAACATGGCAATTTTGTGAGACTATTAAATTGATAGTCATTTAGGGAAACTGGATCAGAAGCTGTCTAAGCTGCACCTGACTCATGTTTGTACTTTTAAATCATTCAGACACACATGTTAAAAATAATTCTAAAAATTATTCCTCAGGGTTTGGTTTGCAGCAGTTCTGAAGTTTTACGTTTTCTTGTATTTTCATTTGGAAGGATGATCCCCTTTAGCCTTTCCATCAAGGATCAGTGTTGAAGATCTATTACGTCTTTCATTTTAATATTCTCATTTCTGCGTGTGAACATTCTTGATGGTTAGAAAATGTAGGTGTGTAGATAGTAGCTGATTGCAAAATTATTCTTGCTGCGCTCCAGGGAATGAGTTTATCTTTTGACAGTCAGTAAATACACAGGAAGAATAAAGGGAAGATGTGAGTCAGCTTTTGTGGCTAGAGTACCTTTTTACCCACTGACAGATTCAGAAGATTGTACAGCTTTGCTCCTGTTGCTTAAAAAAATATGTATCTATTGATTCAACTTAAAGTACATAAAGGTCTAGCATTAAAGAAACAGTTAACATCACATTTAAGACACAAAAGAAACACTGTACTGCTTCACATGGTAAGGGACATGGAATTCTTAGTAGCAGTAAGTCACTGTGTCAAATTATGTGACTGACTTTAGAAGACTATGTACCCTTTTTATCTGATTGTCAGTTTTCTGTTCCAATCTGAATGTATGACACATTCTAAAGTGAAATAAATCTGCTTGTAAATGTCCACTGTCAACTTTATAGGTAGTTTGAAGAGAAACCTTTTGGAAACTTGCCAAATATAACATTTATTGCATGAAACAATTGCTTTGTGACTTTAGCTTGCAGAAATAAAAACTGTTCCACAGAGCATATTCCAGATTGGAGATCTCAGTCTCCATAATGGCTTAAGTCCTTCTGATGTCTATTTAATGCTTTCTTTTACTATATGTCCCCATGTGAATAAAAGTAATTCATACCCAACTAAACCAAAAAGCTACCTGATCTAGTAAATACTTCTGCAGTTCTGTGGCCCTTAAGGACTTTAATACATTCTGGCAATGTGAAATATACCATGTTACTTAAGCAGTTCTCTAAGGCAAAAAAACTATAAATAAAATCTGTTTTGTAGCACATTGTAATGCATAGTCTCTGCATCATAAATTTTAGTACATATTGCAATTGGTTTTTTCCCTCAAGAGTCAAATGTTAACCCTGTCAGCAGGAAGGAGTACTTTTTTTAATCCTTCCATTTAAAAAAAAAAAGTTCCAAAGTATTAATTATGTTAGCAAAAAAAAGGGGCAAACACCACATAAATTTGTAGTCTTTTAGAAGGTGGAAGCCCCAAATTGTTACCTTACAAATAGATACTGACAATAGGTATGAACTTATAAAATACATTTTACAGCAGTTTGGTACATATTGATATAAAAAAAAATAAGATATTTTACTGTCCTACTTGTATTTCACTGAGAGTTGTTGAATGAGATGATTTTAAAGTGAACAGTTGAAAGAGCACATGTGTAGTAAGTCTCAAAACACTTTAACATGCAAAATCCTATTCTAGTATGTCATCACAGATTATTAAGCAGTAACAAATAATTACTGATGCATAAATTATGATGCACAATCATAATATGCTTCAATAGATATAATAACTTGACTTTCTAATGGTATGTAATCCATAATAGCATTGAGGGTTTGGGGCTTTTTTTCTGATTAATAATATGTAGAAATAAAGATTGACAAGCAATGATATGTTGACCCTTCTGGGTTTTGTCTCATTACTTGCTCAGTGAAGACAGCCTAGCTTTGGATTTTTTTAACACTTTTTATGTTTGTTTGATCTTGCAGAGCCCTTTGATGGGACAAACACTGCTAGAGCTGTACATGAGCGACAGAAGTTTGATATTATTAGAGGTGAATTTCTGCAGGTAAAAAGTGCATCTCATTTAATTTTTCTGGTCACTTTGGTTTTCAAGATAGTTGTACAAATGCTAGTCATTGAACCTGCCTGTTTCCAATGTTTGTCTTTTGAATATATCTGTGCTTTGTACTATATAAGTAATAGAAAAGCATTTTTATATATTTTTGTGGAAAATTATTTAATAAGAATATTTATTAATGTTTGCCATTAGGGCATATGGCTTAAGTTGAAATGGGTACTTGAAATAGGAAACCCTTTGTCTTAGATTTTCTTGTGTGTGTAAAATTCTAATGATGGTTAATAGCTTTAGAATTATAACTTCAGGTAAAAGAGGAATGGGCTTGATGGTTGCGCTCAAAGAGTTGCAGTCAACAGCTGAATGTCCAAGTGGAGAGCAGTGACCAGTGGTGTTCTTCAGGGGTTTGTATTGGGACTGGCGCTGTTTAGTGTCTTGGTTGGCAACATGGACAGTGGGATCAAGTGCACCCTCGGCAAGTTTGCCAACAACACCAGGCTGAGTGGTGCGGTCGACATGCTGGAGGGAAGGATGGCATCCAGAGGGACCTGGACAGGCTTGGGAGATGGGTCTGTACAAACCTCATGAAGTTCAATAAGGCCAAGTGCAAGGTCATGCGTGTGGGTTGAGGGAATCCCAAGCACAAATACAGGCTGGGTGATGAGTGGATGGAGAGCAGCCCTGTGGAGAAGGACTTGGGGGTGTTAGCGGATATAAAACTATGAGTCAACAATGTGCACTCCCAGCCCAGGAAGCCAACTGTATCTTTGGCTGCATCAGAAGTAGTGTGGCCAGCAGGTCAAGGGAGGGAATTCTGCCCCTCTATTCTGCTCTTGTGAGACTCCACCTGGAGTACTGCATCCAGCTCTGGGGCACTTGGCATAAGACATGGACCTGCTTGATTGGGTCTACAGGAGGGCCACAAAGATGATCAGGGAGCTGGAGCACCTGCCCTATGAGGACAGACTGAGAGAGTTGGGGTTGTTCGGCCTAGAGAGGAGAAAACTCAACAGAGACCTTATAGTAGCTTTCCAGTACTTAAAGGAGCCTACAGGAAAGATGGGGAGGGACACTTTATCAGGGAATGTAGTGATATGATGAGGGGTGACACTTTTGAATTGAAAGAGAGTAGTTTTAGGTTAGACATAAGGAAGAAATTCTTAAGTGCGAGGGTGGTGAGACCCTGGAAGAGGTTGCCCAGACTAGCTGTGGATGCCCCCTCCCTGACAGTGTCCAAGGCCAGGTTGAACAGAGCTTTGGGCAACCCGGTCTAGTGGAAGGTGTCCCTGCCCATGGCAGGGGGGCTGGAACTAGATGATCTTTAAGGTCCTTTCCAACCCAAACCGTTCTATGATACTTCTTCCTACATGAATTTGACTGGTAATAAGCAATGTTTTATTCTTCTTACTATCCCTTTTTTATAAATATTACCACCAATGATTTTCTGCTGGTTTTTGACAGCTGTATTAAATTGGTACTATTCTTTGGGGAGACCATACTCATAATTTTAGAATGAATAGTTCAAACTGGAGCTTTCACTGTTCCAGTCAGTGGAGGAGGCAAGGACACTTTGAAGCAAGCAAGATTTAGGTCTTGGTTAAACATAATTTTTCTAAAAAATCCTTGCTACCAACTCTTTTATGCTTGTCTCCTATTGCAGGCATTGCATTTGGAATTTCAACTCAAGTTCTAGTTTTCTGAGCTCTCTTGACTATGCATAATGTAGTTATGACTAGAAATTAGTGCACAGAACTGGCTTCTAGCTTTAACCAGTCAGAATCCCCTGTTATACTGTCATTGGAGGCTGCTCTTTACTCCAGTTAATCAAGTTCTTCGATGAGGGCTTCTCCAGCAAGAAGGAAATCAATGCCAGATAATTATAATAGAACAAATGCTATAAGGTGTTGCCTTAGTCTGAAAAAAAAAAAGTTTTTTGGTTTGTAATTCTGTTCAGAAATGTCAGTTCCCTTCTATTTAACCATGTTATACAGAATACTGAACTGTTCACATACTTTTACATAAAGTATTTGATTTTGTGAATCTGCTGAAGCAGTGGTTTACAGAGTAGTTCGGGCTCTCTCACTGTTCTGTCAAATCAGTGAAGTTCTCTTTTCAGTGTTTTAAATTTAAAAAATTAGTTTCTAGCCTGTGTGGTTTTCTGAAAAATGTAAAAGCAGTTGTTTGATCCTAGTTGTTTGGAAGCCTATATACTACAGTGTTACAGCCATCAAAAAACTTCCACTTTACTAGGAACCATAAGGAATGACAGTTGCTTAAAACTGCAAGTACTTATTAATATCTTTCACTTTTTTTAAGAAGCCTAAGGAACCTGTTTGTCTAACTGCTCTTGAGAGATTATTCTTCCTGTGGTTCTCATTACACATTGTGGTTTAATTCATTCTGCATAGACAAAAGGGTCACTGCAGTTATTTGCAGGTTGATGGCCTAACATATGTGACAGATGTGTCCTACTTCATACTAGAATACAGAAGAAAATTGAAGTAACATATTTTAAAAACACAGTTAAGTTCTGGAATTGTCAAATTCCTGATATGTCTTGTATCAGGAACTTTGACATGTGTGAATTTGAAACAATTATTTTGCAGTCAGAATATCAGTGTAATGATTAAATAATGTTAATGTCTGTCTCCATAAATGCACTCTCACAAGTCTGTATGCTCCTCAGTGGTTCATTACATTTCTTGTACCTTTTTGGCTTTTTTCTTTCCTTAGAAACAAAACAAAACAACCAAAAAACCCCCAAAACAAACCACAATACAACACCCCTCTCTTCAAGAATGGGAAAAATACCAATCTTATTTTTGTGGATCTGTGAGACTCTACTGCTTACAGTGGTATTTAAGTATTAATGGCAAAGATTATTTAGGTTTTTAAATCTTGTACTTTTTTCCCCAGGCTTGGCATTTATTACGAAACAGGAAAAACCTGAATGATATATTACCTATAAGAGCAGCCATACAGAAAAGATAACCAAACTCTTCCACTTTCTTCTTCTTGGATCCTGCTGAAATAAAGAACAGTATCACAATCAAGAGGCAGTTACCCCATGGTTTTCTATGACATGTTTTTCTCTGTAAACTTTTGTTAAGGAAATATTTATAAGAAAGGTAGCATATTTTATTATCTACACTTGTTAATACAGCTGTTCATTCAAAGGGTATGTTTTCTGTAATGCTGTTGAAAATGTTGAAATGTCTGAAAATGTTGTTGACTTCTAGAAGAAATTCAAACAGCAAGCCACAAGAATGAATTCATCTTAAGGGAAGTATGGGAATAACTGACTTGTTTCCATAATCTGTGTAATCATTGATTCAGACACATTTAACCATGAAATGAAGACATTCAGAGCTAAACAGTGTGCAAGTCTGACTATATCCTTAAGGAAATGCACACTGTACCCACTTCGCGGAGCGGACTACCCGTGCTTTAAATCTACGTAATTACAGTAAGCACTTTTGCTCAACTTGGCACTTTTCGATTTTTTTCCCTTTTACATGGAATAACAAGCAACAGTTTATGAAAATTAAGATAGCTTATGGTTGGTAGTATGCTGGATATCAAGAACTGTAATCTAATTTTCAAGTAACTTCTATGACAAGTTGAAATAAAGGAGGACAGATCAGTATACATAAATGTTTCATATTCACACAGAGTAAGCAACAGACTTTTTTAGTGCTTTCTTTTACATATGTGAAGTAATGATGTCTGCTTTGGGGGGAAAAAACCCAAAAAAACAACCCAAACCAACCCCACAAACCAAAAGCCCAAACCAAAAACAAACATCCCACTACTCTACCACTGCTACAATAAGATGGGCTTCTGTTTTGATTTTGTGTAAATATTTGTCAATTTGTCAGCTACTGTAAATTGAATTTAAATAGTTAATCTTGAAAATTCTATCTTTTCCAAAATAAAGTTGTGAACATTCTTTTAGACCTCCTGTAACACAATTTGTGCCTCTCATATATTTGTTATTGAAGACTAATTCATTATTAAACTGTACTTACCACTGATGTCAACTTCAACATTTTTTTTTAAGTTTAATATTTTGTATGGTGTTTGGAAGAAAAACGTTTATATAGAGCAGATACAGCCTATTTTTCCAGTTTATGTTATTTTATACTGCATATTGAAACTATTTCCTGTAATTAAGTAGAAAGGGAAATGTCATGTAAAGGAAATATTTCCCCTGTTGCAAAAATAAACTTCTATAGGGTTATTCTGTGCTGCATCTGTGTACAGGTAAAAGTTTCATTTATTGCCATCTCCAACGAGATTGTGAAAACCCTTATGACTGTGGAAAATAACAAGCATTATCTCTTCTTGTGTGCACTTTAAAGTTCTAATTTATTTCAAGTTTTACAGTTTAGAAGTTCTAGAAACTGTAAACTGCCTGCTGTGAGGTTACGTGCTGCATGCTTCACCTAGTTTTAAGATTAAAACAGCTTCCTTCTGATATTCAAACATTCTTTCTGTTTTAATCCAACTCTAACAATCCGCTAAAATGTTCTTCCTCAATTCATACGTTCCTCCTCATTGCTCATCCTGTTTATAAAATGGTAGACTTGGTCACAGTGAAACATTCACTTTTACCTGCTTATAAAATGGAAGCAGAAGATTTTTGTCCAAGACGATGTCTGGATTCAAAAAGGCTCTGCAAGCCCTAGGTGGATCTTGGGGAGAGGGGCGGGCTGCTCATTTTTTAAAAAGGTGCTGGCTTTCTCTTTGTCTAGAAAATCTGTCTGGGGACAAGCCTGTTTGTTGCCTCCTCTCTGGAAAACTTTCCTCAGAGAAAATTCCCCAGTAATTTACTGTGTTTTTTACTGTGTAACTTACTAAGCAAGGTGGTATAAACTGGTTTAGTTTACAGCAGCAGAAGCTAGTGGGTAATCTGGCAAGAGCATGGAAAGTGTCAGGGCTCTCATATATTAAAAAGTAATCTGAGAGGCCTAGAAAAGAGATTTCACCAGATGTTGCATTACATTATTCTCCTATCAAGGCTAACGAGCAGCACCACTTTCTGTGAGTGAACATAATTATATTTGTTAAATAGTGGGCTGCAACTTTTGTCAGAAAACTTCAGATAAAATGCCACAAATTAAATGGTTTGGGGGGAGTGAGTAGGAAGTGAACTTTGACTAACTTTGGATTCAGTTCTGCATAGTCTGAAGTTGTTCAGAGGTTTAATGACCTGTATTTTCACCTACTCTGAGCAAGTGTCCAGAGCAAGAAATCCACTAATGGCTATCATAAATCTTAGTCTTAGTATGAAGTTTTCCCTTCTCCTCAACTTCAGAATAAAATCCTTTACACACTTTGGCGTACACCCAAGCAGGAATACTTTTGCTGGAAGACCTTTGGTAAAAGGTGGTGTTTCTATGGAGTGTTCAAGGTTTCAGCATTTGTGCAAGATGCTGACTACTTTGAAGCTTCTTATTGCCTTGAAACAAAAATGCTTTAGTTCAGCTGTTTGTTCTTTTAGGACTAGTTTTGACTACTCAGTTTGGCATTGGGTTTGCCCAGTGTTTCTCACCTCATGTCAGAAACTACCAGTGTCTCATCTACGATTTCAGGAACTCTCTTTAGTCCTCTAGCAGGATTTTAATTAACTCATTAGACCCTTTTAATTAACAGGCTCAGAGGTGTATGGGAGGACTAAACATTCGGAAGAACTTCCCATTCAGAACTGGCATAGGCTGTATACTGTGAAACTTGAAGCTTCTCTTCTAGCTCTCTTGCCCTCACTTCTCCTAAAATGTGATTGTGTAAGTGTACTCTCTGTACTTTAAGGTGTTCTGATAGTATGAGAGCTTATTTTTAAGAAATCCTTTACAAAGAATTCAATATAAACCAGTTTTAAGATTCAAACTGAAAGGTGGCATGGTTATTTGGGAGAAATGGGCAACCATGATAAGGATGCAAGACAAATTGTAGATAACCCAAAGTTTGCATTTGTGAATACTGTCCCAAATGCTTATTTGGAACCAATGCCTTACTTGAACTTTTGTTACTGGACTCGATTCACAGTATATTGGGTGTTAAATTTAACTCCATATGAGAATGTCACAGTTGATTTAAAATGGACTCTACTTGCTCTGGATTATCTCACATGTATTTTGTAGTGTTTGTTATGTTGTCTTGTTTTCTCCAATCCTTGTATGTTTTGATATAAATCTTTCCCTCGCTGATTTTATAGACTATAGTGCTTTTAGGAAGAGCATGGAAGATTAAGCTATTTTGGTCAATTTACAAGATCAGATTAAGTTGTGAGAAGTACAGGAAGGAGGGTGCTAAATCGAAATAACTTGAAGTTCTGGTAAAAGGGTACTCACCTTCCTCTTGTTGTGCTGAAGACTGATTCAAAACTTGTGCAATATATTTATGCTTTGTATATAAGTATTTCTAGAAGGTTGTAATGCTCTTATTTTCCATGTGTAAAGAATGAAGTCCTCTACCTTAAATATCATTGTACTGTGTACACTGTCTCTGTGCTCATGAGAAAATGTGGAGTTTAAGTTAGTATCTTTTTCAAGTATGCTGCTTCAGGAAATTATGTTCTGACCTTGTAAATTGTGTACTTCAGTGGGTAGGTCAAATGAGCAGACAGGTTTTATCTGTATGTATTGTTTAGGAAATATTTTACTTCAAGTGAATCTGTCAGTAGAAATTTAATTTAGCATTGCAGAGAGAGCTTGTTGTCAGAAATACTTGCTTGGGTGTTTCTGTACTTACAACACAAGGAAGAGTTCACTGACCAATTTATAACCAGGTATTTATTTGATGAATAAAAAATAAAAACATACCCACTGCTGCCCCTACACCCACACCAAAAAGGAAAAAAAAAGGGGATTAGAGTTATACTATGTATTCAGTAATAAATATTATTATATTTATACCTGAAATAGCTTTGAAATTCTTTAGTTAGAATCAGAGTTTCAGTGCTTCTCCCTCTACTAAAAATAATTTTTTAAAAAAGTCACTAGTTTGGCTAATACAGGTTGGAAATATTTTCATTTTGTCTGTGAAAAGCACTGCATTTTGTGTGAAATGCAGAATAATAAAGGGTAAATGTGGCTTAACCTGAACCCTACATGGTAATATAGTTTGTTTTTGTTTTAAATTAAAATTGGTTTAAGTCTAGTCAAAGGGGAGATTTTAAATGTCCTGTGACTTAACACAGCAACAAATTTGAGAGTTCAAATATATTCCCTTTGTTGTTAAAAACTACACTGCATCTGATACCTCTTATGGTACAGTATTAATTATTAAAGTCGTATGTCCTGGTCTCATCCACTAAGAATTCTATTTGACCTCTCTAGCTCAAATCTGAGGCACTCTGGGTGTTCTCAGGAGTGTCACTTGCTTTTGAATGTACTAAATGCACCTTTACTTGGAGCCACAAGAAAACTCTCCCCCCACTTCATCTGTGCCATCCACCCCAAATTCACTAGAGGTGGCTTCGGAAGGTGTGCTGGGGCTCCAGCCCCTTTCTCCCTGCTGCTGCCCAGCTGCTCCATCTCAGCTGTAGAAACACCTCATTGGCAGCAGCGGGCAGGTGAAGGGGTGAGCAGCCAGAGAGATGGCCCTCGGGTTTTGCCACGTGTCCTGACACCCGGTTGGTGCTAGGACCCAGGGTAGGTCCAGCAGCGACTCGACGCTGTAACTTCGCAGCTTTCTATTTAAAGACTGCCCTGAGTCAGGAGAAGCGAGAGCTGCTGGGGATGACAGTTGCTTCAGGCAACCCTGGGTTGGACCGGGTCGGAGGTAAAAATCACCGGCGAGGGCCTGAGCTGGGAAGGGCATGGAGGGGTACCGCGGTGCCGAGTGCGACAGGGCATCTGAGACCTCATCCTTTGTAGAGGATGAAGAAGAAGAGGAAGAGGAGGAGGAGGAGGAAGAAGAGGAGGAAGAGGCTGTGGACCCGGAGGAAGCAGAGGAGCTGACTAACAGGTACTGCCTCCCCAGGGATTTGCAGCCTCAGGGGCAGCTGGCAGCTCCATGCCAAAGCACCAGCCCAGGGCATGCCAGAATGGGAGCCCAGTGATGGTTTTAGTGCCTTTCCCCCTTCAACAGTTGCTGCAGATAAAAAAGAAGGAGGGTGGGAAGGGGGCCTAAGGGGGGGCTGTTAATGGGGGGTTTTTTGGATGGGTATGGCTGTAATTAAGTTTTGTGCAGTAAGTGTCTGGCCTGAGTTCCCTAAAAGCTTTTCTATTTAAAGATCCTCTGGCGTGAGAGCTCAAGTGGCATCTCCCTCTGCTCCTCCCTCTCTGGCTGACTCTTTGTCACATATCGATCTTAAATGTTCTGCAGATTTGCTTGTCAGGGAGAAAATGGTCAAAGATTATAATGGCATATTGAAATTTGTTCCTTTTTATGGCCTGTCTTCCTTCCTGCTTGTCCCTCCCACTTCAGTCTCTTCCTCAAAAAAGGAAAAACTTGTACGTGCTTGCCACCAGATTTTTGGGATGAAAGGAGGAGTATTTTACCAAGTTGATTTTTTAATTACATTTTTTCTTAACTCTTGCACAGAAACAGTTTGTTGTCCTAATGTGCTCCTGCCATCAGGAAAATAACAAGCAAGACAGTGGCCCAGCACCCAGCGCATGCCCCTGGTTTTGTGCATGATGCTGAGGCATCTGCAATCCGATCCACGCGGACAAATTCCTTCAGCTGTGCCAGCTGGGTTCAAAAAGAGACTGTGAGGCCTGAGAGTCCCCCAGTGCATTTCAGGTTGCAGGATTTCTTCCCTGTCCTGAATAAAGCCTATCAGTTTTGGGTGGATACTGGTAGGAAGAACCAACGCCATTAATGTTGACAGCTTAAGGTATTTCTAGAAACCATTTTTTTAAAGAAATTTTGGTCATACAGTTCCTAAAACCTCGGTGCTGTGGAGCCATCCTGCATTTACAAACCACCCTGGTTCTATCATAGTTCATAGTGCTTTCTGATATTGCTGATGGTCACTGGGAGAAAAAAGATGGCAGAAGAGAGGCAGGAGGGGCTCTCTGCAGCCTAACCCATCCAGAGTGCTGTGGGAATGAAAGCCAAACAGGGAAATGTAGTCCAGGACTGCAGGAAAACTTCCTTGCTGAGGGAACTGCGAGCTAGTTTCTAAAGTAAGAGGACAGCCCCAGTGTCTAACAGAGGGAGATGTTGACTCTTCAGTCCCATACTGACACAGAGGGGGTTTATATTCCGATAAACACTGCTTGCACATGGATGCAACCCTACGAGAAAACCAGCTGAAGTTGGTGAAGTGGAGCTACTCACTGCAGATAGCTAAAACACAACTGACTGGGTATTTTTTAGTAGAATCTGCAATTAAATGTCTAATGATAAAACTCAGATTGTAAAACAAGTGGTAATGGCTAATTTTTCCCTTAAAGGGAGGGAAATCTGTGCATCTTTGCAGGTATTTACTGCTTGTGCTAGGAGCATGGCTTCTCCACAGGTGCCTGTTAGCAGCTCCTAGCAGCGGAGTCTTGCTTCTGGCTGGAAGCCTCTGCAATGCAAACCTGGCCATTGCATCTCACCATTTAGTTGAATCACAGCAACCATTACCTTTAGCTCTCAGTTATATTAAGCATTGTAGAGTCTATCCCTATCCTTAACCATGTATCCAATAACAGAGGTCAAAGTCTACCAGAGAGGTTTAACAGCTGTGCTCAGTGGTAACTGATTAGTTTAATTATATTACAGGAGATGTATAATTTTGGGTTTGGCACAGATACAGTAACTGCACCGAACACTCAGCAGTAGCTTAGTATAGTTAAGTAAAACTGACTCTTTAACTGCTTAAATTTTGTTGTTGCAAGTATCAGTAGGGTTGTTGAGTTTAAGGCCTCCGGTGCTGAGTGCCCAATATGCAAACTTGGCTGAAGACAGCCTGTCCTGGCCCCTGCCGTCACTGATTTATTTTTAACAACCCCAAGCTCTCTGCAGCTTTTGTCTTCCTCCTCTGCATGCATGCACCTGGTTGTGCCACATTGCAGTCAGCAGGAAATTCCACATTGGCCTCTATTTCCACCATTCAAGCAAGCTAAATATCCTTATACCTGTTTTATGAGAAAGTTATGCAGCGAGATTGCTGGCCCAAGGTCAGCAAGTGCCTGTGTGAAAGAAGCAGAAGAGCCCTTGTGTTCCTCTGGGACACCAAACCCTGAGCCCTGCCTGGCCCATTGCACTTACACACCAGTCCCTCTGTAGCAGCTGTGGGGATTGAAATCCCAAAAGCTGCAGCGGAGTTCATAACTTGAACTTGATGCATGCACATAAAAAGCAGAAAAGTGTGGGTTTCACATATTTATTACCCTTTTAAATGTAATCTTTAAATAATTTGGTTTCCTAACACAGGTTTTTATGCAAGTAATGAGACCAACATGCAGCATGAGTACTGATCATAAAGATGGGATAAGGCATTGTATCCTTGTCAGCATAAATAAGCCACTGATCTTCGGAGGATTCACGCAATGTTGTCTTGCCACAGATTGTGGCAAATGTCTTTTGTTTCTGGCTCCATGTAGAATTAATCATAGAATCATAGTGTCCTTCAAACAGGGTTCATTTTCCAGTGTGCAGAAGCCAATCTTACACACAGAGCTGATAGCAGTTTTTTCCATATTTGCACAGACATGGGTGCTAGGTGGTAATTTCACAAAGCTAGCACACCACGTAAAATAACTTTAAGGTATTTATACACTTCAGGGTACATGGATACACATTTATTATAATGTCCATTGATTAGTTTCTTATTGCTGTATCCCTCATTGGTTAGTAGCATTCCTCGTTGCTATTTAAAGTTATAGTGTGTTTTATTTTTTCTACGCAAGCTCAGAGGGTAAGAGTCTTTATTTGGGCAGAGGTTTTCAGAGCAAGGGGCATGATTTTTACTGTTATAATAAGGACAGTTCCTCTAAAGGTTACTCTAATCTCTAATTAAGCTGATTTACGGTATACAATTTTAATGAGCTTTCATATTTCAAGTTCTTCTTCTTCAAGGACAGTAGCTCCTGATTAGAAATTCCTTAGTAAATCATTGCTGATGGTTTAAAGAACACACTGACCTAACTGATAAATCCTGTGTGGCCTTGTATTTGATGAGAAACATTTGTATGGACTGTAGTATGTTTTATAAGACCTTGTACTTGATGAGAAACATTTGTTCAGGCTACAATAGAATGGTTTGAGTTGGAAGGGACCTTAATCATCTAGTACCAACCCCCCCTGCCGTGGGCAGGGACACCTTCCACTAAATCAGGCTGCTCAAATCCCCCTCCAACCTGACGAACACTTCCAGGGAGGGAGCATCCACCTCTCTGAGCAACCTGTTCCGGTGCCTCACCACCCTCACAGTGAAGAATTCCTTTCTTATATCTAACCTAAATGTACCCTCTTTCAGTTTAGAACTGTTACCCTTCATCCTATCACTACGTTCTCTGATGGAGTGCCTTTTCTTTTTTTAGATTAAACATCTAAACAGGGGAAATATTTTAAAAGCATATATTGTGTGTTTTAAGGCAAACATAAGTATGAAGATAATAGGTTTTAATTTCGGTGTTAGTAACAGTGAGAATTAAGTCTAGCTATAGGAAAATAGTTTACCAGTTAACTGCTTTACCCACTGAAATATCTGTGTCTCTAACAACTACATGATAGGTGAGCTGTGCTGACATGCTTCTGTCTCTCAAACTGTTCCCAGCTGATTTCCTTTTGCAGTGGGAAGGTCTCTGGACGTGTCTGTGTTTAGGGCTTACATAAAAAGAACTCTGCAGTCAAATTATACATGTTTCCATGTAGCTAGTTTGCCTGGATTGGGTATGGGGCTCATTTACTCTATTCATTTAGTGGTGGCCTAAGACCAATAAATGAGGAAAAAGTCCTGGACTTACAGAATTATTTTTTAATCATTTTTTTTTATATGAAGCAGTGCGTCCACAAGATGAGAGGTGTGGAAGCTTTAGAGCGAAGTCTAGCTTAGAATGGTTAGTTAAACAGATGAAAGTGGAAGCACAGATGAGAAGGGGATTTCCTGCCATGTGGGGGTGCTTCCTGCAGCATCCAGGGAAGTGAAGTTGTGAAACGATAGCGAATGGGATGGTGGAAAAGAAGGGGTGCAAATGGGAGTGCTGGGGATTTGTCTTCCCAAGGAAAAGTTTGCCATACCCTCCTCAAAGCAGAGAAAGATATGGGGAAAGGGTGTGTGATTATAGTTCCCTAGATGAGCCAGGGCCTGCCTTGGGCTGGGTCAGTAAAGGGCCCCTGTGGCTGTTTGCCCACCAATGGATGCAGGTGCACGCACAGGGAAGGCAAGAGCGGTGGGAATCGAAGGCTTGGCATTACCCCACACAAGCCATTTTGAGCACAGTGGGGCAGAGGCTGGAGCTAAAGGACACCAGGAGCAGCTGAACAGGGCAAAACTTCAAGGTGGGGGCACTGCAGTGGGGAGCGGTGCAGCTAGTGACCCCCACTGCACATCCCAGCCCCTGCCAGCAGCTGCAACTCAGCACTCCATATTCTGTTTCTCTTCGGCCTTTTAGATAATATTACCTGGGTCCTTGATAAAGGATTACAATGCAGTTTGCATCCAAAATAACACTCACACTTCAAAAAGTCCTCCATTAGGTCTCAGCAAAGTGACTAAATCAGTGTGTAAAGTAAGTCTCCCACTGAGACCGAAGTATTTGTTCAATACCTGTTCTCCCTCCATGACCTGTACAGTGGAGAATCCAGAATGCGGGAGCAAGGCAGACCTTTGGGCGCAGAGGTGCTGCAGTTTCTCAAATAGCATCTGAAGCTGTGACCAGCAATGCCACTGGGTCATGCCATGACCTGATGTCTGGAAAACGGATGAGCTCTGCAGCAGGTTGTGTCCCTTCCCAGACTTTTGCAGACATCCAAGGTGGAACAAAATGTGTGAGATGGGCCCAGCTCCTGCCTCCCAGCTACTCTTATAAAAATCAGCTCTGTAGCAGAGTGAGCAGCTGTCTTACTGCTTTTAGATAATTATTCAGTTGAGTTTGGACAGATGCATGAGCCACTGTGTTGCCAGAAGGGACACCATTAACACTGAAGGAAGTTGGCAGTAGGTTGACAAGTGAAAGACTGGTTTTAAAGTAGTGACTTTCTGTAACTCCTAATTCTTGTACCCTAAAGAAGGAGATGGATGAACTATAGCCCTAGGAAATGCAGAGCAAGAGACAGAGACCTTGCTAAGCATACTAATTACTGTAGGGGGAAAGGGTGAGTGTGGTAAACGAAGAAACTACAGGAATGTGCAGAATAAAAACACAAACACAGAAAAATAAAGTGTTTGCTTCAACTAGGAAAGCAAGCTGGCCAATACCAATTTCCACATTCCCTTGCACTGTGCCTGCAGGGCTGAAGTAGGAGTCTTGAGGGAATAAGATCTTGTCAGTGCAGGCCACTGCCACAGCTTGACAACTCCGTCATTTTATCTGGGTTGTTTTCAGCTTGAGAGGTGTTGTGCAACAAACAGCAACAAATCTTGACGATAGCAGGAGTGACAGGGTCTGGTGTGAAGAGGATGAAGGAAGGCTCAGGAGGATTTTAGAAAGCTGATGAGCCCATCAGCTGTGCTTCTCTACAACGGTGGTGGTGTAGCACAGATGGACAGACCTCACTCACCATGTCTGAACACAACTGCTCCAGCAGCTGGGAGATGAAAACTCTTCCCTGTTATGACACATAAGGGAATATGTGTCCAGCTTACTGGGCCAGACTAGAAACCTGAAATCCAAGTGGACACAGCATGGAAGTCATAGTGAGAAGCAGAAGGAGGCGGTAAGAAAAATCTAGTTTTGAGCTATTATGACAGGAAGAACAAAACCAGTTTTCAGTGTCTTCAAGAATTATAAAAGATTTGAGTCAATGTCCTAGCAGAAAATAACAAACTGACAGCACACATGCGGACAGGATTGGGTGTGAAATGTCTGTGTGGAACAAAGCCAGCACTGTTTTTTGTCCCTGGATGTCAGTGGCTTCATATCTGTATTTATGGAGCTGAAACACTGAAATGTGTTTTTGTAATGGCAGACTAGAGAACTTATATAACTAGGGAGAGGTCTTTCAGCTACTGCTATGCAGCATACAAATTGTATACAAAACCAGGACATCATTTGGAAGTATATTGGAAGGAAATGGTTGACTTACATGTCTTTCATTCTGATTTTCAAAATATAAAGCACCATCTCATTGCACTGTAGAGGAATATGTCACCGCAACCTTGAAATGGACAATGATGGGAATAATTCAAGCTTTTTGCATAGACAGGGCCAGGGCAGCCCATTCTTATTCACTAATACCAGCTGAAGTAGGAGTGATGCTCAGTTCTGCATGGAGTTTTATTTAATAACACCAGGTAGTGCAGAAAAATATGTTTACAAATATATGAGAGTGATTTAGAAGTTGAAAAATAAAAAAGATTAGTCATCTGTTATTGTGGATTCAAATAAGTCCTGAAAGCTTCCTTAGTACTATTGCTATTGATTTATTTTATTTTATTTTGCTATGCCCAAGTCAACCTAGTGCCAAGCCATGAAACTGGCAAAGGAAAAGCTAGCAGGAAAGTTGGTACAGATTTGTTTGTTTTGCCTCTTCCTCCAACCTGTAAATTTTGCCTTATGGAGCTAGTCTTGCTAGAGAGTACTACACCAAGGCAGAAAATCTGCTGTACATCCCGGGTCTTATATCCATTTGAGGGATGATTTGGGGGAATTTTTTGTCGTTATTTAGTATTACGCTGTCAGACTCCCTTTGAATTGTGGGCTTTAGTTCCAAGCTCTCATGTTAGTCACAGTCTCCAGACCAGCCCAGTCATCACAATTGGCTTTAAGCCCCATCACTGGACTTTGATACCCACTTGCCCACTTGATGCCCACATTGTCCCACCACTGCCTGGTCAGGCTGTTGTCCCACAGGGTAACTTCAGTCTTTAGTTAGCACTGAGGACATCAGGGATGAGATGGTCTGGGCATCAGTCTGCACAGACCTCAGCATGGGCCAGCACAGGGCAGCCCTTCTTCTTCTGTGCTCTGGAGAGCAAATTCATGGAAAGATAAGGCCAGCATGGCTAGTACCAGGATTACCCTTTTGTTTCTGATAGGTACTGAGAAGTTTTGCTGACTGCCCTTTAGAAAAACATTACAGTTCAGAGAGTTTGTTTGATGGAGCAGTTATGGCTCTCCTCATTACTTCCTCTTCTCCTTCAAAGACCTCTGCCTTCTGCCAAGTGCTTGGTGCCCTCTGGAAACAATGCTGACTGCTTCTCAGGGGTATCCTCCTGCCTCTGCAGCTGCTGTTATCTCTGGTACCTGGGTGGTGCTGGATTGCCGTCTGTGGCAGTTGGTCAGATGGGTCCTTGATCCCATGGTCAGGAGCCAGATTTCTTCACACTTGATGAAGACGTGCTTTATTCTAATCACCTGGAAAGTGACCCTCCCCTCTGCTCAGTGGAAGTGGGACGCTGAGTGGCCATAGGTTTGCATCTTCCTTGGGCGTGACAGAGATTTCACCACTTCTGCTCTACGGAAGCCTCTGCCTTTGCTAGCAGATACTCTGACTTTATTTCCCTCAGCTACTAATACAATTTCCCTAAATGAACTACTGTCTGCTCAAGAAATATTTAGGTTCTGATTACCTTTTATGTATTTTTTTAACAAATACTGCAACCTTAAAAACTTTATTTTTATATCTTTCAATTGCTTTTGCTGTTCTTTAAACTCTTATTCCTAAGACTTTTTTTATCCCCAAAGCTTCCCAGAAAATATTTCTCCAGCCTTTTTCTTTTAACTGAGATATTTGGTTGCATCATATGACAGTGCACTGATTACATACCATAAGGTTTAAAGTTAGCTTTATAGAACATTGTTTTGTTTTTGTTTTTTTTTTATTTGGGGAGTACTTTGTATATTTTTATTGTTGAATGTATTCTAAATTACTTTCTTAAATATGTGAAGTGCTTAGAGGAAGAAACATATGAGAAGACAGTTACAAACTAGCGATAGATTCTCTACTCCTTTGAGCATTGTATAATCATTTATACTTGAGCAAAGCAAGTGTGGGTGCTATTAAAATACTGACAGTATCTTCTAAGTGTTTAATGTAAGGTTTAAATTATGCTGTGAGATAACCACGCACTGGCGAATAGTTCCAGAATCAGCTCAATCTCACACCGGCAAAAGAAGGTCAGATCAAAGACTGGTTTTCCTGCATTGTCAAGAGCATTTAAACACCTCCCCTTCATTGAACTAACCTTGCAACATGAAGCTTAACAAAAATTTGTCTACAATACATTTGTCAAATGAAATATGACTTTGTTTATGCTTGTGTTTCAAAATTTATGCACATGCAGTAGTTTTATGACTTTGAAAAGTATTTTTGCTTTAATGCAAAAATTTAGGTTTTAGTGCAATAATTTAATGTTGTGTGTTTTTACAGCTTTTATTTTCTTTTGTTCTTTTTGGTTTTAGTTTAAAAGATCTTATCCAAAGTGAAGATGTGAAACCCAAGCTGCAGTACATCATGACTAACCCTTCCTTTTCTATGGTAACTGTTCAAAGTGAAGACAGTGGGATAACCTGGGAAACCAGCTCGAGTAGATGTTCTACTCCCTGGGCCTCAGAAACTAGTACAACTTCTGATCTTTACAGTATGGAAAGTTCACCAGTAGGTTCTCCTCCAGGAAAAGTAATCTTTATTATGGATGAAGGTAAGATTGTTCGGAAAAGGAAGTGCAAAGCTTCAAATAGGGTGCCAATAGCTACAAGCCTGAAGGGACGCCAGAGCAATAAGAAACGTGACTCTTCTGGAATGCAGAGGCAAGAAACAAGAACTGTTCTAGGAGATGTGCAAGCCTCCGTGTTGAATGTTGAGCAGGTGGAAGCACAAGACACAGATGAGGAAATGTTGGATGACAAAGAAGATCTAGAGAACATCACAGAAGAGCCAGTAAAACGTGCTCCGATAAGATCAATATTTAGAGAGAGCAGACTGAGGAAAGTAGGACCGATCCTTGGAGGACCAGTACAAGCCAGAATCCAGCTGTTCAACTCAATTTTTGGCAGGATGGGGCCAGCCCCTGAAACACTGGAGAAAACCAGTATCCAGAGAAGTAGCTCAGTTTCAGGGGATTCTGAACAGTTCCTTGATACATCAGTAAAAGAAAGACTGCAGAAGTTCAGTTCACTTTCAGAAGCAACACATCCAAAACCTTACCAGAGAGCAAGAAGTAGATATCTTGAAACACCATCGGAGAGAAGAAGGGAGCAAAGGCAACAACCCACAGCACATGCAGATCAAAGTTATTCTTCACCAACAACACCCTTTGAAAAATGGCTTGCTAGTAAAGATGATGTTTCATCTGAAAATACTAAACCCATTAAAATGAAAGATAAACATAGCAGATTTTTAAGCTTTGGTGCAGAAACAACTCTTCAACATGAAGAAGGAAAAGACAGACAATCACTTTCAGAGACTCCAGATGAGGTATTGGGACATTCACTGAAATCCTGGCCTCCTGAAGAAGCCACGAAGGAACAGAGTTATTCACCTGCATCCAAAGCATCAATAACAGAGCAAACAGTGTCCATTTCATTAGAGTCTGATGATAAATCAGAGAAACAAGTGCCACTTCCCTCAGCTGAAAATGCAAACAAGAAACCAGACAACTCCCTGATGACAGCATCAGATCATCTGGAGGAACCAAAGGAGCAGGAAATTCAGCCTGCTTCTGCACCACAGTCTGTTTCAGGAGATTTTGTTAATGAATTAGACAGACAAAGTGCTCAGCCTATTTTGCCTACAACATCCATGTCTGAGCATCCTGAGGGGAAAGCACAGAAGTCAACAATTCAGTCTTCCTTACCTAGTGCTCCATCAGCTGAATCCAAATATTCCACTCTATCTGAAATAAGACAGGAAGATATTATTCTTAAGTCATCAGAAAGTGCACAATCTGAGTCTGAGCACGTGCTTTTACCACATTCTGTAGATGAAACAGAGAAGCAAGAAACTGAGTGTCACTCGTCAATAACTGCACTGTCAGAAACTGAGCCTTCATGTCTATTGTATTCTGCTGAAAAAAGGGAGGGTCAAAAGACACCACCACTGGAAACCCAAACTGTTCACTTAGAGAAGCAAACAAAGTCTGAACAAGACTTTTCCTCCTCCCTTCAGGAAACAGAGGAGCAAGGAGTTAAACTAAATTCACCTATTCCTGAAAAGATAGATTCTAAATATTTCAGCATTGCATATCCTGTTCATACAGAAACAGAAGAAACTCAGAGAACTTCAGCTATAAATAAAGCAGTAGATTTGTATCACCCTGATTCTTCCATTGAAAAAAACAAACAAGCAGAGAGTGCACAAATGGAGATGGAGCAATCAGATTTCTCATATTCCAGCAAAGAAATTGGGGAATCAGAGAGAACACAAATGGAGATGGAGCATCCAGACTTTTCTTTTTCCAGGGAAGAAATGGAGGAATCTGAAAGTGCACAGCTAGAGAGAGAGCATCCAGATTTCTCATATTCCAGGGAAGAAAGAGAGGAATCGGAGAGCGCAAAACCGGAGACAGAAGATCCAGAACTACTTTTTGCTGTTAAAGAAACAGTGGAATCAGAGAAAGCACAGCTGGAGATGGAGCATCTCTATTTCTCATATTCCAAGGGAGAAACAGAAGAATTAGGACGTGCCCAACTGGATACAAGGCATTTATATTCCATGGAGGAAATGGAGAATGCACAATTGGAGACAGAGCATCCAGAATTTTTCTCAAAGAAAGAAACAGAAGAATCAGAGAGTACACAGATGGAGATGGAGCATCCAGACTTTTCTTTTTCCAGGGAAGAAATGGAGGAATCTGAAAGTGCACAGCTGGAGGCAGAACATCCAGATTTCTCATATTCCAGAGAAGAAATGGAGGAATCTGAAAGTACACAGCAGGAGATAGGTCATCCAGACTTTTCTTTATCCAGGGAAGAAGGGGAGGAATTAGAAAGCACACAGCTGGAAATAGAACATCAGGAGTTTTTATCTTCCAGGGAAAAAACAGAAAACCAAAAATCTGTTCCTTTTGAACTGGAACAACCAGAGTCTTATTCCCCTGAAGAAGCAGAGCAAGAAGAAACAGCACAGCTTGTGCTGGTGCCTTCAGATTTACCATATTTGATGAAAGAAGCAGAAAAAGAAAGCACTACAAAACTCCAGTTGGTACATCCAGATATATTTGATTCCACCAGAGGAGCTGAGACACAGCAAGCAGGGTACTTGGAAACAGCATGTTCAGGTTTACCATATCCCATGAATAAAACAAACCAACAAGAATTGGCACAGGCAGATTTGGACAATTCTCTTACACCATATTTTGGTGACAAAGGAGAACAGCTGCATCCTGTACAGCAGGATTCCCAGCCTGGAGGTAAGCCGTGTTCCTGTGCCAAGGGAATGCAAGGAGAAACTTCTCAACCGCAGTCAGACCATGCAGTTTTGTCATATTCTACTGAAAAAGAACAGCAGCATAAAACCTCACAGCTGAGGGCAGAACAGCTGGAGACTTCATACTCCACTGGCAAAACAGAACAGGAAACATTGCAACCAAAGCCGGAACAAGGAGATTCACCATATTCCCAGGGAGAAACAGCACAAGAAATTGTACAAAGAGATTTGGAAGTTTCAGAGTCATCATATTTTATTAGTGAAGCAGAGCAACGTGCAAATGTACAACTAGTTTCAGAAAATAGGGACTTCTCATTTGCCACTAGAGAAGTAATGCAAAAGGGAGTGGAATCAGAATCTTTAGGATCTTCACAGTCGACTGACAGAACAAAGCCCTGGAAAATGGTACAAATGGAGCAGGAGGAGTTGCTTTCCTTCTGTTCCACTGCTGGTAGTCAGCAACAGGAAACACCACCACTGGATGTGGCCCTGCCAGATATATCATATTCCTCTGGCAGAATGGAAGAACAAGATATAGTACGAAGAGAGCTGGAACAGCAGAAAACAGTCCAACAAAAAGTTATGGAAATGGAATATTCAGATTTGTCAGAAACCTGGGGGAAAGAACAGCTGCAGGTCATAGACCAAATTAATTTGGCGCAGCAAGAAATAGCTCAGCCAGAAATAGTGCATCCGTCTGTGCCATATTCTTTACGTGAACAAATGGAAGAAGAAATACAAGCAGAGACGACATACCCAGAACAGACGTTTTATGTAAGTACAGAAACGCAGGAGGAAATTACACAACACAAATCAGAGCAACCATTTTTTTCATATTTTACTGGCAAAACAGAGAAACCAGAAATAGTACATCCAGAACTAGAACAAACATCTTTGCCATCTTCCAGTGGAAAAGAAGATCCACTGGAAATGGAAATAAGTTCAGAGTATCCAGATCTGTCATATTTCATTCATGAAGCTGAACAACAGAAGAAGTTGAAACATCCAACCTTACCATTTTGTTTGAAGCAACAAGAAACTTCACCACTGGTGATGGAATGTCCAGATTTTTCAGGCAACAGTGGTGAAGCAAAACCAGACAACATCATAGAGCAGGATTCAGGACATCCAGAGCTCTCATACACCATGGGAGAAACACAACAACAATCAGAACATTTGGATTCACAAGGAAGCCTTGGTGAAGCAGCACAAGATGAAAGTATGGAAGTGGAATCTAAATACCCAAATCTGTCGTGTTTTTATGGCAATAGAAACAAGCAAGAAACTTCACAACTGGATTCAAAATATCCAGATTTATCACTTTCCTTTGGTAAAGCCAAAGAGCAAGCTGCTCAAGAGTTTGAACCTAAACAACAAGAATTGCCTAAAGTGGCCAGAAAAAGAGCTTCCCCAGCAACTGCACAAACAGAACATCCAGATTTGACATATTCCCCTGGCAAAGCAAATGAGTCAGAAATTGCAACATGGGAAATGAAGCATCCTGACTGGTCACATTCCACTGATGAGACAAAACAACAAGAAGTAGTACTGTTGGATCAGAAACACAGAAAAATTTCTACTGGCAGAGAAAAGCAGCAGCAAACCACAAAACTACAGCTAGAGCAAGAAAAGTTATCACACTTTCCTGGTAAAACAGAGCAATTAAAACATGCCCAGGAGGACTTGGACCAACCAGATTTGTCATTTTCCATTGACAGGCCAGATGATGAAATGGCCCCACAAGAGGCAGAGAACCCTGATGCGACATATCATCTGGACAACGCAGAGGTTCAGCAAAGAGTACAACAAGAAACAGAGCAAACTTATTTCTTAGGAAAAGCAGAACAGAAGAGAGTTTGGCCAGAAGTGGAAATTCCCCATTTGGCCCATTCTGTGGATACAGGAGAAGTAGCAGAAGAAATGGCAGAAGCAGGGCAGGGACATCCTGACTTGTCTTATTCTGTTTTAAAAGCAGGAGGATTGCAAACTGCACAGCTGAAACCTGAACACTCTGGTCTAGCATGTTCCCTAAACAAAGTGCAGAAAATGACCCAGCTGGGGTTGGAACAGACAGATGCATTGTACATTCATGACAAAACAGAGGAACTCCCACCTTCTCAGCTGGAGCTGAGCCATGCAGACTTGGCATCCCCTCCCAACAAAGTGGGGCAGCGAGGGATGGAGCACACAGCCGTGGGATGCCCTGATGAGGGACAGTCTGTCAGCAGAGAAGAGCATCCACAAGCTGCGAAAGAGAAACTAGCAGCTCCATCTAATAGTGGCAAAACAGAGCAAAGAAAAATGGCAAAACCAGAGCCAAAGCATCATGATTTATCATATTCTATTGATAAAACACAAACACAAGAAGCTACACAACCGGTGTTAGGAAAACCAGATCTATCATCTTGGCCTGGCAAGACAGAGCAAGAGAAGCCAGACTGCTTGCATTCTTTCAAAAAACCCGCACAAGGTGAGAAAGCACAGCCAGAATTGGGGCATTTGCAGTTATCTTATTCTGTTAGTGAAGCAGAACAAGAAACTGCACATGCAAAATCAAACTGTTCAGATTTATCTGCTGGCAGATTAGAACACCATAAAATCATACAACCAGAGGTAGAAATAATGGATTTATCATGTTCAATTGGTGAAATACAGCAATCTCAAATTGCTGAAGAGGATTTGGAGTATCCAGATTTGTTGCATTCTGCCAGCACAGTACAGCAGCAAGAAAAGTTTCAACCAGAACAAGAACAGCGAGGTAATTTTTCATCATCTCTCAGGAAAGAAGAGCAGTGGGAAGGTGTAGAAATGCAGGCAGAACACCCTGAGCTCCAGTGCTCTATGGGGAAAACAGGACTGCAAAAATCCCAAGCAAAATCAGAATATGCAGATTTGTCATTCTCTGTTGGCACAGGAGAACCTTGTACAAGACATCCAGAGTTGAAAGAACATGACTTGTTCCATTCTTCTGTCAAAACAAAGCCATCATGGGCTGCCCCACTGGAGTCTGAACATCCAGACATCTCGGATGCCCTGGGCAAAGTACGGCACCCTGATTTGTTATCTCCTGTTAGTGAAGAAAAGCGAAGTGCACGACTGGAGGTCAAACAGGAGAGGGGAAGCTATACATTATACCCAGAGGAAAGAGTACAACTGAAATTGGAACAGCCAATGTTTTCAAGTTCTCATGGCACAGCAGAGCAACTAAATAGGGCCCCACTGGAAGGGGAATTCCCGGACTTTTATTCCTCTGGGAAAAAAGATCAGCAAGAAATGGTGAAACAAGAGTTGGAGCATTCAGATTTATCATATTCTACTGATAAAACACAGCGCCAAGAAACTTTGCGACCTGGATTAGGACAAACAGATTTATCATCTTACCCTGGGAAGACAGAGCAACCACAAACTGTTCAAGGGGAAGCGGAGAATCAAGACTTGCTCCATTTCACTAGCAAAACAGAACAACGAGGAACAGCACAAACAGAGGTTGAGTGTCCAGATATGTCATATTCCAGCGACAAATTAGAGCAGCCACCAGCTACACAATGGAAATCAGAGCAGCTTGTAACACCTCATCCTACTGGAAAAACAGAGCAACGAATGACACATCCAGAGCAGGAACTTCCCAGTTTATCATATTCCATTTGCAAAACACTGTCACAAGAAGCAAGACAAATGGACTTAGAGCAACAAGATTTAACATATGCCCTTGGTAATACGGATGAAATGCAAACTGTGCAATGTGAACTGAAACATGCAGGTTTGTTGCATTCTTCTGGTAAAAGAGAACAAGAAATGGTATTGCCAGAGTTGCGACATCTGCAGCAGTCTTACCCTGTTAGAGAAACAGAAGAGGAAGCTCCCCATCAAAAATCAGACTATCCAGATTTGTCATATTCTATTGGTCGACAAGAGCACCATGAAATTGAACAACTGAAGGTAGAAGAAATTAATTTATTATATCCATCTGGCAAATCAGACCGCTCACAACCAGCCCAAGAAATACTGCAACAGCCAGAGCTTTTGGAGTCCTTCAGCAAACTAGAAGAAAAGGGAATGGCCTACCCTGGCTTTTTGCCCTCCCTTGGTGAAGAAAAACAGAAACCAGCTTCACAATTAGACCCAGTGCAACCAGGTTTATCACACTCACTTCCCAAAACAGAAAACCAGGAAACTGCACAAGCAGAGTTTGTGCCTTCTGATTTTTCATATTCCACAGGAAGAACAGAACATTTGCAATCAGAACGACTAAAATCAAAATGTCCAGATTTGTCATATTCTCTTGGCAAAGCAGAGACTCATGGAATTAAACGACCAGATTTATTGTACTCCTATACCAAAGCAGAGCAATCACAGACTGCCCAGCTGGAGCATCCAGAGACATCATATTTCACAGGTGAAATGGAGTGGAAGGATGGGGCCCAATGTGAACGGAAATGCAGTAATTTGCAGTACTCTGTTGTTGAAACAGAGCAACCAGAAACACCATCTGTATCACGTATGTTTGACAGAACCAAGGAGCTGGGAACTTCACAACTGGACTTTGAACAATCAGATTTAGTAAGTCCTACTGACAAAGGACAAAAGCATGAAACAGCCCCACTGAGAGCAGGGCATTCAGAGGAGCAAGACAGTGGGCCTACTTCATCTCTAACTGCTCAGTTGGAAACTGAACAACCACATTTATCCTCTTCCACTGAGGAAGTAGAGATACAAAAAATGCAACTGTATTCATCTCTCCCTGAACCAACAGTGTCTGTAGCTTTGGGTGTTTCACATTCTGTCTCTGAAGCAAAACCAGAAGGAAGTACGAAGTCCTCACCTGTAACTGGAGATCTGTCCCCCAAGCACTTAGATTTATCTTACACCCACTGTAAAACAGAGCAGTCAGAAGCTGCCCAACCTGAGTCAGGTTTCTTCTTTGCAAGAAAAGAAGCAGAGGATAAAAAAAATCATCTACATTTGCCTGTGGCTGCACAGTCAGAGGCTGAACACATAATTTTGCCTGAAACAGAGAGAGAACAGGCTCCACATTACTTCCACACAGCTACGCAATTAGAATCTGAACAATTAAATTTATCATATTCTACAGATAAAGCAGAATCTCTAGAAAATGAAGATTATTTAACTTTACCTTCAAAACTGGAGTCTGAACCATCAGTTCGGTTTTATTCAGTTGATGAAACATATCAGCAAGAAATTCCACCTTATTCAAAACCAGCCTCAGAGTATTTGTTTCCCACACAGTCCCTTGCTGAACAAGAAAAGCAAAACATGCAGCCACTTATTCCCAAGTCTACACAACCCAAGTGCAAACATGTAATTCCACCATATGATGAAAAGGAATTGCAAAAAGTTCAACTCTGTTCACCTAAAACAACAAGTTTGAAGACAGTGCAGTCAGAAGGTACGCCTCTAACGCACACACAAGACCAAGATGAGCAAGAATCTCCAGATCATTTGTTGGACACAAACTATTTGCCATCAGAGCAGTTAAGAAGTACCCCCAAATTCACTACTGAGCAGGATAAGCAAGAAATGCAACCTAATGTTCAGGCAGTGCCAAGGTCGGTGACCACAGAGTCAGAAGTGACTGCTGTAGCAGACCAGCAAGCAGGGTCATCAGATTCATTTGTTCCTTTTTATACATTACCTGAAAAATTAGTATCAGTGGCTTTCACTAACAATGAAGAGAAACAAAATATGCCATCATCTTTATCTGATGTAGTAGGCATGCCTGGGAAGCAATCTGACATAGTTTCAGGCATTTATACTGAAGGACAGGATAGACGTGAAATGCATCAATATTTTGCAGACCAGAAGCATACATCCTTAGAGCATCTGGGAGCTGCTTCATCGGATCTTCTCAATGAAACGGTGCTACAAAAACCTCAGCATTATTCTGGTGAATGGGGCAGCCTTTCTTCAGGAGAGATGAAGTCTACTAGCTCTAGTTCTGATGAAAAGCAGAATCCAGATATTCCATCTTTGGGGCTAGCTAGCTGGCTGGCAGAAGAGGTGAAAACTCATTCAATCAGTCCAATAAGAGCTGCAGAAGTAGACAGGCAAGGAATTCAGGTTTCTCCAGATAAAGCTTCTCATTTTGAATCAAAACAATTCCCAGCTGAATGTTGCACAGAACTTACAGTTCATGGCACTACAAAGAATAAAGTACATACGTTTACAGTTTCTGATTCAATGTCAAGCAAAGTTTCCCACAGAAGGTCCTCAGATACTAGTCACAGAATGCAAAGGTATGATTTACCATCTCTGGTAGGAGATAACCCAGGTCCAAACAAAGCTTCAGAGTGTGAAACTGCAAAAATTGAAGTAATGCAACATCCAGAGGTGGACAAAGTGTCTAAAGTGCCTGAACATTACCTGAGAGGAGAAGAGGAAGAAATGGAACATGTGAGCACTGTAGAAGACAGTCAGCATGCTCCAGAGACTACTGAACAAAAAGATCTTTTTAATATAATATCAGAAGGTTATGAGATACTCAATATTCATGCTCCTACACATATTTCTTCTGTTGATCAAGAAGAAAGTGAACACATGCCAGATAAACTGGAATACTTGGAAACAAACCCTTCATTTAAAAGAAAATTAGCTGATGATGGCCATAGACCCCTAGCTTCTGGGACAGCCACAGAAATTTCAGAAGGCTCGGTGTTGGGAAAGCCTGCAAGCCATGAACTAAAATATTTGGTCAAAAATGATCATGTTGAGGAAACTGGAGGAACACAAGAAAAAAATCCTGTGTTACCGGAAAACAATAATAGTGCAGTTTTGGATCCTAGTAATGGTATGGCCGATATGGATTATTTCGAAAAATATACATTAATTGATGACAAAACCCCAATTAAGCCACATTTTGAAAGACCAAGTTCATTGTTTAATGTGACAGAAGATCCCAATGAACCTGTGGAAGAAGCCGTGTCTTTTAAAGAAAGCACTGAGGTAGATACTTTGGAAGAGGATTTTTCATTACTTGAGGATCTGGATGAAGTCTTTTATGGTACTGCGAAAGGAGAAAACAAAATGCAGTCCTATGCAGATGCTCCAAAACCTTTACATCTGCAGAAATCAATTGATATTAGCAGTAAAAAGGTTACAAATGTAGAAGATGAACGGAAATCACCAGGGACCCCGCTCTTTGATTCGGAAGAAGGCGTGCTGGAACGATCTCTGTTGTTCCCTACCACTGTTGCTGCAGTTAATCCAGAGCTCCTAGAGGAGCCACCTGCTCTGTCGTTTCTGTACAAGGACCTCTACGCAGAAGCAGTAGGAGAAAAGACAAAGGATGAGACACCCTCTGATGAGGAAAGTGGTAATTCTAATGCATCTTTCCCTAGTAGAAATTCAGACACAGATGATGGAACAGGAATATATTTTGAAAAATACATTCTTAAAGATGAAATTCCAAGTAAGGCCATAAGGCCTCAAAAGGATCAGATACCAGAGGATGAGTCTTTTAGTGGAGGAATTTCAGTTCAGAGTTCAGAGGACAAACACAAGCAGGGGTCTGGTGATGTCCAGTGTGTCAGGACTGAGGTTCTGCCAGAAAGGAGTGTTGTGAAGAGTGAGAAAGCCCAGATTGACAGTGACATTCAAGCAACAATTTGTAAACCAACGCATGCTATTCCTTTTGGAAGCAGAGTAATTCTTTCAGGTACGAGAACTGATGCCACTGAACAAAGAGAAGAAGAAAATGTACCTGTAGAAACAACTGAGGAGTTGCCAGAGCAATCAAGTCAATTAGTGGATTATCGGGGAGCTGCATATCAAGAAGCTGGTAGTAAGCAGGAAGAACAGCATGATGCAACAGCAGTTCCTCAAATGGAAAAGTACATCCCATATGTCAGGACTCCTGTTGAAGACAGTGAAGATGTTCTGTATACTCAGGAAAATCTTCCCTGTATCCCTAGCATTCAGCAAATAGAGAAGCCAGACTGGCAAAAAGAGAAGAACCCTGATGTTTATGAAGATCTTGCTGAATCAATGGACTACGATGTGATTACACAAGAAGAACTTTTGCAAGATGAAATATCATCTCAATTAACACATGAGGAGCTATTATTTGAAGACAGAGACTCTTCTGAGCATGCTGGTGATAGTTATGAATTTGTTAGTGAGACAGAGCAAAGAATGCCTGTTGAGCTTGAAGATTCAGGCTTTGTGCTGATGTATCCTGAAAAATCGGCAACAAACATTCCTCAAGTTGAGAGCCCACAAAGAGAACTGAAGAAAGTGCCAGCAGACACATATTGTTACCACTGCAAACGCCCAATATCTGCTATTGACAAGCTTTTTGGAGAACATAAAGACCATGAAGTCACAACACTAGATGATGCTGCAACCAAGATGAAGGTAAGAATTAATTTGGGTTAGGGAAGGAGCTACGGAGGGTAATTTCTCCAGACATGTTTTGTCAAGGGAGAGGTTTCAGAGAGCACTCCAGAGTCTAAGTCACAGTATCTATAAAATAAAAACTATTCCTAAACACCTGTTAGAGATCTTGAAGGGAGACTATCTTATTAAGATACTCTCTAGAGTCCTAGGCTTTCTAAGATGGTATTTTATTTATTCAGAAGTTTGAATGACCTTGTTTATATGTACCTGTTACCAGATTTTCCATCTTTTAGCCTTCTCATGTGTGTGAGTTTATTCTGGTTTGTTTGTGTAGAGTGAGAAATGGGAAGAGTGTTGTTTCTATAAAATAAAATTTTAGTAACAGCAGCTCATTTCACTTGACAAGGTACAGAATCCTCCATACGTGGAGACCAGTATCATCATAGAGTGTTCCCTGTACCAGTTACATGTGTTGGTTGCTCAGAGATGTTAGACGAGTTACACAGTTTACACTACACTGTTTTTCTGAAACCATCCTCATTTTCTGTTCAGTTCATGTTTATCTGTGCCAACAGTGTTTTAGCTCTAGCACTGGGAAGAGTTTAGCAAGTCCTACTTCCCACTATCTCTAAGCTGTGCCACTGTAAAAGATAGATAAAAATGCCCTCCATTTCAGTAGCCTAGTCCTGTTGATACTAGTGAAAATACTTTCATTTCTGTGGAAGCTGTTCTTCATTAAATTGTAGTTCTGCTTGTGATGTCTCACTTTTCCCATACCAGATTTGTTCATGTACAAGTATACAGATGTTCTTTTCTGGGTTACCAGCTATTTAGTCTCACCCCAGTATCTGAAAGGGGAGGTCTCTTTCCTGGCACATATTTGGTTGATGGTAATTCAGATTTTGTGTAATTTCACTGAAATTCCAGAAGGCCTTGTTTTGATCGTATTTATGTAATCTTTGTGTTAACTCATATGCAAAAGAGATAAATTAAAAGTCGGAGGAGTCAATGTGGTAATTTCCGATATCTATTTACAAACTCTTTCCATGATGTGCAGATATATGACAGCAGAGTTGCTTTTTATATAGGGCCATTCCTGCTTGGCTTAGAAGTGACAATTAGCCAGTAATAAAGTCACAGATCCCAGACATCCTTGCATGTACCTGCATTGCAGCAAGCCAAGTTAAACAGCAAATAAAGATCCTGTGATATCACTCCCTGGCTGTGGAACATGGTCATGAAGCCAGTATTAAATCTTGGCGTCACATGATTTGTAGCACTCAGGGCTCAGGTTACCCTGAGATGGCATTTGTATGTTTCTTGTTACTTCTGTATAATCACTGAGAAAACATTAAGACAGCAGAATGCTTATTGCCTGAACTTTAACTACAGAAACACAGCTTCACAGTAAATGAAGTGAGCAATGGAAGACATCCATCAGATTTTATACGTTATCTTGAGAAACAGAAATTTGCCTCCAAATCTTGATGATTTACCCTAAATATTTATAAAGTGAGCTTTCAATGGTACAGTCCAATGTGACATTTATAATTAATGGAAAGTCATATGCTAGATTTCAACAGATCTAGCTGTAAAAGTTTACCATAATAGGAAGCTGTTACCAAAAGAAGTTAACCTTCCTTTTAGATTTATGCTAGCTAATTAGAACTAAGATTGCACCAGAGCAGATGTCCAGCTTGCTTTCACAAAAGGTCAGGAAGGACTAATAAAAAGTTCTGAGTCATCTCTGATGCCTGTTGTCCCTTGGACTGCTTTTGTTTCTACAACTAGTTCAATCAGTGGTTTTGATGAATTCTTGTTTATAGGAAATATCTTTAAAATTCTATTTTAAAAAATCATGACACTACATAATATATTAGCCTCATAATTAACTGCTTTATATTGCTTTTTATGGGTTTGTTTCTGTGATCTCTTGAGAACCCTCATGAGGTTTTGAGTACCCTCTGTCTTTAGCAAAGCTGCACTGGAATTCATAACGTTCAACAACTTGTAGAGACACTCAGCACCTTGTTGAACTGATCTCACTTTTTCTGGTTCGAAAACAGTTTTGTGGCTGTTCCAGTTGCTATTTCTGCAGTTGTCTTTGTAACCAGGATGATACTTGAACTTAATTTAGCAATTGTTCCAATGGTGGATCATGGCAAAACAAAAAAAATAATTCACCTAATATAAGTTGCATGTAAAAACTTTATAGAAGAAGATGCTTGTTACTGAAATATTTTAAATTTCAGGATCAGTTAAGTGAATTGCTAATAGCACTGGAAGAAAAGTCAATGAAGATTGAAGAGTTTGTGAGTGATATTGAATCACTGTTTAACTCTGTTGAGGTAAGTCCAGTGTTTTATCACACTTGTTTTCTTTCTTTCTACAAAATTACTTCTAAGATATGCTTGCCTTGTTTTGTAGTGTCACTGCTTCCACTAAAATGGGCTGTTTCTCCAGTCCTCAAATTTACTTCCCCCACTGGAAGGTGTTAACTTTAGGGGGAAGACAAATGCTGCTTTTTTTTTTTTTTTTTTTGCACATTATTGCCAATATGTGTTACTGTCAAGCACTGGAGGAAAAAAGTTCCCGTATTTTTTTTTTAATGCTTATAAAAAGCTCACACTGTTTGTGTCCTTATTTAGAAACCTGTGTGAAGCGTATAAATGAGTTGACCATTGTCTTAAGTTCTTAATGCCCAAGCTCTTAAGCCTTAAGGGCTGTATTAATTTCAGTTGAAGGTATGGATTTCTACCTGTTTTGTTGTCAGACTTCCTGTCTCAGTGCTTAAATATAGAAGTTTAATTTTAAACAGTAAAAAAGAAATACTGCCATTGTTTTTAATGTATTTCTCTAGTGTTATTTCTCCCAGATGATCTTGCTTAGAGAAATAAAGTTCTCTTGTCAGAATGTCAGAAGGAGTCTGGTGGATGTCTCATGTATGGGTAATTAAGAATTCCTGTGTATTCATTAAATGTTGTAATTTTATTCTGCAAATCAATTTATATCTGTTTATATTCTACAGGAAAACTGTAAGAAAAATGCAGAGTTATTGGAAAAGCAGAATGAAGAGATGCTTACAAAAGTGGTAGCACAATATGATGAGAAATCGGAGAACTTTGAGGAAGTGAAAAACATGAAAATGGAGTACCTGTATGACCAGATGGTTAACTTCCAGCAAACTGTTGATTCAGCGAAGGAAACTTTGGAAACAACAGTAAAAGAAATGGAAGAACTCGATGGGTTTGTTTTCCTAAATGTAAGTGAAAATGGCATTCGTACTGTAGCTTTTGTGATACTAGTTATGAAAGCACTTATACTATACCTAGTCTGAGAATGGGTTATTTACTTTCCTTTTGGGTTTTTTTAAGATAGTTAAATCCTGCAAGATCAGCTCTTCCACTCTGGAACTGCTAGATCCCTTGCTTTCGTCATGTGAATGCTCAGAGAGAATTGAAAAGATGACGCACAGTATGAAAACATGATTTATGCCATTAAAAATGGTTCTGTTTTGTTTTGTGAAGAGAAGGCTAAGAGACAGTTAGATAATTTATCTAGAATTAATTATCCACTAAGGAGTAAGAAATGTTAGAGTGAAAGGTACTTTACTTTATGAAAAATGAAAGTGAAACAAGAAAGTGTAATTGAAAACTATCCAAAGCAGACTTGTTGTATTGTGGGGTTTTCGGTTTGGGTTTTTTTTTTTCAATGAGCTGACACAGACAGTTGTTACGCACTCCAATTATTGAGGCTATGATAAATCTTTGCTGCTGAAAAACAGTGAGTGGTTGTGTGGTGCTTAGTTGCTGGCCGGGGTTAAACCAGGACAATGGGCTAGGTTTAGGAATGTGCATGTGGTGTGCACGTTTGTAATGTCCTTCCTGGAGGTAAAAAACCATCCCCTGTCAATCTGCATGACTGGAGTTACCTAGCTCACACACTCATCAGTCATAAACTAGTTTCAGAGAGTCTTGCAGCTTAATAATTAATGCCTGGGTCCTCCAAGACTGTTCCTGTGCTGCAAGACTTGTCTGGAAGTGAGCCATGGCACTTTCTACTCTATAGAAGTGTGTCAGCAGTCTTGAAGGGGATGGGTTTTCTGGGACAATAATCTTCTCCTGTTACTGAAGTAGCACGTAGTCTGGAAGCTGCAGAGAAACTATCCTGGGATGTAAGAAATGACAAGTTCAAATTACTGTCTAAAGACTGATCATTTATGCAAAATAAAACAGCTTTCCAAATACAAGCCCACAGCCCATATACCAGCCATTAAAGAAATGGTGAAGCAATATTTGGCTTTCTCTCATGGTCCAAGCTACACATTGTCTTAGTATCCTATAACCAAGTAAATGTGGTGGCATTTTGGGATGGATGAAAAGTTTCCTGAACTTTGTGAGGTACTGGATCAGTGCTTTGGCAAAAATATAACTTGGTAATCTGAAATTCTTTCATGGGGTGTGAAAATTATTAGATTCCATGCCTCATTTCTGTTAGTGATAGGTCAGGAAATTCTCTGTACAAGAGCCAGGAATCGTTAGCTGAAGATTCATGGAGCATGGGAGAAACTCCCACTCCATGAATACAAATCTCACCCAGCTTCTAGTAATAAGGAGTTATGAAAGACATTTCAGTCAGAATTTGGATTTAAGTGTCCTTAATGTGCAGGTGATTTCTTTCTGTAAAAGCCTTGGTTTAAGAAAGTATTTGACTGTGCTCTGGTCTTTAAACCTGGACATTTAATACTGACCCCTTGGGATCTTAAAACCAGATTTAGACTCTAATAGCCTGCTGAGACAGAACTTTGAAGTGGTATATTCTTAAGGAACCAAATTCTCTGCTGTTGTGAATAAGCAGCATCCCAGATAACATCAAGTCAATCAAGCCATGTGTCTTTTATATCTCTGGAGAGTAGCAAGACTGTTAGATGAGTGGCTCTTCAATATTTTCAGGGATTTGAAATCTGTTAATACATTTCTTTTTTTTCCTCCTCTAGTCATCTAAAGAATTGAATAAAAGGTATATGAAGTATGTGTTAAGTGCACTGTAGTGAGTACTAGGCCTAGCATGCTGGATGCTTCATTTAGTATTTGCAAGTTTTGAAAACACACTGCTAATATTCATAGCTACTTTTATAAACTTTTCAAATAATGAAATTAAGAGAAGAGGTTTTATACTTGTTGCTGTAATGGACTGGTTTTGAAATGTCTCTACACAGACATTTTTAGACAGATGTTTCTTGCAGTTATTATTATATACACATAAACTAAAAAGCATTTTGACCATGCTTCCATCTCTTAGACATCACAGATATGTCCTTTTTTTTCCACTCGTCTGGTTCTGAATTACCTGGTCTCAGAAAGGTTATAATATAAAGTGTCACTCGCATGGATGGGGTTGTTGGACTATATTTCTGAATGCATTCTGGAAAAAAATGAGATTAAGCAGCTTCCAAAAGCTTACCAGGAGACTATAGACTGATGTTTTCCCATGCCTCTTCATTGGCACTGCCTGATTCAGGGTGTATCAGAGGGCTGGCGCCTCATCACAGCTGCATCCTGGCCCAACTGTATATACCAGTAAATACATACAATTGCAAACAGTTATCTGCCATGTGAAATTTCCTCAAGAGAGTAATTCTGATGAGACCAAGCTCATATTTGCCCAATAAATTTTTCAGTGTGAACTAGAAATATTCTGACAGGCTGGCTGCAGGATCCTCCTGTGCAAGCCCCAAACCTGCTTTGCCCACACCACCACTGCTGACTGTCCAGAGGGCCTGGGCATTGAGCTGTGTGTATATCAAACATACCCTTGTCAGTGCTGCTTCAGCCATCACAGCAATATACATGTTGACATAGACTGGGGTATAACAATGATATGAGGGTTCCAGTTTGCGGTCAAATTACAACCCCAGGAGAGTGGTCTGAAGAGAGTGTGCCAAACACCCCCTCATGGTTCCTATTAATCTGCAGAATTAGGACTGTAAATTTGGACTCACTTGTCAAACTGTGAGAGTTTGGCCACATATCTGCATGTAGTTTATTGCATAAGAATAGAGCAGGTATAATGGAACAAAATAGTTTTTCAAGGCTTTCTGCATACTTGCTCTTTACTTGTTTACTTACACACTAAACTTAAAGTTTTGTGCATGGGTTTTATTATTACTTTATTTGATAATACCTGACTTACTAAAAAAGGTTAAGAACAAGTCTGTATAACAATATGTTTTTCTAAAGAAAGTATATTATATATTTGTTGTGCTTTGTTAAGATTATGCATAAACTACTTCAATGACTGAGAAAAAAAGAAGGGGAGAAAGGTAAAATTCAGTTGCCTTGGAAAAAAAAATCTTTAATTTCCTTGAAGCTGCTTCTGCATCAGAGTTAAAAATATGTTGGGTTTTTTTCCTGTAATAAACTCAGCAAATATGGGCTAATTAAGTGGAATCTATCTTCCTTCTCGTGGTTGTTTTGCTTACCACAAGCAGCTGCTTTACATTACGTCTCTGAAGTCAGCTGCTATAGTTTAGCTCTAAGGTTTGTAACCTTTAAGGACACTGTGTTAGTAAGTCCAAACCCTTGTGCTTTTGGGAGTCTTGCTGTGAACTTTAAATTCTCACGTTCTCATGGTTAAGTGTATGCAGACCATATGCACTCTCACCATGCTCCTGATCCAAAATCTCAGTAAGTCTAAATGTTCTAAATAGGGAAACAGCTTCTTCTTGCATGTTTTCCTCAAGTTTATGGGAAATACGTTGAGAAATGTACATTGCATGGTCTTTGCTTATGGCCTTTGGAAAACTGTGTGATGCTACAAGGGATTTATACAGACAACTAAGTGTTTTCTTCCACAAATAGGTTACTTTCTGCAATGGATACTACCCTCTCTTTAGAAAAGCTGCCCAGTGCTTTTTCACTATTTGAGCGCTATGCGGACAGTCCAGGACAAAGTAACCAGCACTCCTTAAAACATGTGGCTGGTAAGAATCTCTGAATATTTTCTTTACAAAAGCTAACATTTTGGCAATGCTTTGGAAATTTTAGGAAGCTAAAAACAGAATCTGAGAAGTATAAATTTGCAAACCATGTAATTAGTAATCAGAGTTGAGTGTAAAATGAAGTCTAATTGTGCACAGGCATTTGGCTTATAGTAGGACACTGAGATGAGCAACAGAGGGAAAGGTACTAAAGTGGGGGATTCTTGCATCGTTTCAGGTATCTGTGCCTCAGACTAACGGAAGGTCTGTAAATGTCCCAGGGCTAAAGAAGTTACTGTTCCCTTGCAGAAGAGGTAATCACAGGGTCTCCTGAGCTCTCTTTCTCTAAGGAGGGCAGCCTCAGCATCGCTGGTGTGGGGAGGAGAGCCGCTCCTGACTGATAGATGAGGTCCCTGGGCTTGTGCCAATTGAATGGAGGCACCTGAAACCCACACGGGACATGAAAGGAAAGTAGTTAACTGTTGCTGGAAACAGCCTCTGCTTCAGAGGGCAGCAATGAAAATTGCACATGATAAAGGGGTTTATACATCTCTGTCTGATAGTTCATCTCCTGTAAAAAGTCTGTCTGCATGGGATTTCTGCTCTGCCTGTACATTACACCTATAGAAATTATCTGGATCTGGACAGCTGTCAGTAAAGAGTTTGTCAGCACCAATCTGTGGATTCATTTTCCTGATTATGTGGTCTTACTCCAGTGTTTCTTTCTCAAGAGGATTGTTTAGGGATCTTGCATCTATCTCATTGTCATGCTTTGTGACCTCCCATTCACCATCCCACGTACCACCACCATCATAGTCTCTCTCTCTGGCTTTTCAAGCAAAGCCTCTTTCTCACATGTTTGGTCCCTAAACCCTGGAGCCAGAGCATTAATTTCCCTAAGGTGCTTTGTTTCCTGGCTGGATTTTCAGGTCCCTAATGGGACATTGGAGAAATGCTGTCTTGCACAGACTTTCTGGTGTCTAATAAGAACTCAGCACACTCAGCAATGTCATTATGGGGAGACTGTCTCTCTCTTCCACACCACTACTTTTATTAGACCTAGAGGAACTGAATATCTCTGAGACTTAACATCCTTGTCAGATTTGTATGAATTTGCCTGTGGCATTCAAAGCTTCTCGGGTGAAGTTGGACAGGCACTTGTTCATGTAGTGTTATCTCTGTGTTGGTTTTCTAGAAAGTCAAATAAAAAGATATTTTTGTAACCCACTCTCAGTCAGAGTTAACTTAGTGGTGCAGGTGTGCTATGTGTCTTGGTTTAGCTCCTAAACTTACCCTTGCAGGCCCATGAGTGCAGCCATTCTTTCCTTCTGGGCTGCTACCTAATGGCAAGGTCATCCAGGAGGACAGACCCATTTTGACATGTGGTATTTCCTTTTCCCACAAGTCACTCCAACACATTTTTCCCTAAACTTCTGAAATCCGCTTTTTGATTTGATTTGCATTAGCTACTGTGTTTGCTGAACACCAAATGGCTCCAGATCAGTTTGCTTTGACAAACTGGAAATGAATGACTGTTCACTAGCAAGCAACCTTCAAAGCTCCTCATCCTTTATACCTTCTTCTCCTTCTCTTTCTAAAATATCTTGTTTTCATTCTTCACTTCCACTACCAAGTATTTCAGTTGCTATTGTGATTTTTACTTTGGTGAGCAGTAGACAAAACTTTTTTTTTTTTTTTCCTTCAAGATTACACCCTTCCTGAAGAAAAATAGGTGTAAATGCCTACCTGAAACTTTATTTGGAATTGAATGCCTTGAGTACATCAGTTATCACATACTGGAGGCAAATGTCAGACACTCTCAGATTTTTTTAAACTGAAGCCATTTGATGAAATCCATGTGAATTTGGCATGTTTTTCCTATTCATGTATTTTTTTCTTCAGAAAGTATAGTATTTTACTGAACATAGAATCACAGAATCATTCAGGTTGGAAAAGACCCTTGGGATCATTGAGTCCAACCATCAGCCCGACTCTACAAAGTTCTCCCCTACACCACATCCCCCAGCATCTCGCCTAAACAGTTTCACAGAACTTCATTCTCACAACTTCAGAAACATCTTTCCTTCAAAACTCCCTCCATTTCCAAATTTTTCATATCCACTAATGAAAAACCCTTTTCCCTCAAATTGTTCCTCCTTTCATGTAAGCCACACCCATTAACAAATCCATAAGCATAAAAAGCACTTGCAGCATGCCATTGAACAGATTGGAACCTAGGGTCTGTCACAAAAAGAGTGGAATAACTTAAAAATTTTTAAAAAATATTCTTTCCAAAGCCTGCCATGAGTCCTGCACTTTTATACCAGAAGGTGAGGACCTTTGCTGATTGTAACAATCTTCCATTAGAGTCACAGAAGAATGTAACTGCTCTCCTTCAAGTCCACAAAGCCAAGGAAATGTTATTTTTCATTACATTGGAAAGGGATAAATACCTATAAAACAAATGGGATTATTATTTTTTCTCCTGAGGGCTGTAGAGATTAAGTATTATGAAGGAAAAATTTTCTTCACAGCACATCCATGAAAACTGAACTGATGAGAAAAAGTCACACTTTTCTGTTAAAAAACATGATTTAGTCAAACCTATGGTGCAAATATCTCATTTATTTTTTAAATTCTTTTTTAAAGGGACCAGTGCTTTGATAACACATGAATGTTGTGGTTTTGAAAAAAATAGTTCAATTTTTTCTTTGAAATTACTTCCTTTCAAAAGTTTGTTTCAGATTGTGCAAAAGGAAGTTAGAAATCAAATGTTTCTCAATGTTGCTAAACTGAATTTTGATCTATAACTTTTTTTTTTCCAGAAGTTTAATTCTTTAAGCTAGCTTCTGTTCAGATTTGGCATAATAATAAATCTTGCAGTTGTGGGGTTTCTGTGATCATAAATAACAGTTTCTAGGCAACATCAGAGGGAAAAAAAAGCTGGTTTCCCCACCAGGTCCACTGAGAGGAAGTATTTTCCTAAAGACAATCAATTTTTAAATTGACCAGCTCCATATACAATCAAAAGACAAAATGCAATTGTATTTAGCAGTGAGAAGGATGTGGGTTTTTTTCAATGGGAAGCAGATGTAACCCTACTGTACTGGTAGCTGTCTGTACAAATCATGAGGAAACAGCCCACATCTGCATTTGCCTTGTTCATGCCACAGGGGATCATCATCATTACTGTGAAGATAACTGAAAAAAAGTGAAAGCTTTCTGCTGAGATTCTAAGAGAATTCATGCAATATGGAAATTTACTGGGTGAAGAAATAAAAACATGTATTTTCATTCCCTCTAATCACTTTAACAATTAACATCTTTTGGGGCTTTTTGCTTCTTCTTTCCCCTCCTTTTCTTTTAAGCCTTAATCATAGGATGGAACAATGTCTCATGAGGGATGAATCTGTGCCAATCAGAAGACAAAGTTTATATGAAATTTTGGGACCCTTGGAGGTCTTTAAAACATTTTGTGTGAGGGGTGCTTCTGGTTGTCCCATGAGGTTCATGCGCTTTGGCAGAGCTCAGATTCACCTGCGCACCAAGGATTCTCTGTCCACTGGGTCTGTGAAGAAATGACCATGCCAGGCAGGACCTAGTTGTGCAGCTGGAGGTCGACCCAAGGCTCTGGGGAGCCTCCTGCTCCCCAGTGTTGTTAGAGCCTTCCTTTGCCTAAAGCATGTCCCTGCTTCTGTCATTGTCAGTGGATCTGACACACTGCATGAATCCCTTCCTGCTGTGACAGGTCCTTTCCTCTGCCCACCTTTTTGGGATCAGCTAGATACATCTGTCTTTGGAGAAGGCTTTCTTCTTCTGAAAGCTAGTTCTCCCCATCAGTGAGCTATCCCATGCTCTTTGCTACAAACAAGTGCTTTCAGTCTCGGCTTTTGTGGGCATCCTCTTCATAGTGTGTCCTCTCCTCTGGTGCCTGTGTTGTCACACAAAGGAGCCTACTTCAGGCTCCAGTATTTTCTGTCCTTTCTAAGGAGGTGTGCTGAAGTTATCAGGGGTCTCTTGGGTTTTCATCAGCACATGTGCCTCAAAGTGGAGCACAGATCTGGAGACCTCTCCCTGTGACTGAAGGTAGCAGGTCTCTTGGGGAAAGGAGAGAGATTGCTGGAGCTGTATGACAGATCTGCATGTCCAGTGTTGCCTTAGCCCTGGGAGCCTGCCAGAAACTCAGAAACAGCTGTGCCATGACTCACCTGCATGATGTTCCTGCCCCATGGGGAAGTATCCCAAGAGCATGGGCGTAGGCACATGTGTTGCTCTGGGTTCAGGTTGTCCCAGTACTAGGACCAGATTGTGAGGGAAATGGACAGATTCCAACATCAAGCAATTACTATTTTCTATTCCTAGTTTAGAAGGACTTACTGCTCTAAAACTACACCAGTATTCCGTATTTCACTTGCTGTACTTGTTCTGTGGAAATAAGCAACCTGAAAGTAAGAAACCAGGTTGCATCCTGAACTTATAGGTACTTTGGCTGAAAATACAGGAGTGTGAATAACAACAGGAGACTTTCCTTTCAGTCCCACAGACACCGACTGTCATACCTCAGGAACCAGACTCAGCCACCAGCACCTCCATTGCTGTCTACTGGGCTGTGAATGATGGGGATGCCATAGACTGCTTCCAGGTCTACTGTATGGAGGACCCACAAGCTAGCAAAGATGCAGTAGGTGTGTAAGGTCTTGCCTTCATGACAGCAGGAGTCCTTTCTGCTTTGGTCTGGGTTCAACAGAGGGGAGGCCAAGCTGCAGGGGAAGGCCCAGGATGCAGAGAGAAGAGGGGCTGTGAAGACATCATGTGTATGAGTAAGAATGGTTATTGGTGGAAGACAGCATGAGGTAGATGCCATTCCTTCTCCTCCCCTTAGTCCCCCAAAATGCAAGATAAATACCATGGTTTGTAAAGTGCAGAGCAGTTGTTTGCCTGAGGTGCCCTTTTATGAAATGGCCTGACCTTCAAGAGAGGATGTGTCCATGCTGCCCCATGGGTACTCATGGAGACTGCAGATAGAGCTCCCAAAGGTACAGGCTTCATTATTAGGCTATTAGGGACCTACATGTACTTTGGAATTGTGTCCTAATTAAAAAAAAAAAAAAAAAAGGGAAAAGATAATCAGTATTTCCACATGTAGACAAAGATTTTTTTCAGAATGACATTAAAATATTTCAAATGTTAAATGTGAAATTGAGAAAAGGGGACTGAAATGCTCATTCATTAAAAAGCTCAGGCTGATCGTAAAGTCACTCTAAGTGACTGGACTCTGCACAAATCCATGTGTGCATGTTTGTATGTGCATGAGTGTGTCTACGTTTGTGGATGCTCAAGGATGCTAAGGGCTTATAATAATAGCTAATTTATAGCTAAGGGCTATAATGTCCATTATGATAAATTGTTATGTTATAAATCAGGGTTGATAACTGCTGTTTCTATGTCCCAAACTTTCAGTTTAGTTCTCAGTAGGACTGAGGGCCATAATGTCCCCTTGCCATTGATGGGATTTGAGTGTGCTCAACTCAAGGGCACATCGGAAACTTTCTGTCAAAACTGAGTTGGAGTAAAATATGGAGATCTTGGCTAGTAACACTTTCTGGATTTTTTTTTTTTTTAATTGACTGGTTTTTAGGTGTTAACTGAGAGGTGCAAAAGTAGGCCCTACCAGTGCAACACTTGAGTATGATGTCCCGTGTGTGTGTGTGTTCCTCCTAGCTTTGGTGGAAGAGTACAGAGTTACGGTGAAGGAGAGCCACTGCATTTTGGAGGACCTGGAGCCAGATCGCTGCTACAGTGTATGGGTCATGGCTGTGAATGGCACAGGCTGTAGCTTACCCAGTGAAAAAGCCATTTTTAAAACGGGTATGTACATATTTCGGCCTTTGATTATTATTTTGGCATTTGACTACTATAAGCTTCAGGTCCTTAGACCAATTTTAGTCCAAAGTGTTACTGAAACAGAAGAAACTGCTTCATTTAGCCCACCTGGCAAATAGGAGGCAACTCATGGTCATTTCCCTTTTTGCTAAGAGATAGCAGCATAATTGCTCCTGTGAAGAAACTGAAGGCACTTAGATTTGAAGCCGTTTCCAGTCTCAGGCCTCATAACACTGGGGCAGCACCTTAAGAATTTCTCTTCTGATTGTACTGCAGTGTTCCAGGGAAGCTCTGGGAACGTCACCTGGCTGCTTTCTGCTGCTGCTGCTTTACTGTAGAAAATGGAGACAACTGCTGCATTTTTTGCCTCTCTGCCATCATCCCAAATACACCTATGTTGCATTGATTTAAATTATTAACTTTTCAAAGAAAGGCAGGCTTTACCAAGGTTGCATGCTGCACCTAGCTCAGTGGGACACAAATCTCAGGTGTAACTGAGAGGCTCTGCTGCTGTTTAAGTTGTATAAATTAAAATGAGAAATTAGATTAGTATTGTTTATGAGCTTCACTTGACTGATTAATATTTCTGAGTGTTAATTTCTTTAACTATTTGTATTGACAAAACTATTGCTTCTTGATTTACAAGCAAGGTAAAGCATCATGTGTTTGAGGCCTTCTTGCCAGACAATTTTTTCAGCACTACAGGATAAAAACAATCATTTTGTTCTTGCAGTCACAAAATACAGATAAGGGTATTTAACAATTTTGTAGTGAAATTACTTTGTACAGCACTGAGTGTATTGTTGAAATTACTTGGCAGCAACCGCAGCTTCAAGCCTTTTTGTTTAATCCGCTAGACTTCAAATTTGTTAATAATTCTCCCTGATATTCAATTTGCTATTCATATTTTTAGCAAAGATTATTTTCCAGAGAATTCAAAGTAGAAATTCAAATTTTATGGCCTCAACAATGTAATTGTGAACATGGTGCAGAGTTCTGTGAAATGATAAAATAATGAATTATTACTAGGTAATAAGTCTAAAAGATAATAAATAAAAATTTTGAAAGGGGTTCTCACCCCTCTGAAGCTGTCATTTTTAAGAACTGTCTTTGCCTTTTCACATCAGGCTCACCATTCTTTTTCCCAAAACTGAAGCCTTCTCAGTAAGTTAATTCCTTGAGTCTTTGATGCCTTCCTTTGGCCCGTTTCTTTAAGAAAAAATCAACTAGATCAAATAAGAGCTCATTAAACACCCTCCCTGAAGCTGAGGTGAGCTCCCTCTGGAGTGCATTGAGCCCCAGAAGGACTTAGGGGGGGCACTGCTGAGCACCAACCGATGCAAAACCTCTGCATCTCCTTAACACCAAAGACAGAAAGATGAGTACCAGTAATGAAAACCAGTTCTTCAGTGTGAGTCTGGCTACCTTGATATAGAGTTACTTTGATTTTTTTGAGTAGCCCAATAAACTCAGAAGCAATAATTCAGAGTTTATTTTTAGTAATTTAGATTAAAAGCTGGCACATACAAGAAAATAATTCGTTGGTATATGCGGTTATGGGAACATACACATTAATAGTGGATCAAAGATGTGCCTCTTCCAGGTGTTGGGATTCCTTACAAGGTTTCTCTGTTGGGATTGCACTGATGGAGGTGGCAGTGGTCCGGGGGAGTTTTGGGGAATGCAGGCAGATGCTGCTGCAGCATCCCTCCAGCTCCTCCACCTCCCAAGCTCACAGCATGTCCTCCCCTTTCCCTGGGGAACATGCTGTTTCCAGGCATATTTTCTGTGAGGGACTGATGCTGAAGGCAGCAAATATTCCTCTACCCCAACTCCTCTCTGTCTGTCTCAGATTGTTCTCTGGATGAAGGCTCTTTGCAATACTAAGGACATAAGAGTGAATGCACCTTCTTCTGTTGTTCAAAACCTATGTGATTCTTACTGTGTATCTCAGGGACAGAGTAAGAGCTTACCCTTTTTAGCTCTTTGCCTCTTATAAGATGACTTATATGAGTGCTGGAATATGGCAAGGAAATCAGATCTATATTCTAACTGCAGTTAATTTGTTAAAAAATATCAGAAGCAGAGTAACAACTTTTTCTGCTATGCTCACTTCATCTACTCTTTAGACAGACAGTTAAAAAAGGCTTGATGTCTTGTGACATATTGTTTACACATATGTAAATGTGGGTATGTGTGTCAGTTGCTGAATGCAGATATTAGGGGATTTAGCTATTAATTTTTCATTCTTAAACCAGACAATAATCAAATATGTGAGAAGAGAATTAAGGGATTATTGCTAAGGAAGCTACACAGATAGATTACCACAAGAGAATCTTGTGGTAATCCCACAGATTCATTGTTCTGCTGAATTCCTAGATTAAATGTTCCTATAGTAAAACATCAAGTACATCTTAACCTAAACTTCTAACCTCCTGATTTTCACTAAACCAGGACATCAAAATGTGCTTCTGGGTGTTTTTCCTTTTCTACTGATAACAAATTATTTTTCTTACAAAATGGAATGCATCTGGAATGCTGTAGTTGTAGTTCCATAAGATTATCTTGTCACAAAATTGTCTAATTTGTACTTTTGCCTTAAGCCTCCTGTTTGGAACCTGATCTCTTTAAAAGCAAAATAACTTTCTATGACCTTTTTGTAATTAATAACCTTTCTCTTGAGCATTCGTATTAAGACTGTTTATATGAGTTTCAACAAGAGGTTGTAAAGTTCATTTATGTTGCTGTTCCCTGAAAAGGAAAAGTGCAAGTGAATACAACTAACCCATTTTCAGCCTACAATGTGGATATGCAATTTCACACAATAGCTTTTGATTACTTGCATTCAGTGCCCTATTTTACATTCCATTTTCTGCCTTGCAGTTGGGCCTCTAGTTCTTGAACTGAGGCTCTAAATAAGAGAAATTACAGGTCCAAATTCTAGCATTGCAAAAATAACCAGGACATAATTAATCAGAAAGTCAGCATCTCTGTAAGTTTTGCAGCAGCACATTTGTTTCCAACGCAGTTCATGCAGGGACTTCTGAGGACAGGATTGAGGTGATGCAGGGAGAGCTGTAGACAGTACTGCCTTCATGCTCTGTTCCTTGAAGATTGGCAGAAATTAGGAAAATGTGCTTGAGGAAGGGTGTAAAAATCTTGTAACGGGTGTTCTAAGGATGTGCAGAAATGCATAAATATTCACAGTGACTTTCCCAGTGTGGATTTTTTTCCCCATAAGGTAGCCCTCTGCCAGTGAAACACAAAGAAGCAAAAGATCACTGCTGAATGGGTGAAAACTATCTATCCTGTGGGTTTTAGGGGGAATGACTTTTCCTTTCCCTCGCAAGCATTCCCCTCCAGCCTCTGGTGTCGTCCTCATATGGCTAACGTGTCCCTGTGTCCCCAGCACCTGCTGTACCCACCATCAAGGCCGAGGACTGCACAGTCTGTTGGGACACAGCCACTGTTCGCTGGCGCACCGGCTCAGTGTCAGCAGAGTCCTTCACCCTGGAGTACTGCCGACAGCACTCGCCAGAAGGAGAGGGTCTCAGGTCAGTGCCACAGTTGCAAGCACTGCTCGATTGGATTAGGGCAGCTGCTAATGAGCATCCTCCAGACCGCGGGTCATTATGCAGGAGGTTATTCTGCTTTCAACCATGCAAGGAAGAAATCTGCTTCTGCGTGCTGAGGAATCTACAGGATAGAAACCAATCTATGAGATTAGGCTGAGGCATAAAAGTACATCCTTTTTATTCTGCTTAACCAGGCAACCCCTTTCATTTGGGGCAGGGGAGGGAAACTGGGCTCCATGGGAAAGAGTGGGATGGAGAAGCCTGACCCAGTTTATGGTGTACGAGATAGGAGTCAGCTTGAGGCATAGTGGGGGTGACACGGGTGTCGCAGTAATACTGGTGACCCATCTGCGCTGTCTGAATGTGTGGGCAGATGCCTCCCAAAGCACAGCTGAGCTCAGCACTGCCCAGCTGTGCAGGCATGCCACAGGCATCAAAAAACAACACAAAGAGAAGCTTTGGAATTGAGGGTGGTGTCTGCTTATGCCAGACCCTCTCTGGTTTCCCCTACCCTAATTCTGTGTTTTGTAGAGGAGAGGGCAAGGAGAGACATAGGCACTACTGAGCCGTGAAACAATGCACTGTGTCGAAATGCAGAGAAAATTATGTGGTGCTCTGTATGTCCTTGGAGCTTGGACATTTTTTTGTTTGTTTTTCAAAAACAATGAGAACAATATTCAAGCAGAAGTCTGAGAAACTTTGGGAGATGGTGGGGTGGCTTGCCATACAGGAACCTGTGGAAGATCTTCAACGCAGCTGAGTTTATCTTTTTCACCTCCTGGGGAGCCTGATTAGGGTCTTTGCCCGGGTGGGCTAGTTCACACGGACTTTATGGAGATGTGGCAGAGAGGGAAGAGCTCCGCCCCCTGCAGTCAATATTAGTTAAGTGGACTAAAGTGTTCACAGGTTTCTAGTAGACAAGTATGACATGCCTTCCTCCTTACAAAAGTAGGCTAAAAATTGAAATAAAAATCTTTGGCAGCATTGGGAGACCTTTTCTTCATGCAGTAACAACATGCTGCATTAATGCAATCAGGGAGAGGTCTTGCCCAGTTCTCCTGCCTCTCAGAGGACAGCCATGACCTGCGCTGTTCCACACATATTTCATGAGGCCATCAGGTCCCTGTCAACCTGCCAAAGTTGCTGTTAGTCAGGGATGATGTTGCTACTCCCAAAACCTGTGCTGTGTGTTTGCCCTCGAGTTTCTTTGCTGTTAACTGGAATTGCCTCTTTTTCGTAAAACCGAACAAGAAAGTATGCCTGTTTCTGCAATCCGTGAGCGAGGTGTCAATAACAGCAAGTAGTTTGCTTGTGTGGTGGTAGCTGTGGCAAAGAGCTGCAAGAACTGACCCATTCCCTTTCTCGTGGGAGAGAAAACTAACGTTTATAATTATACTGAGTCACATTTGACTTTTTGGCCTCCCTGTGGGTAAAAGCTGACCTTTCACTGTGACAAGTGTGAAAAATTCCAACAGGACAAAACCATGAATTTTCTCAGAATCGCTGTAGTTTAAATTTCTGTATTTGTAGAAGGATTCTGACCTCTTTTTACAGTGTCAAACACCATCTTTTACCACTTATTTTCCCTCAAAGCAATGCTTCTCTTTCTTTTTCCAATAGCAAGCCCCTGAGATTTAACCTGGAAAGCTTCCATAATGGCACAATATATTTCAGTGATGAAGAATTTTTTTTTAAGATTTCTATTTCATTTTTTGCATAAATCCAAGGAAAGCAGAGCCCTTTGGTAGATGGGTTTGCACCCCAAGATGCAAGTTAGGATTAGAAATCAATTTCTTTTGTAGCTGTTATTGTGAGAAGCTGCCTTCTGGAAGTACCTGTAGGGAGCTTAGAGTTCCTATGTCAAGCACCTATATCAGGTGGAATAAAACTGTGTCTTTATGCAAACCTAGCATTTGGGCCTAGAAATGCTGTAGTTTCTTCTGGTTGCTTTCCTCAAAAGCTTGGAGTTTGTCCTCTGCAGATTTTCTGAGCACCACTCATCTTGGGGATAGGCCAAACGTGGAGCCCTTTAACAGACATCCTGTGCCTCTCATGCTTGCAGCAGGCCTGTAGCTGAGTGATTTCCCAGTGTCTGGGTGGGAGTTCAAACATAACCCTGGGCAGTTAATACAGCTGCTGCTTGGGGGCACAGCATGAAAGCAGAGGTTGGGGAAAAACATCCAAGGGAAGTCCAGGAGAAAGAGGCATGGTCCCATCCCACAAGGCTGCTTTCACAGATGTCATTCTGGGAGTTCACCCAAGGCAAAGGACACCACCAAGGGAGCAGGCAGGGAGAAATACCCTCACTGAACAGCTAGAAATGAGCATGGATGTTGCTCCTGGTCTGGGCCATCCCTCTGTAGCTTTCAGAGTGTCACAGAATTTCACATGATGGTTGAAGTTGGAAGGAACCTTTGGAGATCACCTGGTCCAGCACCCCTGCTCCAGCAGGACCACCTCATGCCAGTTGCCCAGGTGGCTTTTTAATATCTCCAGAGAAGTCCTTGGAGCAGTCCTGGAGCAATCCCAGCTCCCCAGGGAGAGCATTTGAAGTACACCTGGAACAAAATCCTCATTAAAATTTTCCTTCTAAATATTGTAAAAAGAATCTGGATTCTCTCTTCTTGCCAGCTTGCCACCTGTGGGATGTGGTTTCATATAAAACCATCTTAAATCTTCTGCAACAATGACTCCCCAGCCTGATGCTGTGGTTTTAAAGCTCCTTCCCAGGTTGATTCTTTTTCCAGAACCTTTATGCAGCTTTGAAATGTTTCTTTGAGTTTCCAGAGCTCTGCTATTTTCTTGCTGTTCAGTCTTTTTGTGTTGAGAAGTCAATGGAGCTGTGGGTGGAAGATTGAAAACTGTGAGAAATGTAGTCCAGGGATTAGGTGTGTGGGCTGTTCAGATGGAAACCATGTATCATATCATGAGAAATCTGTAAGACTCAGGGAGGCAGAAATTAGTACAGTATGTGGTACATTCGTAAAAGTGGAAGTGACTGTCATCCTTTCCACCAATGTGAGACCATCACTGCTAGCAACTGAAATTTTCCATCTACTTATAGAGCAGGTCTAATGCCAGAAAAAGGAGAGCAAGCGGCCCTCCTGTTGTATTGCCTGCATGACTGTCCTTCCTCCTCTCTAGCTGTGCTGGACTTGCCATCTCAGAGGTAAGTGAGGACCATTGTAGGTGGTGCTTTGGTGGTCTAACCCCAAAACAGCCAGAGCTCAAACAGAAAGGAGGAAAGGAAGCATGCAGCACAGCTGGGAGCAAACTCAGAGCTATTTGTTCTTTATTTTAGCTTTTTTCTGCTCATGGTGCACACCTTCTGTGTGCTTCTACATGTATCTTGAGAAGCTTGCATACTTTCAGCTCTAACTCCACATCGGTGGTACCAGCACAGGTCTGGAGGTGCTGTTTCAGTGAGATCTTGGGGGTGGAAATGACAGTTACAGCACAGAGGGCGTTGTGAATCACTGCAAGGCATATCATTTGCTGGGTTCATGCAATATTAAAAAATACCTTCTAGACGTTGTCTCCTTGAAATAAATGAGGATGTTGATGAGAGAAACATGCATCAAAACACAACATCAGATTTCCCTAAAACCAGGGGAATCACAAATTTAACAGACAACTGCTACTATAATATTCCTTGGCAATTTAAAGGTGAAGAAACATGGAAGGATGTAAATCCTTTCCGTACTGCTTTGAATAGCATGTACCTGGAATTTGGAGACTGGATTTTGAGACTTAACATTCTTCTTATGAAGAAAGGGATTAAGAGGCGATACTTAAAATATTTAACTTCAAATGTTTCTTGAATTTCTATGCACTGAATTTTGTATCATGATACCAAGACATTGTGAGACAGTGCAAATATAGATAACATAAAGGACAGGATGCCTCATACTTTGATAATAACGTTATTACATTTCCAATCATCTATAAAGTGAGCACGTGTATTTAAAGTAGAAAACAGCTGACATTAGAAAAGTTGTAGGTGGATTTCTCTTTCTTTCATGACCAAAATTATACAGTTCAATACTTAGGGTGAGCTTAAGGAAGTTCTAGCTACAATGATTGTTACAGGAACTCAGAAATTAAACTGGCTTCCCTCAAAACAGTTGGGATGCATTTTCCCTTCCCTTCTCCTGTGCATGACCTGTATGCTGTAAGCCAAAGAGTAATCAGACCTTCTCCTCATCCTTGCTTTTTTATCACTGATTGCATGGTCAACCTGAAGTACAACAAACTGCAGTGACTGCTGGGGAGCCCTCAGTATTCACTTTCCCCCTTCACTCCAGACAGAAGGAGAGCAAATAGCGACTATTTCTTCTTTGCACACAGCCTCTTGTGAGCTTGGACCTGGCTCAGTGTTGCAAATGAAATTCCTTCTTGTTGGCATATTCTGTTTCATTAATTGGCAGCTGGTTTTTAAGCCTTAATCGTAGCTAAAATTGATTATTCTTATTCTTAGGAAGCTTAAAGCTAGCTAAAATAGATTATCAAGCAGAAAATGCTATGTAAAAATCTGATCACTGTTTTACTGACCAGATCCTCTTAAAGTCCAGAATTTTGTGTCTCACTATTAACAACTGAAAAGAGGCATACTATTGCTTTCAGATTTAAGCATGTAACCAAATTCTAATTTGGAGAATTTCAAGTCTGAAAGAGACCCAAGTCTGAACTTTGATGGCTCACCCTATTCTGCAATTGGCTAGAACCCAATTGGATTCCAGACCCCAGAATACAAATGCTCCAGGTCTACTCATTGCACCAGAATGTATCTGTGTACTTGGATTTAGAAATAATTTTGTGTTTTATTAATTGGTTAAATTGCACTTACTGAAAAAGATCCCCTAATTTCATTGGAAGGCTACTGACTTACATGGCATTTTCCAGAAGACAGTAGTAGAAGGAGCCGTGTAGAAGGCATCACTATGCTTAAGATACATTGATCTACATGTTGCCACAAACAGCTTCCAACAAATATCTTGCCATATCCTCCCTTCATGTCACTTGTAACTATTTGCTCAAAAGTTTCTGGTGATCTGTGCTTCAGATTCACATCAAAGATGTCAGGATGGTGCTTTTAAGGAAGGGGTTGGATGAGACTTGTTTAGGAAGCACAAATTTCGTCAGAGCTTAGGTGCCCACTTCTTTTCCTCTGCCTCTGCTTCCATCCCAGTTTTCCTTTCTGTTACTTTCTTATTTGCCTCCTTGCCCAGTTCCCACCTTGTATTTTATTTTGACTCATCTTTCCCTTTTTTCTTGTCCCCTGTACTCAGATGACCCTTTCCCTCTTTCAAGTCTAAAGATCTCAGGTTCTCATCACGCAACTCATCAGCTTGCACCTCTCCCCTGAACCTTTCAGTAAGAACCAACCAGCCTGCCAAACTCCCAGTGCCTTGCTGAAGTGCTCTTGTGCTTGAGGCTTTGGTTACTCATGGCCGTGAAGCAAACCATGCCATTGCTACCATGTTTGGGCAGCTCACTTCTGTTTACTGCATTAGTTCCAGGATTAATGTGAGACATTCCCCAACGGTGGCATGATCACACAAGAACCCCAAACTCTTTGAAATTTTTTCAAACTGAAAAAATGGATCACAGGAACACCCAGTGCTTTTTCTCAGTGCTTTCAATCACTTCTAATGACAGCTGTCAGTTCAAAATACCTGTTACAGAGTAATAAAAAAACAGATGCACCAGTCTCTCCCCAGGATGCCATCCACCGCTCTATGTGGTGTTAGCAGGAATTTGGTGTATATAGGGCTGTGGGATTTTACCTTTATGTGATAAATGCAGCAGAGGCAGGCATGTGAAAAGTCCTGATGGATGAACACTGATTATTCTTCAGATTCTACTGCTCTCTGGTGGGACATATGTGGAAAAACAGTCAATACAAATGAATAACGATCTGACCTGACTGCCGGCTTGCCTGCCTTACCTCCTCTGGAGTCACAGTAATAATGCTGAAAGAAGTGATTTGTTTAATCTAGCTTCCCATAGAGACATATCTTGCAGGAGGGAGACCACCCTGGGCTTCACTCTCAAACCTGAGGTAGAAGGGAAAGTGCCTTGCACACTTTCCAAAGGCATATGTCTCTTGTTTGTGAATTCAGATACTTGCCTTGCAGATTCCTATAAGCATTTCTGGAAGGAAATTTTCTACTTTATACAGATAAACAGTACTTATCTGCAGGCATACAATGTAGTGGATATATACTGTCTGGCTTTGCTGTTATCATAGAAGTCAAAAATGAAGAAAATCAGGATCCCATGTATGAGAATTTGTTAAGCCAAACTTTCATACTCCTGACAATACAGAAAATAAAATTGACATCTTTCTAGCCATCTAAACTACTTTCACTGGCACTTCAAAGTGCCTGTGAAGCAGATTCAGTGGGTGCTGACTCTCACTTTCCAGAAGTGTGTCAAGACATCAGAAGCTGAAGATGTGAGGGCTGGAGCTTTTCAGGCACCACAGAGGGGAGATTTAGTCAAAGCAGGGCCCTGTGCAGCCCTGTGCAAAGGCAGTTCCCCTGCTGCTGCCTCTTGCAAAACCAGTCTGTTAGAGTGCACAGCACCATGCCAGAGACAGTACCAATACTTTGTTGATGAACAATTTGTGAGTAATAAGAAGTGCATAGTTTCTGTGCATCTCAGGTAAGGGTATCCATTCTTTTGGATCTGGAACATGTGCTCAGACAGTGCAAACACAAGTGTATTCACTGTCATGCAACTGAACTAACTAAAAGGTGTTCTTTTCTTCAGAAGCTTGTTCATTTTGTAAAGCAGACTTCTCACAGGAGGCAGATCAGAGTTTGATTCTGCCTGTCAGCTTGAGTTCGGTGCCCAGGAAGCTGATGTAGCAGCTCATCCTGAGTACCATCACATAGCACATGGGGTACAACCAGATGCTCAGGCCCAGTCAGTGGGTTTATGAAAGTCAGGTCCTGCTTGACAAACCTGATCTCCTTCTATGACAGGGCAACCTGCTTATTGGATGAGGGAAAGGCTGTGGATGTTGTCTACTTTGACTTTAGCAAGGCCTTTGACACCATTTCCCACAGCATTCTCCTGGCGAAACTGGCTGCTCCTGCCTTGGATGGGCACACGCTTTGCTGGGTAAAAAACTGTCTGGATGGCCGGGCCCAAAGAGTTGTGGTGAATGGAGTTAAATCCAGTTGGTGGCCGGTCACGAGTGGTGTCCCTCAGGGCTCGGTTTTGGGGCCACTCCTGTTGAACATCTTCACTGATGATCTAGACGAGGGGATCGAGTGCACCCTCAGTCCGTTTGCAGATGACCCCAGTTGGGTGGGAGTGTTGATCTGCTCGAGGGTGGGGAGGCTCTGCAGAGAGACCTGGACAGGCTGGAGCCATGGGCTGAGGCCAACTGCAGGAGTTTCACTAAGGGCAAATGCTGGGGGCTGCCCTTGGGCCACAACAACCCCCAGCAGCGCTACAGGCTTGGGGAGGAGTGGCTGGAGAGCTGCCAATCAGAGAGGGACCTGGGGATGTTGATTGACAGCCGACTGAACAGGAGCCAGCAGTGTGCCCAGGGGGCCAAGAAGGCCAATGGCATCCTGGCTTGTGTCAGCAATAGCGTGGCCAGCAGGGACAGGGAAGGGATCTGACCCCTGTACTCGGCACTGGTGAGGCCGCACCTCGATTCCTGTGTTCAGTTTTGGGCCCCTCACTACAAAAAGGACATTGAATGACTCGAGCGTGTCCAGAGAAGGGCAACGGAGCTGGTGCAGGGTCTGGAGCACAGGTCGTACGGGGAGCGGCTGAGGGAACTGGGGGTGTTTAGTCTGGAGAAGAGGAGGCTGAGGGGAGACCTCATCGCCCTCTACAGCTCCCTGAAAGGAGGGTGCAGAGAGCTGGGGATGAGTCTCTTTAACCAAGTAACAGGCAATAGGACAAGAGGGAATGGCCTCAAGTTGTGCCAGGGAAGGTTTAGACTGGATATTAGGAAGCATTTCTTTACAGAACTGGTTGTTGGGTGTTGGAATGGGCTGCCCAGGGAGGTGGTGGAGTCCCCATCCCTGGAGGTGTTCAAGAGTAGGGTTGACATAACGCTGAGTGATATGGTATAGTTGGGAACTGTCAGTGTTAGGTCAATGGTTAGACTAGATGGTCTTCAAGGTCTTTTCCAACCTAGATGATTCTGTGATTCTATGCTGCTTGAATTTTATGTGATGACTTGTGTTGCAAAATGAACATAAAGCGACCATTATGCTAAATGACTGCACTGAGTGGGAAGGTGGTACAGGAACAAAGACCTGAAAATTTGTCAGGCAAAGTAAAGGAGGATCCTTCAAGTAAAATGCTGAAGCTCCCACATAACCCAATTATTTGTGAAAACTGTTTGTCTTTCCAACTTGAAGTTTCTCTGTGATGCCTGTTGTTTCAGTAGTCAACAATACTGTTAGGTGGCTTAGCTGTTTGCATAAATTACTCTTTCCTGGTTTATATATTTGCATGCATTTTCATCTATGAAAATCTTCAAAATTTGCAGAACTTTTGCTGGTATAAAGAGACCTGAACTGAAAGTATCCCTGGAGCCCAATGTGAACTATTTCTTCTACTTGAGGGCTGTCAACCCATTTGGGACAAGTGAACAAAGTGAAGCAGCTCTCATCTCAACTAAAGGTAGATAGCCATTTTCTAATATCAACAATGGAGTGGAGGGGCAAAGCAGCCGAAGGTCATTTTCCTCAGGAAATCATACTTGAACTTTCCAATACAGGAGTTGCGCAAGTTATTGAGATAAAAGGGACAGTATTTTATCTGTTTAAAATTAGCACAATCAGGGACCACTTCACTTGAAGTTTGTATAGTTATGTCAATGTAAAACTAATGTGACCTCAGAAACAAAAACATTTAATTCTGTCAGAGAGATTAAATGATTTAATATTCTTCAGGGTTCTCTATTTGCTTGAGTTTGAGAGCACATTCTGATAAAATATGCCATGACCTTAAAAAAACCCCTTACAGTTAAAATCTCACGGACTTTGGGTTTGAGGAATGAGGAAACATGCAGAGCAGTTTTGAAATAAAATGGATGATTTAAACTTTAAGCTTTCCAGATAAATAGCGTTAAATAATGTATGGTTCTTCCAAACCAGCCTCAAAATTCAAATTTGTTATTTTGAAAAAGCTATTGATTGAAAATTATTCAATGTTCTTAAATACTGAAGATTTTTTTATCACCTAGCTCCATTTCTGAATATTAGACTTCCATCCCAAATGGACATAACTTGGAAAATGCCTTGCATTTGCATCCAATTTCTGTCACTCCTACCTACCAGCAGATACAACCCTATCCAGCTAACATGGCAATAATTGTTGCTTAATATATTATGATTCATCTCATGTTAACATTGCCAGCCTCTCAGAACTGGTGTTTCTTTACGAATTGTATCAGGAACTCAATTTCACTTGCTGAGCAACACAGCCCATCCTGCTTTGCAAATCTCCTCCAATGCAATGGTGATCTGCCTTCCCGAGAAAACCAAATTCACTGGGTGAGTAGCAGCATGACAAGCATGACCACTCTGAGGGGTTCAGGATGGGTCTCTCACTCTTATTTTGCCTATAGGTAGCTTTCACATGACACTAACTAATTTTGTAGAAGAACTGAATCATTTCAGTCATGCAGCCCCTGTACTTCGTGTGATTGACCTCCCTTTCAAGCACTGCAATGTCTCAATAAAGCCAGTAGCAGCATTGATGTAGATGCTGGACAGAGTTCAGTGACACACTGAAGAATGGCCGGAAAGCCAAAGGCAGTGGTACCTACTGAAACTGCTGGTTTTGCCTCTGTCTGTGGTCACTGCTTAATCCTTCAGAGCACTTCAGTCTCAAAGCAATTTGTTGCTGCCCTGAGAAGTCCAGATTTATGGGCTTATTTTTTAATATATTGTGACTAGAAGTGATACGTCTTCCATGCTTTGCTTCTTTACTGAGGGTATTATTTGTAACATCTTCCAAAGCATCTGTGGCTTTGGAGAATTAGGAATTGCTCCTGGTTGTACCAGAATAGATCCATCCATTGCAAACAAGATTTTTTTTTTTTTGACATATTGGTATCAGTCCCATCACAAGCACAGATTCACTTGTATAACTTGTGCCATACTGATATAACTTCTTAAAAGGTAATGAGATATTACTGGTTTAAGCACTTTGTGCTTAACACACACAAGCTGTTTGTCACGGTGTCTACTTAAAAGAGCCATAGTTTCTAGTTTGAACAAGCCTTCTAAATTTGAGGTCTATTTTTTGCCTCCAAAGTCAACTTTCCACCTTTTGCTAGTTTCATATAATTTTGTGTAAAGCTGTATTGTTTTCACTCCTTAAGATGAGTCTATCTCAGTGCAAAGATGAAATGATTCTGTGACAACATTCAAGTCTAATAAAACCCTGCAGGTAGAAGAACAGAGTGCAATCCATTAGTAATTCTAGATGCTGCTGCATGACATAACTGTAAGAAATATCACAATATGTTTGGTCTGCTACCACACTCACTTTACGGTATGCCTCTTTCACAAACAGGTTTCCTTCAGTGTTGGGTGAACTGCTGCCTGCTCGGGGATGTCATTACTGGGAAATTGTTGTCTCTGCTTGCAGAAGCTACAGGATTGGGATTTGCTATGAGGCAATATCACAAAGCAGCATCCTGGGGCTAAGTGATACCTCCTGGTGCATGTGGTGCTGTCTTACACAAACCAGGTAACGATGAGTCAGTCTCATTGCTTGGGAAGTTACTTGTACTTCATGAAAATAAAGCTGGCCAGATTCAAGAATCACAAGAGCAGAAAGGATCCATCTGCTTTCTTTCTGCAAATCTGCATAATAAGAAAAGGACAACTATAATGGGGCTTTAGACCTCCTCTTAATAAAAAAAAAATCTTGTAAAGCACCTTAAAAAATAAAATTAATCTCAAACAGACCAGTTTACCACCCTTCACCCAGACAGTGAACAATCTAATTTGCCACTGCTTTGTCATTCCAGGCTCATATCCCAAACTGCTTCACAAAATCCCAGCAGGTGTATTTATTTCCATAAATGCAGTCTTTTTAGAATCTATTTCCATCTGCAGATGTCAAGCCTCCATAGGGAATGCCTTTTGCCTTGCCCTTCACAATGATAGCCACCCACCTGCCACTGCAGCAGAACTGGACGGTGCTGCAGTAGTCTTCAGCAGGCCAGTGCCAGGCTGCTTGGAGGTTTGTAAGGCATAACCCTGTTAATGGTGCACACTCTATCTGAAGAAATGTTCTTGATCTAAACAAGTGTGCTTTTTTTTTGTATTAAGTCATATAGAGCATGAACACAACTAGCTAAATGAAACATCTGAGATGCAAAGGGTTTTGCCAAAGGCAAGCTCATGCTTAAGTCCCCACAAAGACATGTATTAAGAAAGATATAGAGCCTGCAAAAAGGAGGCTGAGGGGAGACCTTATCACTCACTACAACAACCTGGGGTTGTAGCGAGGTGGATGTGAGTCTCTTCTCCCAAGTAACAAGTGATAGGATGAGAGGAAATGGCTTCAAGTTGTGCTAGGGGTAGTTTAGATTGGATATTAAGAAAAATGTCTTCACCAAAAGGGTTGTCAAGCATTGGAACAGGCTGACCAGGAAAGTGGTTGAGTCACCATCCCTGGAGGTATTTAAAAGATGTGTAGATGTGGTGCTTAGGGACATGGTTTAGTGGTAGACTTGGCAGTGCTGGGTAAACAGTTGGGCTCAATGATGATAAAGGTTTTTTTCAGTCTAAATGGTTCTATGATTCTGTGAATATGATTACAGCAAGTCTGCTTTTATGCTGGGACTCCAAAGGGCTCATCAGCATGCTAAGCAGGCCTTTGAAGTGATGTCACATTCATTTTGTTTACGTACTAAGCAAAATGCTGTTGCCATATGATACTATGCTGTATGCAGCCACCTGTTAATAGGTAGGAATTAAGCCATAGGTTATTTCTGGTAAATCATCATGAGGAGACACACTGTGGTTTCCATTTTCCTGCAGCTTTCTTTACAGATTTCTTCACACTGGTGTGATGAGCGATGTCCATGTGACAGAACACCCAGCCAGGATTGGCATCCTGTTGGATTACAGTGGCGGCAGACTGTTATTCTTCAATGCAGAGAGAGGACTTGTGCTGTTCACCATCAGACACAAATTTACGGATGCTGCTCACCCAGCCTTTGCCCTGGAGAAGGCAGGAGCACTCACCCTGCACACCGGCATGGAGCTGCCAGAGTTTGTGAAGCACAGCTAATCCCTTGCTTCACATCTTTAGGAAGACTGATAATTACAGTGTCAGGGGATAAGGAGGAGAAAGGGGATGTCAGAGGGAGATGTCTAGTTTTCACCAATAAATGCCATGCACAAAGCTCTCCCCCACATAATCAGTAACTGTAGTTAGTGCTCAGCCACATAATCACCTTGAGCCTGGAGAGAAAATCAGCTCCTTCAGATAGAGCATGCATCTAGTGATATACACAGAAGTACTTTTGAGGGGAAAAAAAAGTTTTGTTAGATATGAACATTAAGAGGGGGGAAATGTACTTTCCCTGTGAAAATAATGTCAGTGCTAGCTGTCTTTTTAAAGTTGATGATAAGCCTGTGTATAAAATAAATGCATCTCTCACTGCAATACATGAAAGCCATCATTTCATCATTTGCCAGGACAGTTGGAGGTGAATCCAAGATGATATGTTTGAAAAATGTGGAAACATTTCAACAACTGAACCATTCTGCAGGTTAATGTCTATTGTGTTTCCCAACTCTTTTATTGAAATGCACAGATTAAGAAAACTTGAGAACTTAGAAATCATCACATTTCCAAAATAAATGAGTCCCGGACTAGTCTTCACAACAGTCATGTAAGGTTTGATTATGCAACACTTACCTACCCTGCTCACAGCATCCTAACAGACAGCTACCTGACTGTGTCAGTAAATAACTGTGCCTGTAAATAGGTACTCATGAAACACATGTATGAGGAAACTTGATAGTAGTGGTAAAAGTCTTCCCTATGTTTTTCATCCTCAATTTGTTGGCTAGATGGTTTAAGTGGTGAAGGGGACGTTGCCATCTGGGACCTTTGAGAAGAGTCAAATTGCCAGTAACCTTGCAGATCACCCCTTTTCCATCAGTGCTTTTTACCTTTGCACTTACCAATTTGATGCACCTAATTGCAGTCTTGTGGACATTTTCCTGCATCTCCCCTGCTCCCTCCTGTTATCTACACTAGCACCAGCATCACACCACAGAGGCACAGTGTTTCGGGGCCATCAGAATAGGCAGTCTAAAAATGGCTGGTACTAGCAAAGGAATAGGATGCTGATTTTCCCCCTTGGCTTTTTCAATTTTTTTCCAGGCACTCCGCACATCAGGGGTACAGCTGTCTTCTTGGCTGCCCCAAGGGCTGAATGCAGGAGTGCCAGTGGTGCCCCACTCCAGCGACTGCTCCAGTGAATGCTGGGGGGGGATGGGGGGTGGTGGGGGGTGGAATTAATCCTAAAGAAGGTGGGCAATGCTTTTCATGCTGCACCTGCTCTGGAGATTTCTGCCTCAAGGGACTATACTGCCAGACTCCTTTCTAAGCTCAGCTGAAGAGCTGTACTGCCTGAAATAAAGCAGATTTCAGGAGTCTGATGGAGAGGGTTTGCTTCTGCAGAGAGGACTTAAACGAGTTACAGGGAGGCTTCTGCTCAGAGGAGATTCCTGCTGCTGCTGTTTTGTTTAACACCGCCAAGGCATGTGCTTTCTGCTTTAACCTCCTGTATGCTTGATGTCACAGAGGAGCCGCACTCTACGCTGCCATAGCAGGCTCAGGCAGTGTGGCTGAGGCAAGAAAAACAAGATCCTGTGACCATTTATTTTAAACCAGAGTTCTTTTCGGCATTTCAATTAGAGTGCCAGTTCTGAGTCCTTGCCAGGGAGAGAGAGGAATGGAAAAGCAAGGTAGTGCCCTGTTGGCTCAAGCAAGCATTTTGTAGAGGTGTGGAGGGTATTGAGAAAAAGGTCCAAGATTAACTAGGAAAGAAAGAGAAAGGACATCAAGGGTAGCATTATCATGAAAGCTGAGGATGAGGAGGCAGAGGGCAGGCTAGAATCTCACACAGAGCAGATGGTGATAAACTAAGAGGCAGATCAGTGGTGTCAGTAGGCTGCATTCCTCTGGCTCCTGCAGCCAGTAAGGTTGCTGGAGGTTTTCTATCTCCAGAGCTTAATGTGGTGCTTTGAACTAAATCTGAAAAATCCCAGCACTGGGGCAATTTTATCTGTGTTCTCCTCACCTTGGTCACTGTTGTCCCAAATGTGGAATTGCTTCATGGACACCAATGTGATGTACTGCCAAGGGGACAGCCAGTGAGTAGGAGAGCAAAATGATATTAAATTATTTGGGTGGCTTTTTCAGTGAAGGCAAGAAGCAATTGCCTTGTCAAAGGCAACTGCATATTAGTAAATAGTGGTTTTAACAGGAAAAGCAAAAGCCTCGTCCAATGCCATGCATTATTACCCAGGTATTACTGCAAATTTTGCTTGGCAAAAATATATTATTAGAGGCATTTCATTCTTAGAAACATTTGGTTCATTTTGAAAAACTGCCTGACTCTGTTTTCTTGCTAATTTTTGTATAAGGTTCAGCTTTTAGATTGGGCAGTATCAAAAAGTGTATTTACTGTTTATGTGAAAGCTGGAGAGATTATTTTAAATTGAAAATGTCACTCAAAGAGCCTAAACAGTATTAATTTGAATGTCTAAATCTGTCTGCATTAAGCTATGCTAGATGAAGAAATGCCTAAAGAATATCCTGTTCAGAGAGATGGAACAAAGTCCACACTAAAAAAAAAAAAAAAAGAAAAACAATATACAAGAGTTAAGATTCAGTACAGGGGAAAAAAAATCATATTAGTGAAGAAAGGAGATCCTGAAAGCCACAGTTAAGATGCTAGGACTTAAAATGCATGGTGCAAACTCTCCTGCCCTTAGAAAGCCTAGAGGTACATCTGCTGTGATCTTTTACTTGCCTGATGGGCATGAAATGGCACCAAGTTCAGGAATTCACTTTCCAGAAGGTAACTGTTCACAGACACTTGAATGTACAGTGCAGTTCACATGACTTTGTGTTTGGATTAACAGATTTTGAGGCTTGCTACATCCATTTTTTCTTTTGGCTATCATAGTTTGTAAGCATATACTAGAAGAGAAAGGCAAAAAACTCCTAGTCACTGGGAGTTTACATTTTTCTTGCACTTGATGAATTTAGCATTTAGAGATACCTCAAAAACAGTGTGACTTATTTTTCAACAAAGGTTACTAATTAGCTTGGCTGATAGTAACTAAGACTTCACACAAATACTTGACAAGGTTATGTGTACATAGTCTGGTCATCATTCCATGCTTAGAATTGCATAGAAATGCATTTTAAGAGTTACAAAGAACTGTAAAGGAGTTCATCAGTAATTTGGGATTTATTTTCGTCCTGAAAGAACAGAAGCTGTTGCCTAGCACTGTAAGTATTGTTAATAAATATTTGGACTGATCTGAAACACATTGTATTTAAAAGGAACAATTGCTTTTCACTTCAGCAGGTTTTAGATTAGTCTCATAAACCCTTGTGCACTGAGATGAGAATATGGGCCTAACTATAAGAAAAGAAGTATTAATTTCTACTGTCAAGATAGTGCTGAACTGGAATATTGCTAGTATCAGTAGTATTGATCCACAAACCTTGCTTAGGTCTTTCGCTTCCAGAGAGAAGTTAATGCTTCATGCGACATCAGGCGGAGGAACTTGGCAAAAGGGAAATGTCAAAGAAATATACCTTCATACTGAAAATGGTCTAGTGATGCCTTATTTTAGAAACAGGTACATTAGCGCACACACACACACACGCACTGCTGCTGTGGAACTTAATTGCATGTTATCGCTAAGCCTGTTGTAAGACATAGACCCAGTAAGGCAGAGTACAATAAATTCTCGCTAAGTCCACAGTACTGTGATATGGTCTGTGATATACATGTGAAACATGATTTCTATTAACACTGCAGGGTTTTGAATAGCTATGTAAAGATGGATTTAAGAATAATATGAAATGATGATTTATTTAATCAGCCCCCATTTCAGATTAATAAATAGGACTTCCGCCATGTTGAGGTTTAAACTGGATTTGAAAAATTACTTTCTGTGGTGGAATCACATTACTGTCTTTTTGCTGATGGATTTACCAGTTATCAAGCTCAGTTTGCTCAGACAGTCACACAACCAGCAAGGAAGTGAAAGCATCTTTTTTGCTTCCAACCATGTGCTGTGGAAGAGAGATTGAACTAGAAAAGTTTCTTCATTTTTCATGTTCAGTTTGTCCAATTTTCTGCCATAGTGGAAAGTAGCATTTGCTGACCAGAGACCACTCCACAGCACCATTAGTACAGGAGCACAACCTGGAAGGAAATGGAACAAATATCTACCTCAGACCCTACAATGATTTTGTAAATGGTTAAAAAATTCATAATTTCAAGTTCAGCTCCATTCTGGGAAACATCTGTGCAGAAATGACTGATTTATTGGTAACTTGGATGTGACCTACCTTGGGTTACAACTCTATAACATCTCCTAGATTTTCCTTCCCTATGCTAACATCCTCCTGTCTACACATGGGTAGTGCCAGTCATCAATTTGCTGCTTTGTTAGCATACTCTTGAGGGTTACAGCCACAGTGCCTTTTTCTTTAACCCATTAGTTCATAATGTCCTCCATAACCACTGTGCTGCAGTTAATAGAGCTACCTTGCAGGATGTGACTTACATTTCAGGACTTGTGTTACAGAGACACTGTATTTCTAATACATACTCTTTTCAACCCTGAAGAAACAGTGATGCAAGCAGAGGTGGAAGGCACCCATAGCACTGTTAATGCAGTGGTCAGCTGAATTTCGACCCGCCAGACCATTACCACACTAGTGAGAAGTGAGGGATGGAGAGATGGACACTGGCCACAACAGGTACCGGAGAGAACTGGTTTCTGCTGAGCAAGCAAGAAGCCAGTGTGGCTTTTAATGCTGGGGCTGGCAAAAGGACACCTTTATCTGAGCATGACTTTGTATAGTCCATATATAGAGGTTGTAAAAGTCTATCTCACATCACTTCATAAACACAGCTCAGAAGGTATGGTGTATATGTAATCCCACATCTCTTATTTTCATATTCACCACAAAGAAGACAACAACATTTTGAAGTAAAATTAACAGAGATTATTTTACCTAATTTTGTAATTGTGTTTAAGATGTGTCTGTCCACTTTCTGCTATCTTAAAAAAAAATACCAAAAAAAAAAAAAACCAAACCCCAACCCAACCCTAAAAAATTACACTTGTAGAACGAAACACAGCCTTCAGAAAAAAGTGACAAATACAAATAAATTCTGAATACTTTGTAACAAGGGAGGGAGCTTTGCAAGGTGCTCCGATAGCATCCACTGATGATGTACCACACTGACTACTAGTACCATTCTCTTTACCCACAAAGGTTTGGTTTTTTTGTGAAATCCATATCATAAAAATATTATGTGTGAGATGGTGAGATGTGCAACTAGCAGTGTAAATAACTATTAAATGACTGCTGGTGCTTAGGAAGTAATCTGTATCAGT